TCCAGTGAAAATGGATATCCCTTATAAAGTTTCTCTCTGGCTGAGCTCCTCCGTCGGCAGCAGTTACACACAGTCGCTCTCCTTTCTCTCCCCAGCACACACAGTGCAGGTAACCAGCTCAGCACGTTGGAGCTGGAATTTCAACCACCAGACTTCCGAAAAGTTTACATCTCTCCCTAGTTATGGAAAAGACCGAAGCACGCATTGGGATCATTTCAACAGCGCTCGCTCCCCAAGCCCACCCCACTTCATCTAGAATCACTCATACCAAAGTAGATCAAAGTAGATTCTTTTGCTTTTCACTATCAGGAACTGGTTACTTCTTCCCCTTCTGTACTCAGGAGGATCTGTGTTACGAACATTCACATAAAACCAGGTAGTTGACTCCGTGAGCAGACATGCAGTGAAGTCGGCCTGACAGCTACAGTGTTCAATCACCCGGTTCACAGAGGGCATGGTCCAGTGTGGACTCGCCCAGGGACAGTGCACAGAACACCTAGACCTGTCACACTGAATGACAGGGAGGGACCTTCTTTGCACAGACTAAATACAAAATCAGTCCTTATTTTATTCCAACCCATGTCAAGTGAAATCAATTCCCATGTCACCGTTGGGGACCCTCTTTGTGGAAGTGTTCCCTTCCCAAATCTCCTTTTGAAAAATGATCCTGGATCCTTCCCTCCATCTTTGAAGTAACGTTGCCGGGGTACCACTGGAGCTGGGACAGAGTGCAGACCAGAGTAAAGAATGCCTTTACTTGCACTTTGTAACTGCTGTTAACTGATCCAGACACAGATTGTGTTTGCTTCATGTAGTAGATGCTCCTGGGTAACTGGCACAGAACTCAAGGACGGGTATTCGTTCATGACGGAGACAAGATGTGCAACTTGATGTGTGAATTCTGATTGTGCCACCTAGTTGTGCATGACCACGTTGGGTTGGGGCCTTCACCCTGGGGTCCTCACTGTCTTCGTTTGGAGTATAGGAATCTTCTTCATAGAGCTGATGGGATTATTGACACAGATCAGCCATTTCCAGACTTTTTGGTCCTGGACCCCTCAATTGAGGACACCAAAGAGCCTTTGTTCAAATGGGTTATATTCACCAATGCTTACCATATTTGAAATTAAAACTGGGAAAATTATATCTATTCATTTAGACAACAACCATTACTGTTAACTTTTTTTTTTTTAATGAGAACTATTTTCCAAAACAAAAGAATTAGTAAGAATAGCGGTATTGTTTTACAGTTTTGCAAATCTCTTCCATGTCTGGATTTCCAGAAGACAGCTGGATTGGAAAACATGCTTCTGCATTCAGTCTGGGGTGTTATGTAGTTTGGGGTCAAGTATATGGAGAAAATCTGGCCTTCATTAGATATGTAATTGGAAAGGGAGTGGTATTTTAGTAGCCTGATCAGTTAAGTATGGATATTCTTTGATTCAACACCCAAACTCCGTAAGTGGTATTGTCCCGAAGGTTAGTGGTAAAATGCAGTCTGAAACCATGTCTGTAAACTCCATGTGCTATGTTACATTAAAATCCCCTCTGCCCTGGCCGGTTTGGCTCAGTGGTTGAGTGTCAGCCCGCAGACCAAAGAGTCTCCGGTTTGATTCCAGTCAAGGGCATGTACCTCCGTTGCGGTTTGGTCCCTGGCCCTGGTCAGAATTGAGCGGGAGGCAACCAATCGGTTTGTCTCTCTCACATTGATTCTCTCTCACACTGATGTCTCTCTCTCTCTCTCTCTCTTTCTCCTCCTTTCTCCTTCCCTCCCTCCCTACCTTCTTCCCTCCCACTCTATATGAAGATAAATGGAAAGATATTCTTGGGTGAGGATTAAAAAAAAAAAAAAATCCCCCAGTCTGTCTTGTACTTTGACCCTTTTAGCCGTGCATACTTTTAAAAACAGCATACACTGGTCATTTAGCAAATACTGGTTCACTAAATTAGACATAAAGTCATATCAAAACAATTACAGCTGTTAATCTCATCAGGTGAGACACTGTCAAGCTCAGGATGACAGATGCATGTTTTCCAAAATCATCGTTTTTGCTTGAAAGCCCAATTTTTATTATTGGCAACAAATACTGCTGATTGTTTTTGTCAAGGCGATCGGCTCACTTCATTCATTTAAATAACATATCTGGCTCTGGCTGGTTTGGCTCAGTGGTTAGAGCGTAGGCCCACAGACCAAAGGGTCACGGGTTCGATTCCCAGTCAAGGGCAGGTACCTGGGTTGCAGGTTCGATCCCTGGCCTGGGTTGGGGTGTGTGCGGGAGGCAACCAATCGAGGTGTCTCTCTCACATTGATGTTTCTCTCTCTCCGCCGACCCTTCCACTCTCTCTAATGGAAAAAATACCCTCAGGTGAGGATTTTTAAAAAAAGATTAAATAACATATCTGCCAGCTACTGAAGTTTGAGTTGCCACAGTTTCTCCAAAGTAAAAATGGTATTCCAAGAAAAAAGTGGCCAGTTCCATTGACAGCTCCGAGAGCGTTTCCTGGATTCAGCCATCGTATGTCCGTGTGCAGCACAAAGGCACATCCTTCCCATGTCATCACAGGGCACCAAGATCCATACCGAAGAGCTGGGATTCAGTAGCATTCATATTGTTACTGCTTCATCAGGGACACCCTTAAGTGAAACGGCTTTTCCCCTTTACGACAAGGATCTAGAAGTGGAGAATACGGTGACTACCGGGACAGTTTGGTGCCACTGATTTGATTTGGGCTAAGACACCGGAAGTTTCACCTTCACACCTTACACCTTCTGCAGTGCAGATGTCAAGACAGTGGCATTCTTTTGAAAATGGTTTTGGCCTCACCCACTCCCTGAAAGGGTTTTCAGGACCCCAGCAGTCTGCAGACCACCACGCAGGGAACCACTGGATCCGAGGGAGAGACGGTGTAACGCACTGCCAGCACCTCAGTTAGCTTTTCCTTCCTTGTTTGTGGCTGGCGCGGTGGTGCCGGCTGGGGCTGAGAAACCTGGCCCCTGGGAGATTTGTGATTGTGATGAAATCCCATAGAGCTCCTCCCGACTCACCCGGTCGTTACCTTCGAGGCTGAAAACAAGCCTTGTTTCATGTTAACGTCACGGCTGGCCCCCGTGTGGGAACACCGAGGTGATCCTTGCTTTTTTGTACGGTGTGGAGCTAATACAAATATTTTTGTGATAATTCCCTAATCTTTTACATCAGGGGGTCTTGACTCTGGTTTGAGAGGCTCTTCAGTGGTCTGTGCATGGGCTTTGGGCTCATGAGGCCTCAGCGTTTGATAGAATTTTCCGTTGTTTTCTGGGGTCCGGCTGTGGGGGTGGGGAGAAGGTAGGTTGTTGGAAAGAGTGAATAACTTCAGTCAAACTCTTAAAGAGATGCTGTGATCGCACCCTTGCAAAAACAAACATTAACAAATGACAGTTTCAGACATTTTTGTGGGGTGGCACGTACCCACCCATTGTCCATTTGTAAGCACACTTTTTTCTGGGAGGAAGTTTGGAAGTCCCCTTCCTGGCTTTGCCCATCCTTGCTCTTCACCCCTGAGCACTGGCTTGCCTGTCACTTGCCAGCTGTTCCTGAGGGCACCTTCTGTCCCTTTCCCTAGTTAGAAAATGCAGGAGAGCGGGGACCGCACACCTCATTTCTTTCACATTTCAAAATGCAAAGTCAGAGTTTGGAGCCCTTGAGATGCAGCCTCAGGGGCACTTCAGGCCAGAGCACACACTCGGCTAAGTGCGCGGGTTCCCTGGTGAGCTACTGAGATGTGCAAACCGGGAACATTTATTTATGCCTCAGCGGCAAGATGTGCTTTCCTCCCACCCAGTCTTCGTTTGCACAGCTCCTTGGAATCCAAGCGCTGTCACGAAAACAGCGAGGCAGCCTGTTTGCTCCAACAGCAGCCTGTTGGGCACACGTCCTGTGGGAGCAGCGTGGTGACTGCCACGGGCTGCCGAGGAGCAGGGGAGGCTTCTGCAGCGTGATTCTGCGCACATTCTACAACCCCTGCTCCTCGGGGTGCTGCAGAGGTGGCAGTGAGGTGACCCGCTCAGTGCAGCAGCCCTGGCGGCAGAGTACCCCTCGTGTGGCTGGCATTTCCACCATCAGAAAGCTGTGAGGGTCAGACAGCTTGCTTCACAGATAGTGGTCTGATTAAAACAATGCGGTGGTTCCCCACCTCCAAACAGGCTTTGAAGAGTTCTGCCGTGCGGTTTTAATTCAGTAGCTTCAGTTTTTTGAAAAGCTTTGGCGTATCTAACGCAACAAACACACGTAGCAGTTGGAAAGCTACAATGTTCCTGCCCTTTCTGGGAAGCAAATAATACGGCTGTGCACAGGGAGCGTTGACCTAATTAGGAAGAGACAGGAGAATCGCTCAGTAGCACTCAACGAGGTGGGTACATGGACCGATCACATCCGGTCATATTTTATTCAAGGACATGTCCCTGTTTGCTGGGTTGCATTATTTTCAAACTTCACTTTCCGGACATTTGAATGACTGACATATGCATTTTCATCTCCTGCCTCGCTGGCATCTCTAAATAATAAAGCTGTCATTCACGTTGCAATTTTCAGGGTGCCCCAGCCCTCTGTCGTTACGATGTCGAACCTCCAAAGTGGTTTTATGTCTGTCCCTCTTTAGCAGGTGAGGAAATCAGGACCTTTGAGTTGCCCGAACTACTGAGTAACAGTGCAGGTGATGTGAGCAGCTGTAGGGTCCCGAGCCCGGCTCAGGAGTCAGAGCTTGTTGTCCCCTCCTCGGAAAGTGCCCTTCACGCGGTCAGGGTCCGTAAATGCCCGCGCGCGTGTTGCTGGACTGGCTCACCCCTCCTCAAGGACTGAGTCTGGTCAAAATCTCCTTTGGGAACTGCCGCTTACCCGCGGAGGGCAAGGTAAGGAATCTGGCTCTCCTTCCCGGCCAGATGGCTTGATGATTGCATGAGAAAATGTGCCGCTTCACGTGTCTGTGCCTTTCGCCACTACAGCGCCCTTTCTGTCTTTAAGGAAAGAAGGCTTGTCCAAATGCGGAAGATGCAAGCAGGCATTTTACTGCCATGTGGGGTGTCAGGTAGGTGCTGGGCCAACTGGCAGGGCGGGCCTTGTCCCCTGGGAAGGTCGGGACCCCGGCGCCCTCCTCCTGCTTGTCGCGGCTTCCCCAGCACCCCCTGCAGCCAGCGCTGGGAAGCCTTGTCCTGGTACAGGCTGTGGCTGGATACTCCTGTGTGCCGGCCCAGGGTCAGAGCAGCGACACTTGGGGGCCACATAGAGGACCAGAGAAAGGAGCAGGAGGCGAAGTGGGGAAGACTCGAGGGGAGCCGCGCTGGGCACAGGCAGGTGTATTAGCAAGGCCGGCAGGTGGCCCCCACGGCCACCAGCAGTGGGCGGCATGTGCAGAGGTGACCGATGAGAAATGGGAAATGCTGTCTTCACAGTGTCTAAATGTTTACCCTCGTGGGTCTCTATTTTTACAAGTCCCTCAGGCAGGCCACACCACCTGCGGGCTATTTGAACGCAGCCTGATTCCAGCTGCAGTAGGTGAGCCCCTGGCACGGCCCTTGGCGCAGGAGCGGTTGCTGCGGACTGGTACTGGGAGCCGGAGCCCACAGGTCAGGGGGCTGCCGCGTGGAGACCTCGGGCGTCTGGTTTGATGGAAGTCTCGGGCTCCTGTAACAAGGGAACAGGATGCTTAGGAGGAGCTTGGAGGAAGTCTGTAGGGTCACGGGGGACTAAGAGGGGTGCCTTCTAAACTCTCCTACTAGACACTCATTCCCCCAGTGTTCATAGGTATTCCGTAGAAAAAGCGTTCCAAGTCCTGACGATCTGAATTTGGGGAGACTGTGACCTTTGACCTCTGTATACTCTCCCCAGTCTGTTTTTTCAATGGAACCCTAAAAAATACACCTTGGGAAATGCTGATGGTATTAAACGCAGTGGCGCCAACCGACAGGAAGTGACTTGGGGTCATTGACCCCATCCCACCCCCACCCCCTCTCATTGCCCACTCTTTCGTTTGTTTCCATCTCCTCTCCCTGGGCAGCTGCCTCTGGATGTCCACACAGCGCATTATTCAGCAATGGGAGAGGCTGCTAAGCCCTTCTGTCATCTGACCGAGGCGCCCCGGCCACCGCGGGCCCTGCCAGGATGAAGCACAGGCCGTGCCCTTGGCAAGGGAGTGTCTCCCTTGGCACCAAGGCCGTGTGCTCGATCCGCCTTCCTGCGCCTCCCGCGGCCGCTTCCAGAGGCTGTCAGCCTGCAGGCAGAGAGACTATAAATGGCTTGTGGCTGAGTCTGCAGGGAGGGTGCCTTCTTTTGAGGGGGAGAGATCCCACTTCGCTCCCACAGTTGTGCATAGAAGATGCTGCGGTTAGATTGCAGCGATGGGGACGTCAGCGAGCCCCGGGACTTCCACGATGTGATTCCAGACCTGATAAGTTAGCTGTTTCTATATTTAAGTGAAACGTGTCAAGAAAAAGTAACTCCTTAGGGTCTGTTTCTTTAGATAGGCAAGGGAGCAAATCATGTGCAGTTCGGGTGATAGACACAGACCAGCAGGAGGACGTGATCCCAGCTCTGCACTTGCTAACTCAGTGAACTTGGCAAGTCCAAGGACACCCTCCACCTCCGTTTCTTCAAATGCAAACAGGGACAGTAGTGCCCGTTGTAATGAATTGTAAGGACTACGTGATGTGATAGATGTGAATGTTCCATATACATTGACACTATGTACACATGTGAGGGCTTATAAAAAACAATGTTACCATAATTCAGGCAGCCTTTAGATTTTAGGGGCTTGGTTTTTTTTTTATTCCTCACCCGAGGATACTTTTCCATTTATCATCAGATAGAGTGGGGGGAGGGGTGCAACATCAATGTAACAGAACCACATCAACCGAGGTGCATGCCCTTGACCAGAATTGAACCTGTGACTCATTGGTCTGTGGGCCGACACTCTAACCGCTGAACCAAATTGGCCAGGGCAAGGGGCTTTTTTTTTTTTTTGTATGTGTCCCTAGTGGGAACCGAACCCGGGACTCTCTGGTCCGCAGGCCCATGCTCCAACTGCTGAGCCAAACCGGCCAGGGTGGGGTTTGTTTTTTTAACATAAGAGAATGGATGGATTCGAAAACCTTGAGACCACCAATGGTGTGCACTGTGTGAGTGACGCTGATTACAAAGTGAATCTTCACGTCTCTGATTAGCTGTGACCTCGGCATGAACACCAGGATGCGTGGGGGTTCCTCGGTCCTCAGGGTGTCTTGAGCGTGCTACTAAGCTCTCTTCCGTTAGGCCTCACCAGTGGCATTATGCCAATGAATCATTAAGGTCCGTGTTCGGGTTTTTAAGGTGGCCCTGTGGTTCTGCTGCCTTTAGGACCTAGTCTCCCAGATTTGCAGATCCAGAACCTCATTTATGGGCACACAACAAGGGGTGCCCTCTCTTGGCAGGTTCACGTTAGCCAAAACCACCAGCTTATGTGCCTGTTTATTACTTTACGACAGGCAGCCTGGTGGTCTGTACATTCTCTTCCTGTAGTCAAGTTGTACAGGTGGTTAAATCCTAATGAGGCCGCTTGGAGAGCAAGGAACCCCCAGGTGGAGGACACAGGCCTGGGATTTTGAGTCATGTTCAGAGGCCTGAGGCCGAGATGGCTTGCTGTGTTCAGCCTCCAGAGGAGTGGAGTCTTCCCTGCTGCTGGCCCGAGCACCCTCGGCCCTGGAGAGTCCTTTACAATTCATTTTTCTGTGCTTCTGTTAAGTATCTGGTACCAAAGGACCCTCCTAGATGACAAAGATAACACAACGCCCTTGTTTCTAGAGGTGGCGGGCTGGGTTTGACCTGTAAGTTTCATCTGCTCCATCTGTCTCTGGTCGAAGAGGAGGCTTCGAGCCATTCATTCAAGGTTTCCATCCTTTAGTCCTGAAGAACGGAGTAGTGCAGGCCATGTGTTATAACGAGAGAGAGCGGCCCTAAGGATTTAATAACAGTGAGTAACTAGAAATACATGGCGTGCAAGGGCTTCATACCAGTCTTCAGGGAGGACTCGGGGGTTCTGCTGGGGTGGGGTCCGTGGGGCGCTGCTGCTGGGGACAGCGGGCACCAAAGAAGAGCCCGATGAGGAAGGTAAGCGAGTGCTTCTCCACCTGAGGAAGCGTAGCCCTCCCTGGGCCTTCCTCACAGGGAGCCCGCACCCATCTGGAGTCCGGAGTCCTCGGCCGTCACCACCACACAGCAGAGGGGTTGGAATGAAGCTTAGCAGGTCCAGCCTGTGAGCAGATAAGGAAACAATGTCCACACTGGTTGGGTGACCTGCCTAAGGTCACGCAGTGTCAGACCCGGGACGAGACAGACGAAGGACTGTCAACATTTCCCAACGCCCTGCAGGAGTCCTGAGGGCCCCTGGGAGGAGAGGCAGGTGGGAATGTGGCAGAGAGAGAAGCGGACGTCATGGCCATGACAGGGAAGAGCCCCTCCCGTGTCGTCTTGCCAGCAGTCCCTCCGAGCGCTGGGCACGCACCTCCTCTTCCCAGGAAAGACAGGGTCTTGCGGGGTCCTGGGCACTGTGTCATCCCCCAGCCCTTCTCTGTGACTTCGGTGCTTGAGGGTGCTGCTGTACTGTACACCGTTTGGCTGCATCTTGTCCCACTTACTTTCTCCTCTTCACTGGTGACTCCGTGTGATCCTGCCAGAGGAAAGATTTTAATTGACGACACATAAAAGGGTCATGGGAGGAATTGCAGAAGAAATAGAAACGCCTTTTTTAGTTAGGCTTATTTGGTAACCTGCGTGTTTTAATGAACTATATTTACTTTTATAAATATGCCTAGAAAGCTAAGTGTGTTGTTCACAGACTTCATCAACCTGCAGCGTGATGTGTTTAAGAGAAGAGTTTTAGAAAGTCATTGGTTTTAGAGGAATCATTGGGGAGTAGAACTTTCTAGCGTATTATTTCTTAAATAGAAAAGAGAACGGCATTTTATAAATGGAGGTGATGGGTTGTGAGTGCTTTTGAAAGTAGGAAGGGGCTTGCCTTGGCTGGAATTTAAAAACAAAAACAAAAAAGCACGTGTGAGGAGCATCTGGCTAAAGATGTGAGAAAGTCCTCAATTTTTATCAATGGAAAAAACTATAAAGTGTAGAAAAGGTCTCAGAAATGCTCGTATGTCATGGTTCTGGGTGATGAGTGAATGGGGCCGGAATCAAAGGTTCAGTCTCGGTTAAATCACTGTGGCCTCGCAGACATGGGAAGCATCTGAAACGGAGCCGCTCCTTCGTGTATAATCTTCAGAGACATTTTTTTACATTAGGAAAAATTGTATGAATGATCGAGTGCATCCCGTCACTGTTTCATGGGGAATACGAGCCAGAGCGTGTACCTGGGGAGGGGCTCAGCGCGCGGGTCGTCCTCCTGTGAGCTGGCAGTGCGACTTCCCCTGGGAGGCAAAGGCAGTGGGAAGCAGGGAGTGCGTGGCAGTTTCTGACTCGTCCACGTTAGGAAAGCCCACGTGTACGAGTGGCCTGTGTCTGTTTTGAAGGCTCCATGAGAACTAGAGAGGCACCGACTGCAAGACATAGAGAAGGGGACTCGGCAGTGAAACCCGGCCTCCTTGCCTGGCCAGTGGGGCTCAGTGATCGAGCCTCGTCCACGGACTGAGAGGTCCCGGTTTGATTCCTGGTCAGGGCACACGTCTGGGTTGCGGGTTTGACCTCCAGTAGGGGGCGTGCAGGAGGTGGCCGATTCATGTTTCTCACATCCATGTTTCTCTCTCTCTCCCTTCCTCTCTAAAAAAATCAATAAAAACAAATATTTTTTTAATCCTCACCTGAGGACATTTTTTTCCATTTTTTTGTTCAGCTAGAGTGGGAGGGAGAGAGAGGAAGAGAGAGAGAGAGAAACATCAATGTGAAAGGGACACATCGAGTGGCTGCCACCCGCACGACCAACCAGGGCCGGGGACAAACTGCAACCGAGGTACATGCCCTTAGCGGGAACCGAACCCGGGTCTCTCGGGACCGCAGGCCGATGCTCTAACCGCTGAGCCAAACCGGCCAGGGCAATAAAAACAAATTTTTTTAAAAAAAATCCGGCCTCCTGAGCCAGGAAGACCATGTATCCTTGGCTCAGCTGGACAACCTGATGTCAGTCTCGTCTCCCAGTGCTGGGAGTGCGGTGCCTGGGAGACAGTTCTGCACCCTTGGTGCTGCTTTAAGCATTTCTGCCCACGCACAGACAGGGACGCTATGCAGAGCGCTTAGTGTGTTAGAAGTTTAAAAAGCATAAAAAGAATCCATGTTTTACTTTTATATGGATTTACTAAAGTTTATTGCACAAATAATCTGTGCATATTATAGAAAACTCAGAAAGTACAGACTAAAGAATAGAAAGAACATCAGCAGTCTTGCCTTTCCAGAGAAAATCACTAGTAACACTTTGGTATATGTCTTCCTGAATCCTTCCTATGCATTTATTTGTCTGTTATTTTTCTGGAAAATGGGAACTGAGTTTTTATAAAATTTTTAAAAGATTGTAATCAGGGCATGAGTAATAGCTTGAATTTGGAAGAAAAATAGGAGAAAAGGTTTTAGAAAAACTGACACAAAATGTTTTAGAAAGCATAAAGGGTTGTAAACCCACTCTGTGAACAAAAGAAACCCCTAATACTGAAAAAGCACTAAAAGGCTAGCCTGATTTTTTCCCAACTGTGTCCAACCTGATTGTTTATAATACTTTATGTGCTGAACTCAAGCAGATGGTCTCTGTCAGTCTCCAACAGAAAGTGAAAACATTATTAAACTGATGAATTTCCCTTGAAATTCACGTGATTCCGCCCTTCCCGGAAGTTACCCAGGTCTCAGATTTCACTGCACACTGTGGGTGCTCTTGTTTTTACCTGGTGTTCTGATGAAGGCGTAAACTACGTCAAGTCAAAGACTTCGTCTCCCACCCCTGCCCCTAGGGTCCATTGCAGAGCTCATTGAGTGAGTGAGTGAATGAGTGAGTGAGTGAATGAGTGAGTGAGTGAATGAGTGAGTGAGTGAATGAGTGAGTGAGTGAATGAGTGAGTGAGTGAGTGAATGAGTGGGTGAGTGAATGGGTGGGTGAGTGAGTGGATGAGTGAGTGAGTGGATGAGTGAGTGAGTGAATGAGTGAGTGAGTGAATGAGTGAGTGAATGAGTGGGTGAGTGAATGGGTGAGTGAGTGAGTGAGTGAATGAGTGAGTGAGTGAATGGGTGGGTGAGTGAATGGGTGGGTGAGTGAATGGGTGAGTGAGTGAATGAGTGGGTGAGTGAATGAGTGAGTGAGTGAATGAGTGAGTGAGTGAATGAGTGAGTGAGTGAGTGAGTGAGTGAGTGAATGAGTGGGTGAGTGAATGAGTGAGTGAGTGAATGAGTGAGTGAGTGAGTGAGTGAATGAGTGAGTGAGTGAGTGAGTGAATGAGTGAGTGGGTGAGTGAATGAGTGAGTGAGTGAATGAGTGAGTGAGTGAGTGAATGAGTGAGTGAGTGAGTGAATGAGTGGGTGAGTGAGTGGATGGGTGAGTGAATGGGTGGGTGAGTGAGTGAATGAGTGGGTGAATGGGTGGGTGAGTGAGTGAGTGAGTGAATGAGTGGGTGAGTGAGTGGGTGGGTGAGTGAGTGGATGAGTGAGTGAGTGAATGAGTGAGTGAGTGAGTGAGTGAATGAGTGAATGAGTGAATGAGTGAGTGAATGAGTGAGTGAGTGAGTGAGTGAACGAACGACCGAGCCCGTAAGGGAACAGTCGCCACCGTCCGCTGCGAGTGTGCTGTGTGCCCCACCCTGTCCTGAGTGCTCCCCGTGGGTGAGCTGATTGGATGCTCACAGGCCCCTTGTGGAGACGGGAGTGCCTGATTGCCCTTCGAAGGTCCTGTATTTCTTGGTAGTCTTCAGGATTTGTATCTGATCATCGCTTTTGGAAGGTGTAAATCTTAGACTCAGAGTTCTGGGCCTGCTAAGTAACTTAGGGATCATGATATTTACAGCCAAGGATACAGATGCAAAAGGACCTCAGAGGCCTGTCTAGCGTCACCTCGCTGCTTTGTGGACATAGGAGTGCAGGTTTCCCGAGCCCCGGACCAGTGTCCTACCTGCTGTCCTCCCAGAGCATTCCTTGTAGCTGGGTTCCCTTCTCTTTAAGGGCATTTGCATCAATAAATGTCAACATTGTATGTTACTTATATTAACATTAATTTTGTATTAAGTATATTAATAAATAGCGAATAAATCATATTAAGAAACGTTCATATTGAACTTCTTTCTCCCAGGAGCTCATTAAACACCAGAGACACCATCTACAGTTCAGAACACTGATGTCTCATAGGCCCTGCAAAGGCCTTTTCTTAGAGCTCCCGGGGTCATAGTGCACCCTGTTCCCAGTTGTTAATGACGCATCTCTCCCGGCTGGTGTTCCCCACCTTCCTCCTTGGTATCCCAAGGCCTGAAGTCCTCCTGTCTTTCTCCTTCGGCTTTGCATCTGCGGGGGAGCTGGTCCCACCTGTTCCCACCTCATTGCCTCATCGCTGTGCTTTTTTTAGGCTCTGGCTCAAAGCGGACCCTCTTCTCCTTGGGCAGATCCTATCATCGCTTCCTGTCCCTGCTCCTGGTTATATCTGGCCCGGCGTCATTTAACTCTGCAGAACATCTTGGCGTTGTCATGAAGTGACAGTGTGTCCTTCCTTCTTGGGGTGGCTGAAGGGAAGGGGGTAGGGAGACATCTCCATTCATTCGGCAGCTTCACTGAGGCACTGTTCTAGGTTCTGGGGTGACCGGTGTGAACAAAACCAACTAAGTCCCTTTATTTTCCGGGGGTGGGGGAATTCCAGGCCAGAAACCGAATAAACATGTAATGTGTCGGGAGGTGAAGGTACTAGGAAGAACAAAGCAGGAAAGGGGTGGGGTGGGGAAGTGCCACTCGGGGTACGGTGGCCGCGGCAGGTGGCTTGCAAGGTGACTGGAACAGAGACGTGGAGGGGGGGAGGGGTGTGGACATCTAGAAGGTTCTAGCCAGGAGATGCAGCCGGTGCTGAGGGCCCATGGCAGGAGCGTACTTGGTTCGTTCAAGGGACGAGAAGGAGCACGTGGCCCGTGTGGCCAGCATCCGCCGGAGGGGAACTCCCTTTGTGTGTGGCCTCGCAGGTCACCTCGGACTTGGCCGTTTGCTCGAAGGTTCTGAGCTGAGAGAGGGCATGGATTTTGTGTAACAGACCGATGACGCTGGCTGCCCTGTTGATGGCAGCCGGGGGCCAGGGCAGAAGCGGGCATGCCGGCTGGAGGAGGGCAGCCACAGGCTGGAGCAGTGGGTGACGAAGTGACAGACTCTGGGTGGGCTCTCGGGGCACAGAGGACGGACTGGACAGAGTGAGCGGAGTGACTGGCTGTTTCCTGAGGAGGAAAGGCTGAGGGAAGAGCGGGCAGGACCCAGTTCCGTTGTGAGGGACAGTGTCCGAAGACCCCTCAGTACACAGACGTGCTCTGACGTTTCCCAATGAAAAACGAGCCCCCTGCAGCCTTGCCCCCATTGCTCCCAGTACATGTCTCCTTCCTCTCTCTGTCTCTGTCTCTGACTCTCCCCCTCTGGGGTCCGCTGCCAGCAGCCTGTGCTCCGCTCACACGCCACACTTGGTCTCTGTCAGCCTCAGCGGTGACCTCCAGGTGTCCAGTCAGTCCTCTGCCGTCCCACACTAGCTGTCGCGGCCTCTTCCTCCCCACTCCTCGCTCTGCCGTGGTCTCCCCAGCACCTCGGGTCCTGGACTCCATGGCACGGCCACCCTTCCCGGACTGAGCGGGGACCCTCGGCCCTCACCCTGGGGCAGACGCCGAGAGAGAGGACCAGCCTCCTGTCTCAGCGGCTGACCCTGGGGAAGCCGAACATCCCCACAGGCCTCGTCGCCCGGCTCCCCGAGGGCCCTGGACGGAGCCTCACTTAGGGGGCAGCTGCACACGCCAAGCCCAGTTATGTGCCCACGTGACACCAGAGCCAAGGGACTGGCAAGGGCTCCGTCCCGGGCTCAGCCCTGCGCCGCGGCAGCTTCCACAGATGACACAACGGCGGACAGGCCGTCCGGGCTCAGAGGCTGCAGAAGACGAGTCGCTCTGAAGCGACACAGGGCGGCTTTCCTCCTCCTGACAGCCCGGCCAGGCCCCGGGGAGCGCAGGGGACCCGACCAGCCTGCCTTAAAGGATGTTTTTCTGTCTGGCCGTTCGAGCATTGTTGTGTTCCCCAAAAGGAAACACATTTCACTTGACCTTAGCTGGCAGGACTGGTTGTATCCTCTCTTCTTGAACCTCATTCCAGTCTGTGCGCGTTTAATCTTTTTTTTTTTTAACCTTCCCAGAAAGAAGATTGGCCCATGCACAGGCTGGAATGTGCTCCCATGGTGGTTTGGGGGGAAAACTGGAATCCCTCAGAGACCGTGAGGCTCACTGCAAGGATTCTGGCCAAACAGGTGAGGCGTGGGATAATGTTCAAGTGCATTTTATTTACTTGTTTATTTTCTGAAAGGTCAGAGAGATGAGTGGCTGACCTCTGGTGATGACCGCTCGTTAATCATGCTTGGACTCGATGTCCTGACACGTCCTCGGGAAACAGAACCCCAGGTGTAAGCTGGTTTGTCACTCACCCTCTGCCACTAGGATGTCACTTACCCCGGGCCCGGAACATGGCCACAGCTGTTAGACGCTCAGCCTTTTGAGGAGATAGGATCGCGTGGAAAAATCCGGCTTTCCAAGGCAGGAACACCCGATGGGACATAATGAGCGCCCCCTAGGGAACCAGATTGGCTGAGAAGCATCGAGATGTTCCCTCTTTGCTTTCTGACTCGGAGCGGGCGCCCCCACGCCCCATACAGTGTCCTGCTCTTTTGTCTCCTACCTGCTCGTGTCCGGGTTCCCCTGGGGGAACCGCCAGGGAGGCATATGCAGAGGAGAGGAGAAAGAGAAGTGGAAAAGTGGAAACTGAGGCAAGGGGAGAGGGTGAAGGAAAGAAATGTTCCTGTGGGAACGTGAGAGCAGTTTCCCCCGAAGATGACACCAGGCCCGGCTGTGCCCCCTCCTCGTCTGCTCAGTCCTCACTGATCCCGTGTTAGGGAGACAGATGCCCGATCTCCAAAGGACCACGCGGAAAAGAGGGGAGGAAAACGCGTGGGACTTGTCCTGTGACACCGTGAAACAGGCCACGTGGAGCTGGCAGGGCGTCCACGGAGGTGCTTGCTGATAAGCAGACGGTGAATCTTCGGGAGCTGGAATGCCGTCGCCTCTTCTTTATGCCAAACACCCCTTCTCAGACTTTCTGTGTTGTGTCTCAGCCACATGTGATCATGATGATTAGCGCAAATCTGCCCCCAGACGAGGCTGGGATCCTGGGCCCCATAAACAGGAGTGGATCATTTCCGAACTCTGAGCTCACCGTTCCGTTATGTTCAGCCGGGGTCAGGCGCTTGCTGAAATGCCACCGGCCAGCTCAGGGTAACCGCAGGCAGGCAGGGTGCCCGCAGAGGGAGACAGCGGAGAGGCCGGAATGGTTTTCCCCGGAGGAGGTTAACTCTGGACCCTGACTGACAGTGATCTTTCAATATCGGCAGAGTACTTGCTCAGAAGGAAAGGGTACGGGCAGTGGTGTGACTCGGTGAGGTGTCTGCGCAGATCTGCAGGCCTCCTGGGAGGATTGGGTGACGGGGCTGCTGCCCCCCACCCCCTCATCGATGTTATTTATAGAGTTGTGATTAGGAATTCAGAAGAAGCTGATGTACTTTCCTGAATGAATAGCTCTCCCAGGCAAAATGAACTATACTAATCTTACAGAAACGTGACCTGTGAATGGAAGATTTCTGCTCCAAAAAGAACTGTGGAAATGTTTTGGTACTAGGAGGGTGGTCAGAATGCTCTGATGAGTTTATACCAGTTTCATTCAATTTTTGTTATAATTACTACGACGACTGATAGTCTATTAAATGAAAAGTTACCTGGCCCAACCTTTTCATCTCTATGGGATTTGATGATTAAAAAAACAGACCATTTGTATTCTAGTAGCTTGCAAAGGATTAGGGGAGACAGGCTACCCAGCTACCAGGGGGAAGCTTAACATGTTAACTAGGGAGGTGAGCGCGCCCTGCTAGACCACCTGTATGCCCACATTGAATAGCCCGATTACAAAGACACGCCTCAGGCCAGCTCTTGAGCTCCGCGTTTGAACTCTTGTCAACACCAAGTTTATTCATGTCCTCAAAGCCTAGCGGGTTTACTATTGTCAGCTCCTCTTGGGATGTCTAGAACAAAGCCAGCAACACGTTTAAAGCGAATCTGGGTTCAGAGCTACAACCCAAAGTGTTCCTTTTGAAACACAGAATTTGAGATCATTTTAGCTTATGCTTAAAGAAAGTGTAAAATGGATGGGGGGTTTGATTTTGTTCCTTTTCAGGAGAGATAATCAATAGGCCGGCTCATCTGTAGACTCCATCCTTTCAAGCCAGGGCCCGAAAAAAGTTGTTTTCCAGCCTCTGTTCTTTCTCATAACAAGCGTTTCTGAGCCTACTGTGTGCATAGCATTATCGGGGTGCTGGGGGAAAGGAGCCTTGGGTTTGAACACGGGGCAGATGCTCTCTGAGCCCCGTGGTGATTCTTGGGTCTCTTTCTTTGCCTCAGTGAGATGTGCGGGTTTCTTCCTGTGGATGTAAATGTGAAACCTCGTTTTGCCCTGGTTGTAAAACCTGTGTCTGTGATTTCTTCCCCCATTCCTAGAAGAGCCACCCGGAGAGGACACCTTCGGAGAGACTGCTGGCCGTGCAGGAGTTTGAATCACGTGAGTCGTCTGCCACCAGCCGCGGGGATCCTTCCTCCGCTCAGTTAACCCGGTGACCCAGGACCCGCTGCGGGGATCCTTCCTCCGCGTAGTTACCGCGGGTGACGCAGGACCGGCCGATCCCCGCTTGGTTAACGGGGGTGACGGACGAAGACAGGAAGTGCTCATTTGTTAGAGCCAGTGGTGGTCATACAAGGAACAGTTTGTGGTTTTTTTACTGCTGCTGTTGTTTGTTTGTTTTGTCCTCACCTGAGGACATTTTTGCATTTATCTTCAGATAGAGCGGGAGGGAGAGAGAGAAACATCAATGTGAGAGAGACACATCGACTGGTTGCCACACACACGACCCAGGGTTGGGGACAAATGCAACCGAGGCACGTGCCCTTAGCGGGAAGCGAACCTGGGCCTCTGGTCCACAGGCCGACGCTCTAACCGCTGAGCCAAACTGGCCAGGGCACAATGAACAGTTATTATTTCGGCGTGTGTGCTCTTCTGAAAAGTGACTGTCACTTGTTTTTCTGAGCAGACGGATCCCTAGGAAATAACGAGGGGGAAGTGGAACCTTGGGGGTGAGTGACTGCGCCCCAAGCCGCCTCCTGCGGGCTCTCCTGACCTGCTGAACATTTCTGGGTTTTTGCTGAAATGCAGTCCTGTGAACAGCTGATGTCCTTACTAAGCGACGTTAAGTCAGGGGCTCTCCAGCCTCTTCCAGGGCTAACCAGGGGGCCTCGACTGGCCCGAGGCTGAGTATCAGTCACTGCATGTACCCCTGACCTCTCTGCTAATGGTCAGTTGGCATTTCACATGCTGAGTGGCTTCCAGTTGTCAGAGGAAGAGAGGACAGGAATAGTGTGCTTCTCTCCCCTGGGGTTCACCCATGAGACTGAGCGATGAGGAAGGGTAGTTTGGGGGTTCCACTGACTCCCTTCTCCTCCGGGCCATTTACAGTAAGAAAGGTGTGTCGCTGGAAATGTAGTTTTCTGCATGCTGACGGTCGGTTCTTCCGCAGATCTGGATAAATTGGACAATGAGAAGAAGGAGCTGATTCAGAGTGACATTTCTGCCCTCCATCACTTCTACGCCAAGCACCTCGAGTTCCCCAGCACCGAGAGCCTGGTGGTGCTCTTTGCACAGGTAACGGCGCAGCCTCGGCGGCACTTGTAGCGTTCCCTGCCCGGGCCCCCGGCCCAGCACACTCTCGGTGAAGGGGAGCAAAGTAGAGGGGTGGCATCTGTGAGGACAGGGTTCTTGACCTGTTGGACCTGTTTTGCGTGACCTCACAGGTGACCTTGAGCAGGGCAGGGACCTGTGCTGCCCTGGAGTTGACGGGTCGAGCACAGGAGAGTCACCCTCCCTCTGCCTCTTGTCGCAGGAAGCGAGTATGAAAGCAGAGGCGTGGCCGGCGCCTCGGTGCCGTGGCGCAGGGTAGGCTCTTTGAGAAGAAGACCCCTTGAGGTTCCCACATTGTTGGACTCTTCTCTTAAACCTTTCGTTCTGACAGCACTGGGTTTGTTTTCCGTGTCTACCAACTCCGTGCTGGTGAAGCAGCTGTTCCCAAACGCAGATGCCGAGAGGCCATCTCCGATGCCTGGGAAGAACCCACCGGGGAGGAGCCCAGTGGGTCTAGGTGCAGGAGGTCTTGTCAGGCAGCTTTAGAGAAGTCTAGGTTAACCAAAACCAGATGTAATAAAAATTAGAGGAGCTTCTAGACAGGGGCAACTTGGAAGAACTGGAAAGCAGCCACGTGCAAGGGCTAAGGCTGGGGCTCGGGGGGAACAGAAGAAGGCGCAGCCGCACCCCAGCTTCCTGTAGTCGCCAGGGTGGCCCCTCCTGGCTCATCTGCCGGATCGGACTTCTCTCTGATACACTGTTTCCCCTGCAAACTGAGCATGTCATTGAGGGTGACTGTCCCAGGGAGAGATACTGGAAGACGGCCCCACGGAGCGAGAAGCCACATTGCTGGCAGAACCTTCGGGCTCTGGCCTCGATGTATAAGAGCACGGGCGGAACTCCCACATTGTTCTCGGAACAGGATAAGCACCACCTGTGTACCCTTTGACTCAGTAATTGTATGTCCAGGACTCATCCCGAGGGGGCAGTCAGAGAGCATGGCACAGGTGGGCATGTAGTCTTTCATTCTGGGATTCTCTTTAACAGCAAAAAAAAAAAAAACCCAGCCAGTGTGGCTCAGTGGACTGAGCGTCCTTCCATGGACTGAGGGGTCCCGGTTCGATTCCCAGTCAGGGCACATGCCCGGGTTTTGGGCTCGATCCCCAGTAGGGTTATGCAGGAGGCAGCCGATCAGTGTTTCTCTCTCATAGTGATGTTTCTATCGCTCCCTTCCTCTCACTCTAAAAAAAATAATAATGAAAAATAAAAACATATTTTAAAACCAAAAAAAAAAAAAATCTGGACGGCCCTCTGTAAGACTTTGTGAATACATTCTGGCATATACTGTAAGCACACTTCAGAGACTGTCTAAAGACATGGACAGACACTGATGATGTAACCTTGAGTATAAAAGCAGGAGAAGAGTGGCTATAATATGAAATACACCTGCACACGTGAAGCCCGGTGAATGAACGTTCACAGTCGGTCGTCTGAGTTGTGGAAAATTTTTGCTTTTTTTGGCCGGATGACTTTTTGAATCCTCTACAATAAGCACGTGTAACTTAAGAAAACACTAAAAAGAAGAAAAGGATCAAAATATGACCCACAGTTCTCCCACTTTAAAAATCACGGACATAGAGAGCGGTGAGTCTTCATGACTTCTCCAGCCGCTTCCCCGGAGCGAGGCGGACGGGCCGATGGACAACTCAGGGACAGACGTGCTTCTGCGGTGGGACTGTCCCTCAGAACACAGACAGCTGTTCTTCGTAAAGGAACATGGGTTCGAGCTACGAGCATTAAAGCAATGAGAGTACAACCCTCCTGTTTATCGTGTTACCCGGACTCAGGGACCCCTAAAACGGCGGGTTTGGGAACAATGGAAAGTTGAGGTATTGACCTCTCTCACATTTTTTTTTTAACTAAATAAGTGACATTTTCCCCTGGGTTAGATGAGGCATGGTTACGTGAGAGAGCGGAAGAGGTGAAATAAATACTAGGCATCTTCTTTTCACCTCCAGCTGTGAACACAAGGTGACTTCCTCCAAGACAGCAGCGCATGCTGCGGGGACTTCCAGTGGTGACGGAGTGGATAGGGGACCATCTCTTCATAGCCAGACCTCAAGGCACTTGCTCTCACATGCAGAAGTATATTCGTGGTGAAAATGACTCAGAGACTTTGAATTTTTATTTTATTTTATTTTATTTTTTTATCCTCACCCGAGGATATTTTTCCATTTTTTGTACAGATAGAGTGGGAGGGAGAGAGAGGAAGGGAGAGAGAGAGAGAAACATCGACGTGAAGGGACACATCGAGTGGCTGCCACCCGCACGACCAACCAGGGCCGGGGACAAACTGCAACCGAGGTACGCGCCCTTAGCGGGAACTGAACCCGGGTCTCTCTGGACTGCAGGCCGATGCTCTAACTGCTGAGCCAAACCGGCCAGGGCTGAATTTTGAACTGACTCAGAAAATCCGGGAGATAGATACAAATATATATACACACACACACGTATCCACATATATATTCACTCCCATGTGTATAACCACAGATAATTGTTTTCGTTATAGACTTTGTAGTAATCAAATATCCATTCTGAGATTGTATGTGTACACAGAAACACACACGTGTGTGTGTGTGTGTGTGTATGTATCTTTTTTCATATGTGAATTTGGAAAGGGACAGTCAGTAACCCCAAAGAAAACTCTACAGCAAAAATGGAAAGTGTTGTCCCAGCCTCACACCGTGCTCTGGTCCTGCCTCTCCGCCCCAGCTGCCTGTCCCGTCCCAGCCTCTGAGCCCGCTCCTCTGGTTCAGGGGGGCGGGGGTAGCCCGTGGCCCGGCCGCAGCTGGCAGCAGAAGGTGACTGCACCCGTGCACAGCACTGAGGTGCATTCTAATCACTGGGAACATATGCATGGCTGGGAAATGTATTTCTGGTGTGCAGCCTACATCTAGTCTAAATGCTAATTATGAGAATAGCTTTAGCAAGGCACTTAACGCCTGATTTGACTTGAAAAAAAGGACTATGGCCCATGCATCTTCCTTAATACCCAAGTTCACTTTTCTTCCCCAGAGATATTTCAGAAGGCAGGGAAAGCTGACAGGCAAATTGCTATGCAATTTGGCTTAAACACCATCACTGCTTCCGAGAAAAGAACAGTGATGACACCGTGCTTCTAGGAGCCTTTGCCGACGGAGAAACACACTCACTCTGGCACAGGAAGAGGAGGAGGGCAGAGGGAATAAGCTACCAGTGGTTAGAGCATCTGAGCCTAGAGGCATCTGGAGTCAGGTTGGTCCAGCTGGTCTCCCTCCCTCAGACTCAGTCTGTCCCTTAGATCAGTGTTGAAGATTGTTGCTAAATTCTCTCATTCATTCTGCAAACATTTACTGCCGTCTTGCGGGTCCCAGACATGCCGAGGTGTGTTGATATCCAGCCGGAGACTGTCTGCAGGTCACTCAGTACTTACTGAGGTGCAGGACGCATAGTTCATGCTCCAGTAAAACTTCGTCGAATGAATGAAAATCCTCATTAAACTCTTACCTAATGTTGATGGATGCTCATTGCTTAAGGGTAGTTGGTCAATGTCCTGACGACAGAATGGGTGAGGATACTTGAAGTCGAGATGGTGTGCTAAGTCTTCTCCATAGAAATGGCCGACACCTCAGGATTTCGAAGGCCGTGCATTGTTCTGCTAATCCTCAGTCTTCTCTTTTTATGTTGAAAGTTGTAGATACTGATTATAAATATGTTGAATTATAAAAGCTGTAAGTCGAACCATCATTGCCTTTACTTCTCTGTGTACCAAAATTCCCAAGCCTTCGACATTGGCCCTTTGGTTTTAGCACTGCATTAACGTGCATAGATCAGACGATTTCTGAAGAAACTTGGTGTAGTGTAAAGAAACATTTTTGTGTTTCTGACAGCTTTTCTGTCAGACTGTCTAGTTTGAATTCTGACTCCTTATTTCCCCACTTGCTACTTACGGAGCCTTGAACAAGTTACTTACCCACGGCCTCTTTGAGCTTCAGTTCCCACCCCTGTAAAATGGGTTATGCCAGAGTAGCACTGCAGATGTAAGCGAGGTAAGTATGCAGCACCTGGCACAGCGCCTGGCCCGGAGTAGGTGCTCCTTGGGTGCTGGTTTCCCAGAGGCCTCCGCTGGCCTGCAGTGTGCCCGGGCCATGTCTCCGGGGTGGAAGAGTGTGGTCTGGGCCCACGAGGTATGCACGCCTTGCACACAGCCTTCCCAGTGGCTTGGGAGGACAAGTCACGGCTCGTCTCTGACCTCAGTTCCACCCTCTGAAAAGGAAAGAGACTGACTGAGTCCCCTTCCAGCCCTGAAACTGGACACAAATGAAAGCACCCACGGAACTGTCTCCCAGGAGGCTGTTTCTCGAGGGCAGAGTTGGGCGTGTTCATCTGTGTGCACAGCACCCAGTACATGCGTGCGCTGTGAATGTCGGTGAAAAGATTGGGTTTATGGAGCAACAGAACATCGGGGAAGTCCGTTCCTCATGTTCCTCCTGCCAGCTCTGAGCTAGACTCCCAGAATGGTGGGAGTTGCCCTTGGCATTTTTCAATGTAGCATCTCGTTTCAAGCATGAGAAGGTGGCCTGTGGTTCACTTGGCCGGCCCTGAAAGGTAGGTCTCAGCCCCTTAGGGTCAGGCCCCTCTGCCTCCCAGGGGCAGTTAGAGCGGCTATATAAGGGCTTCCCATTCACCACCCCCCTGTGGGCGATGGGCACCGGGTAAGTGACTTCTTTTCGAACAGGAGAAAGTCGAGGACGTGGGACTCAGAGATGGGCTCAGGATCACACTAGAGATCTGTGGCACAATGGGATTAGACTCCGGAAACCAACTCCCACTCAGATGAGTAGACGTTAGCCTTTGGACCTCAGTGTCTGTTGTTTGGCTGCGTGTGTGGGAGGGTAGGCAGGCCAGACGAAGGATGCTTCCCCCTGAGAGATTCGGGTTTTACTTGTTTACACATGAGGCTGATAGGTACATTTTGTTTGGACAAAGGATGCTTCAGCCAAAAGAAGGGTTTAAAAATCACAGCACCAGAACATTTTCCTGGTTACTTTGTTAAAGGTCAGAAATTGAAGAAATTATTCCTAGCCAGACACAAGGTTTAGCTTATTTTTTTCTTCTTCTTCTTCTTTCTTTCCTCCCCTCACTGCAGGTTAACTGTAACGGCTTCACAATCGAAGATGAAGAACTTTCTCATTTGGGATCAGCAATATTTCCTGAGTAGGCTGAGTTTGACTTTTTTCATTTATTTTCTTTTTACTTACTTAACACTAATTTGATTTAAAAATAAAGCTACCTAAGTGCATGTGGCAGACAAGACACTCCAAGTGGATTAAGACACCGTTTTAATCCTGCCAGATTTCAAAATATTTCCCCCACGTTTAAGGATCCAAAGGTGGTTGTTAGGAGAACAGTGACTTGTTCAGTCCTGCCAGTTCGAGAGCTGGTACTAAAGAATGTTTCATAGTGTGCCGAGAAGTGAGCGCTTCTGCGTGTCTGCGGTTGTGGAAGGCTCTGGCTTTCTTGCACGCGAAGGGGAACATGAATTGCCAATCAATAGCTGACCAGGGGCTTCTGTGGAGAAGATATGAGCTGCTTCTCCATGCGTCCTGTTTGAAAAACACCAGAGCAGAAAGTGCAGTTTGGAGGGAGAGCGTACCAAAGCGGGGAACCAGGGGCACTTCAAAGGACCACAGGAGTTTCCCTACTTCGGGAATACTTACTCCAGGAAAGGCGGGCCAGATGACAAATGCGATCTTTACAGACCGACTTTAATGGGCCGCTGGGAAAGGCTTTGCCTTTGTCTTCTTGACGAAAAGAGGATTTTCCAAATGCCTCCGCCCTCCGACATGCAGCCCTGGCGTCACAGCTGGCCAGGGAGCCGTCCTTCTTCCCCGTCTGAAGTGGTCCACCTTGCAGACTATTCTGTCCAAAGTGGTGTTGCCGAATGTTTACTACAGGGGCCCTTGGCCTTAGGTTGAAGCAGTTGTAGGAGTGACATGTGTCGGTCCTGGTGTGTCTGGTGTCGCCCAGCTCCGGGCATCACTGAGTCTGAAGGGTAAAGAACCTGTACAGGTCCCCGTCCAGAGCCGCTGTGACAGGCGTTCCTGAACCACAGAGACAAACTGTGTTCGCCATTATAATGCTGTCCCTGTGGCCAGAACGGTGTCATCGGCCGCTTGAATCCGATAGTGAGGAGACAAGTGTTTGGGAGAGAAGCTCTGCGGACTTTTGCCCTTGAGAAAGGGCAGGCGAGAAGGAGAAAGGCATGAGACCCCCTCAGTGGCCGGGGCTGGTGTTGACGCCATCAGACCAGACGTGACCGCACTCGCTCAGCCTCAGCGGTGAGACAGCGGCAGGGCCCCAGCGGTGCTGTCAGAGGCTTCGCCCTCTTCCGTCATCACCAAGAAACTGATGACACCAAGGCCAGGGTTGTTCCAGGTTCTCTGCCTCAGCGCATTCTCCCCACCTTCGTCACAAAGGCGCCGAAGACCTCTGCCAGGTGGCTCCAGAAGGTTCTGGAGCTCTGCTTTTCCATTACTGACTTGCGGTGCAGCTGTCGATCAGAGTCCCTAGGGCCCAGTTCCCTGTGTGCCACTTGCCAGGAAGCCCTGTGGGCCATGATGGGTGGTGGAGGTGACCCGCCCCCCAGGACAAGCCGGGCCAATCGCTGCGTGCTGTGCGGGCTCAAGGCAGACCTCTGAGCCACAGGCGGTGGGGGGCTGCCCCCCGGTACCCGCAGGCCCAGGGCAGCTCCTCCTCAGGCTTCCAAACCCCTTTGCTGCCTTCGTATTCGTGGGGCAAACAGGAGAGGGGTTTTGGTGGCTGTGGGTTCAGGAAGTGGCAGTGGCCACCGGAGCAGTGATACCTACGGGTGGGAGTGCCCACACGGGCCCCCGTTTCCAGGCCGTTTTAATTGGGGGGAAAAATCCCTTCGGACTGAAATCAGTTTGGCATTGTGATTTCAAAGGCAGCACTTTCAAAGATCAAGCACTTTCCCCCTGTAGTTTAGAAATTTCTGTTCTCAGAACTTTGACCTTGATATAATCAGAAAGCTCAAAGCCCCTTGCACAGGCGGGTCTCTCTGTCCTCGCCACCCCTGAAAAGCAGGCGAGGAGCAGCAGGGGCAGCCGTGCCCCAATTTTCCGGATGAGGAAATTGAGGTGCAGAGACTCAAATGGGCTTCCCCAGGTCTCTCGGGGATCAGAAGCCCTCACTCGGGAAGCTGGCACGTTCCCGGTGGCCATCTGAAGAAAACATGTTGGAAATAATCCACTAATAGAAAAAGCAGCTTGGAAATGACCACCCGTCTGTCTTAGCCAGTGTACAGGGGGCGGCAGCAGTTTGCTGGAGGTGTTGGGGTGTGAGTCCCGCATCCAACAGGAAGGAATTCTTGTGGAATTCATCGTGGCCATTTTTAGCCCCATGTGTTTTTTGGGTTTTGGCTTAGATACCAGTATTTCGAACGGCACACCTCACTTTCCAGCATTGGGAAGTTTAAGGTGACAGGTGCGTGCAGAAACCCTCTTAGGATATGACGACCAGCCATTAGATCTCGTCTGTGTCCCGCAAAGACCACGTGGCTGTGACTTAGCAAGTGAGGGGCTGAGGGTTTCCCAGACTGTCTGCTTCCTGAGCAAATCGGGTTTTCTCTTCCGGTTGACAGCGTTGCACTGATGAACCATAGTTGCTGCCCCAACGTCATTGTGACCTACAAGGGGACCCTGGCCGAAGTCAGAGCCGTCCAGGAAATCGGCCCAGGAGAGGAGGTGAGTGCCCGGCCGTGGGTTGCTGGGCAGGGAGCACCAGGTCCGTCCTCTGGCCCTCCAGGGTTCACGTGCAGCCCGCTGACCTGTGGCTGGGAGTCCCATGTGCTCGGCCTGCCTTTGGTGCTCGCCATTTCCACCCGAGAAACAAAGAGGGCGAAATGAATTTGCCTGAAATCTTCCCCAGAGACGCATAGAGATTTAGAGAAACAGACATAGTCAGCAGAAGGAAAGTGTGGATTGCCTTCGGGGTCTGTATTCCTACTGCCAAAGAGTGGAGTTTGAGCTTTTTTTGTATTAGTGAATTTTGGCCTGTTTTTCTCCACCCCCAACCCCCACAAGGCCAAAAGCATTGTTATCTAAAACAAAAAAGGCAGCCCTGGCCGGGTAGCTCAGTGGGTTGGAGCATCATCCCATAAACCAAAAAAGGCTGTGGTGGGTTCAGTCCCTGATCAGGGCACATACGGGAAGCAACTGATCTCTCTCTCTCTCTCTCTCTCTCTTTCTGCCTTCCCCTCTCTCTAAAGTCAGTAAACATCCTCGGGTGAGGATAAGTAAGTAAAAAGAGTTACAGCTGCAAAAGACACATCAGCCCTTTGAGTCCTCTCCAGTGCGAATCTGAACTTGGGAGCGTTTGCTCTTTGGGGATGTAGTTCGGGTGGCCAGCTGCACATGTCGGCCAAGTCCGGCAGCCGATGGCCAGGAGGCCGGAGCTCCCTCCTGAGCGCAGGGACGTGGAGGGAGCCAGGTCTGCACTGCGGGTGGTGCCCGCCGCCCTGCCCGCTGGCTCTGGGTGTGGGCCCTCTTAGGTAAACAATAAAAAATAAAATTTTTAAAATGAGTTTTTAGAGATTGTAATTACACAGTTTGGATTCGATTTCAGTTTAATAATATCTCATACCATTTTAAGGCGCATGTCTAAGGTTTAGATGTGAAGTGTCATGGTCAGCGTGCTAAGTGGTGAAGGCCTTGGCTTCTCGGACGTTGTCAGCTCACCAACAGCTGAACCGATTCTCTGCCCTTTGCTAAGCCCATCAGCAGAGGGTCTGGTGCGTGGGGTCCCAGTGTCTTGATTTCTGAATGTCTGTGGAGACCACCCTGGCGTCGTCTTAGTTCAAACAGACGGTGGCAGTTGGTGGGAATGGAAGTCACCACGGGACCTGAGCACTGTGTCCCTACGGGCTCTGTCTGGGTCAGGAGCAGTGACACCGAGCGGCCTTTGTCGCCATCTTCTGGGTGCTTCTGTTCATTGCACTTTGTGACCATCAGTCATTTTCAAAGGAATGCGGCTGGAGGCTCCCGCCTCTGAGGCCGGGCAGGGCTTGCTCCTGCTGGTTTGCCCTCCTGTCCCTCACAGATCTGAAATGCAGCAACCTCATCTGGGGGGGCACTGCTTTGGGGGTGACTTGCCCTTCACAGAGAAAGCAGCCCATTCCCCAGGGCATCAATGAGCCACGAGGTCCCCGTTACTGCCCTGTGGGGTGGACAGGGCTGGGTGGCCCCTGCCAGTGCCTGCGGTTCCTGGCACACTGACGGCCCTGTGACATCCATCTGTGCAGTCAGACATTTGCCTGATGGTGCGGGATGAGCAGCAAGTCCCGTCCCAGTGAGTCAATAATGGGCAGTTAAATACCCGTCTCCTCCATATGCTCCAAGTCTCAGTTACAGACCCCGTTAGAAAAGGCGAGGACGGCAGACCCTGATGAGCCCCAAGGTAAGGCTCGTGCAAACCCTCTGGCCCAGCTGGGTAATGCCAGCGTGTCCTGGGAGCTGTGCCCTCCCTCTGCAGACGTGTCCCAGCGGCCGGAGGGAGAGGGGAACCAATCAGTGATGCATCTGAGCCGCCCGCCCGGCTTGGCGTGTGAAGCAAGAGGCCAGGCAGAGGCGGCCCAGGCCCAGGCCCACGGGAGTGGAGCCTTTGCTCAGCGGGGCTTTGCCTCTGTCCATGCGAGAGCCCCTCCTGCTGGGACAGATGCCTCCTGGCTCTCTGGGGAGAGAAGGTTGGGGTGCGTCCAGTGCTCCCGTTTCCTGTGTCGGGGGCTTCGTGACTCTGGAAGGTGGGCAGAGAAGCCCTTCTCTCCCCCACAGGAAGGCAGACACTAGGGGGCGCTCCTCTGTGTGTGCATCCTGACTGCGGCCGTCCTCTGCGTCTGTCCCTGCAAGCGCACCACCGGCGGCTGAGCCCCAGCAGGGTAAGGAGCGAGGTGACCCCTGGCGAACTGCAGCACCCACTGTTTGGACCCCTTAGGTGTTCACCAGCTACATCGACCTCCTGTATCCCACCGAAGATAGGAACGACCGGCTGAGAGATTCCTATTTCTTCACCTGCCAGTGCCCGGAGTGCACCACCAGGGACAAGGTGAGCTCCCGGGTGGCGCCCGTCTCTGCCCAGCCGGCCTCGGGTCCGACTCTGGGGTCTCCGCCCGCGGTGATTCTGACCCTTGAACCCGCCTCTCTGAGACAGGGGAATCCAGTTAGTAGTGCATCTGCGCTGCCCAGCGTGACACTGTACTCGTGAGAGAAGCCTTTGCCGGTGCTTTTTCTTGAAACAACTATTCCAAAGAGAGAGAAGGAGCACAGGCTCCCCACCCGGGGCGGGCTGTTCGGGGCGCTCTCCGGCATTGCCCAAACTGTTGTCAGTGCGGCCCCTCCTTATTCCAGTCTCTTGATGCACAGATGTCTGAACACACGAGCACACGTGTTCTGGGTGTCCTGCCTGGGTGAGGATTGTCTAGAAGTATTGTGGGGTTTTTTGTTTGTTTGTTTTTTGTAAAAAGGTAATGGTGTATTGAATTCCTGTTAGCTCCATCGCCGGATTCCCTGTCATGCTTTTGTGACTAGAACGGGCCGGCCTGCGCCTCTGCCTAGGAGAATGTACTGCTTGGGAGGGTTCCCCGCGGCTTTGGTTTCCGCGGGAGGTAACACCTTGCATTTGGGGCATTTCCCTCAGGATCAGGCCAAGGTGAAAATCCGGAAGCTTGACGATCCCCCCAAGGCAGAGGCTGTCCGTGACATGGTCAGGTACGCACGCAACGTCATCGAGGAGTTCCGGAGGGCCAAGCACTACAAATATATCCTTCGCAGCCGTGGGGACCCTAACCTGCAGGCGCCGGACAGTCGGGAAGAGGGGGAGGGTGGGGTTAAGGTGCTGCACAGTGAAGAGCACTGTCTCCTGGTAAATGGGCCAAGACTCACTGACGACCCCTGACTCGGAGTCAGCCACACCAATGTCTGACGTCGACCTGGTCTTGTTTCTCTTTGTTCGGCTAGTTTGGTCCGGAGCTCAGTGCGATAGAAGAGTTTATTGTCTAAACCTGTGGCGAGCAGTCCTCGGAGCCGCTCCTTTCGGGGTATTTTACTTTGGGCAGAGTGCTGAGGGCTTTGCCTCTACTGTCTCCCCTGATCTTCGTAAGGACAGTCACCAGGCCACGTCCTGCGTTAGGTGCAAACAGTCTTAGATACCAGGTGATTTGCCCAAGGACACAGCTCCCCAGGCAGATCCAGGATTCTGCCCCAGGTCCGCTGGCCACCATGGTCCATCTTCTTTTTCTTTTCTAATCCTCACCCAAGGGTACTTGTCCATTTATCTTCAGACAGAATGGGGGAGAGAGACATCGATATGAGAGAGACACACCAACTGGTTGCCCCCCGCATGACCCCAACCAGGGCCAGGGACCAAACCACAACCGAGGTACATGCCCCTGACCAGAATTGAACCCACGACTCTTCGGTCCGTGGACGGACCCTCCAACCACTGAGCCAGACGGGCCAGGGCACAATCCATATTCTTAACCACTGTATCAAAGCATGTCCTTGGGTGCTGAAAGGCATTAGATTTACACCCAGGGAGAACTTAGTATAAAACCAGTGGAAGGAAATTGGGGAAAGACACATTTGCTTCCCAGCATCAGAAAGAGCTTCCCCAGGGTGGGGACTTCTTCCCTAAAAATGCTTCAGGTGAGGGTTTAACTGTAACTAGAAGACTTGAGATTTGAGTCTAATCAGCTTTGCTGACAGCTGAACTAAGAGCCTGTGGTCTGTGGCTAAAACTCTTTAATTGTATTTTACCAGTTGAGGTCTTCAGATTTTCCTATTAGTTTCTTCAAGAAAAATGTAGTTCCTTTCCCTTTTTAAGAAAATGGTATATCTTTATTGATTTTTAGAGAGGGGGCGGGAGAGGGAGAGAAACGTCAGTCGGCTGCCTCCCGCACACTCCCCCCTGGGTGTGGAACCGGCAACCTTTCAGGGCCCGGGAAGCGCCCAGCCCACGGCGCCACGCTGGTCAGGGCCCTTCACTCTGGTTGGCTTTCGGTAATTTACTTCTTCAGGGTGGTGTATGGGTGGAGTGGTCAAAATAACTTCTTGAGCCCAGCCTGCCTTGGGAAGTCTCCCAGCCAGCCAGGTGGGCCAGCGGACATTCCTTGACCCCAGAGCACCCCCTAGCGAGCTGCTGGAGATCTGCGAGCTCAGCCAGGAGAAGATGAGCTCCATGTTTGAGGACAGCAATGTGTACATGTTGCACATGATGTACCAGGCCATGGGCGTCTGCTTGTACATGCAGGACTGGGAAGGAGCCCTGCGATACGGACAGAAGATCATTAAGCCCTACAGGTGATGGCAGTGGCCGTTCTGGTCATCTTAGCACGCGGTGGAGTCGTGTCTTAGGATGTGTACCTGGGCTGCTTTGCCTTCGCACTGTCCCGTGTTGGAACATGTCCAGACCAGCTTTCTCGTCTCTGCACCCACACCTGGAGGAGGAGGCCCTGCCTGTTCCCTCTACCCTCTTCAGGAGACGCTAGGAGGGCAGGTTGAGGTTAGGCAGGGGTTGCTGGGCAAGATCCATCCCAGTACCTATCCAGGTGCTGGGTCCACGGAAGTTCATTCAGACCAGTAATCAAAAGCCCCCCATTTGTTTCTTTTCCATCATTGTTCACTCTCCCCTTGTGACTTTCTGAACTGCAACCCAGTTTGCAAATGAGGGGACTCTAGGACCACTGGGTGGGCTAGTTATTTAGTCCCCCACCTAGGTTTGAATAAAACAAGCTGGGTTTTAACGTATAGTAATAAGGACTATCAGCCACAGGGAAATGTCCTCTTGAGAGGTTGTTAACCCTTCACTTGGGTTTCAGATGGAGGTCGTGGCATTGTCCTCTGGCTCTGACTGGCCACTTCAGGCCTGGGGTGGCCTAGATCAGATCCCTGGGTGCTTATTAAACACGTTCATTCACAGGATCGCCTCAAGACCAAGTGGGTCAGAATCTGGACATTGGACCTGGGATGCTCCAGAAGCACCCAGGTGTTGCTCAGGAGTTTGAGAAGCCGTCAGTGCACGTCCTAAGCTTAGGGACTGTTAAATTTGTCTGGTCTGAATTTCCACCGCCAAGCTGGCCCTCTACCTCCCCCGCACTGCCTTGGTTAGCCAGCAGGGGGAGCCCAAGAGGAAGCAGCGCCTAAAACCTGCTCTTGGAGAATTTGCTCCACTGAGGATAATCTCAAAGCCTACCCTTCCTGGGTGGCGGTGAAGTCCTGTGGTCTCATGCACGCTTTCCTCTGTGACATCTAGAGGGGGGAAGATGAGAATGAATGAGATCATCTCGGCCTTGTGGTCCCCCTCCCAGCAGGGACTTCTTGAGCTTAATGAGCCCCCGGTCTGGCCTTCTGCGGGCACTGGGTGGGGGCACTGTCCCCAGGGCCTGGCCGCCACCCAGGAACATAGCCAGGATGTGTCTCTTTTGAACGGATTTTGAGGGAGTTACAAACCAGCCTGTAAATAAACACCTACACACACCCAGCACACATACTCTTGCCCATGAGCTACCTCCTGGCCTGTGTCCCCAGGGCGAGGGCTCTTTCCTAGGCAGGCCCCTTCCGCCAGCATCAGTTACAGCCAGACAGCAAATACCCACAGCATATGTATACAGCTCCTTACTGGACCGTAGAGGAAGAACATCTAGAAGAAGTAGGCGTTCTCCTAACTTCAGAGCTAATAGTTTTGCTAAACCAACTGGTCTCTTAAAGTGTGATAGAAAGCTGGGGTCGTGAGACATATTAGTGTGTATATTTTTAGGTTTACTGTCTTTTTAATATCAGGGGTTAGGCCTAATGTCCTCATAACAGGGAATTTCCCTGAAAAGGTGATTTCCCAGTGCCCTGCTTTGGGGCACCTGACACAGACATCTGGGACGAGGGTGGGTGTTTTGTTTACAAATGTTTTTGTACAGAATCTCTCCTGCAGCTTCTATGTAGCTTTTCAGAAGCAACAGACTGCGTAAAATGGGCTCCACAGGGTTAACCCCCCCATACCTGCCAGGGTGTGGGGAGCGTGACTGCCGGGGGGAGGGGTTCCTGTGCCCGCCAGCGGGTCCCGGTAGCCTCTGACAGCCTGCCGCCTCTCCTCTTCCAGTAAGCACTACCCGCTGTACTCCCTCAACGTGGCCTCCATGTGGCTGAAGCTGGGGAGACTGTACATGGGCCTGGAAAACAGAGCCGCCGGAGAGAAGGCCCTGAGGAAGGTAAGTCTGGGTGCCGGGCGGCCTCCAGAGCATCTCTTCCTCCTCCCTCATGAGGCTGAGTAGCAATGGTGGGGAACGACCAGCTCTTGGCCCCCCTCTGGCCATCGAAGTGGGGGGGGGGTGTCCAGCACATGGGGGTGGAGCAACTGAGCCTTTGCCAGGCCGGCGTCCAGGCCCTCCTGTATGGAGAGTGTGCCTGGGAGAGGGGCCAGCCTGGCTGCAGGCTCAGCCTGTGCCAGGGAGACCACGCTGCCCCGTGGGAGGTGCGCAGGTGGACGGAGGCCCCCGGTGGTCCGCAGACCGTGCTGAGGGTTTCCCTTTGCACGTTGGGCCTACAGACTCGGGTTGCCCTCGGTGATGAAATCGAGGCAGGAGACAGGGAGAGTTTCTAAAATGTACTGAATAATCATCACTGTTCACTGAGTACCATTTACATGCCAGGCCCCTGGTGGGTGGTTTTTCTTTGCATTCACACAAAAATATGAGAGAGATTTTCCTGGTGAAGAAATTGAGATGCAAACAGGTTCAAGTAATTAGCCTTGGGGATGCCGGGGCGGGGGAGGGGGCTTGATTCACCCTGGGATCTTTGAGTTGAAGGCTTCAGCTGCTCCCACTCATGCTGTGACTAACACGTAGGGGAAACCGGGACCCGGGCATCATCTGCCCCCCCCCCCCCCCCCCCCCCACCCCCAGTGTGTGACAGCTGCCCTGTGCTGTCCGTGGGCGAGGGGCCGGGCCTTACTGCAGTGCAATTGCACCAATAGAGTCTCTTGTCCTTTAGGTAGAAGTTAACAGCTGATACAATGTAATCTCTGGGACCTTTTACTCCTATTCAAGAATGTTTGTGAAAGTTGGGGCCACCGCCTAGCCTGGAAGCCTCATCCTTCAGAGTCCCTAGATCTTCCAGGGAGACTATGCGGGAAGATGGCAGTCAGGTCCCGCATCCCACACGGAAGGGTCAGGGCCCCACCATGCTAGGAGTGGGAGTTAAGCATAACATTTTCCATTTTTAAACCATGAATTTGTCTTCTGAGATAACATATTTACCACCTGAGTTACTTGGGGGGAAATTGCAAAGGGCTGGTAGATAATGAAGTACAAGGTCAGAGAAAGGTCGAGTAGCTCTGAGCAAGGAACAGGAGTCGCGAAATGAATGCAGAGGGTGAGGGGAGGCATCTCCCAGGTGAGTCCTCGAAACCACACAGGTGGCTCCTGCAGACTCGCACTGCTCCTTGGCCAGCCTCTTGTGTTGGTTCGAGATCCAGCAAGAGAATGGTACACTGGAAAGTAATATTGCCATCGTCACCGACCATCAGAAGTTCTGTTGGGGAGAATGGGAGTAATTTGAGATTTTCTATCTGGGAATAATATGGTTGAATACAAAGGAGCAAAATAAATTCTTACGGATGACATTTGGTAGATACTTTCTATACGCCAGGCACAATTCTCCACACGTGATGTGTATTAACAGCTCTGAGAGGTAGGTTTCGTTCCTACTTTACAGGTGAGGAAAGCGAGGCACAGAGTGGTTAAGACAGTTGCCCAAGGTCACACAGCCAGGGAGCCACTGGAAACCCTCACTTCATACCCCCTCACGCTAAAGAAACCTTATTAAACACCTTCTCTCGAGTTTCCTCAAATGAAACCACTGATTTTTAAGTTTGTTTTCTAAGAATATGTCTTGAGAAGAAAGCGTGCACTTTTTGAAAGAGAAAAATGTTCTTACAGATTCATGATGTGTCGTTAAAACCCAAGCAGGTTTGATGTCAAGGTCACTGTGGGCGTTTCCGTTCTAGCCTTACCTGTTGACTTGGTTGAGTACGTAACCGAATAATTCCATCCCTAAAGCATGTTTTACTGAAATCCCTGCAATACTGGGGCAAAAAAATGTCATGCAGTCGGTTTCTCTATATCATCTCTTCAGTTGTTGCAGAACACGTTAGCGTAGAATCTGGGTGACCTTGGGTTACTCGACAAGCTTGTCGCTTCATTTTGTTTTGTGTTGAAGCCAGGCTGGAGGACGGCACAGGCCCGGAAAGGCGGTTTGCATCCTGTGCCTTCAAGCAGAGGGTCCCAGCGAGGTCGGGCCAGCCCGGGTGCGGTGCGCGGGGTCGGTACAGGCTCCCAGCCCCTTATTTCTCTCCCTCTCCTAGGCCATTGCGATCATGGAAGTGGCGCACGGCAAAGATCACCCGTACGTTTCTGAGATCAAACAGGAAATCGAAAGCCACTGAAACGATGGCAGCGGGCAGTTTTCATGTAAATGCTCGTGCAGAAGAAACCCTCGGGGGCTTGGCTATTTCAGGTCACGTGCACACCGCGGCATTTCTGCAAAATCACTGCAAGGAAAACACCGTTCGCACTTAAACCGGACACGTGGCTCACTTGGAATTGGTCTTAATCTTTACCCTTACGACCACATTCATTTCTGATGCTTTTTCCCCCCTAAGAGATAATGGCATGGTTTCATATATTGTTGTACTTTGGACAGGCTGAGTTTTAAAAAAATAGATTCTTTTCCCCTTCATGGCTATTCTGATAATGCCCTGAACGATGAAAGGGAATAAAAAGGTAATAGTGTTTGAAGTTTGTGTTTCCTCTGGTCTGCGGGATTTCAAAGAGGTGGTGGGGGCCCCACGGTGGCGGGGAGGTCACACCTGTTCCGCGTCAGGAGCCCAGGCCTCCCCCAGGACGGGGTCAGGTGAAGTTGCTGTGGGGATTCAGTGCCAATGGAGGACGAAAGGGGGAAGAGACACCTGTGGAAAAGGTGAAGCGACTGAGAAGTACCACTTGGCGGTTACAAAGTAGCCACTGGGATGTGTCCTCTCTTCACTGCTGTTATGTTTCCTTCCTCGTGTCCACACACCCACACACAGGGCGCACACACAGTTCACAGCGCACAGAGCCAGCAGGAGGATGCGCCCTCTGTGCAGTCAGGTGCAGTGAGACACTGAGTGAGCACCTACTGTGCGCAAAGCAGTCTGCATAGCTCTCCGAGCACAGCGTGGGGAGTGTAGCCAGTGATATCGCGATAACTGTATGGCCAGCTAGATGTCTAACCAGCATACTGTACACCTGAAACCAACACAACAGTGAATGTCAACTGTAACTGTAAAAAGCTTTTTAGAAATTAAAGAAAATAAATTAAAAAGTGGTTACAGCGTGGCCAGTGTGGCTCAGTGGATTTAGCGCCGTCCCATGGACTGAGAGGTCCGGGTTCGATTCCCGGTCAGGGCACATGACCAGGTTGTGGGCTCCATCCTTAGTAGGGGGCGAGCAGGAGGTGGCCAATCGATGTTCCTCTCTCATTGACGTTTCTAACTCTCTCTTCCTCTCTTTCTAAAAAATCAATAAAAGTGGTTAAAAATAAAAAGGCACCTGTTGGGGGAGAACAGTTATGTGACCTGGGTGCCCCTCCCTGGCAGGAGCTGGTATCTATGGGATTCTTCTGTCTAGTGACCCTCCACCCCAGGCTCCAGGCGTGCCTCCCTTTCTTGGTGCTTTCTTCATCTGTCTGAAAGCAGACTTTTCAGCTCTCATTCTGTTGATGGGTCTGTGCAGTCCTCCTTGTCTGGAAGCACTCCAGGGTAAACTTGAGAAGCAAAAAAATTTCCTTACCAACTCTGTGTTGTTGAGCAAACACTGGTGCTCCCCGCGGGCCAGCAGGCATCCAGCTTCCCCACAGCCTGGAAGGTAGCAACCTGGGGACTGTTTGTTAGCAACTGCTGCAGAGACGCACAGGCCTGGGACCACGCGTGCTCCGGGGCGCGGGGAAGTTCCCGGAATCCAAACAGAGGAACGTCTCATTAGTAATAATTAAAGCCTGGTGCAGGTGACACCAGCTTCTCCGTATTTATGGTATGTAGGCAGCTTGAACAGCCCTTCATCTGCTATGTTATCTTTCCTTCCTGGTCTTCACACACCCACTCGCCTCTCTCGCACAGGTCACTGCACACAGCGGGCCCAGCAGGTGCAGTAAGACATTTAGTGAGCACCTACTATGTGCAGAACAGTCTATAGCTCTCGAGTGCAGAGAGAGGACGAAGGCATGGTCTTGGCTCTGGGAAGCTTAGTGTTCGTTCTAAGAGAGCCAATGGACTCTGTAACTCTAAAATAAGCTCGGCCCACCACCTCTGTGTCTTATAAAAGCTACACCAGTCATAATTTTACAGTAAATTAAAAGCAATTACAAACGTATCCGAAAAAGAGTGAGCTGTTCCTCCTTCCTCGCCAGTCCCCGTCTCCAGAGGAAAGCACTGTAAATAGTTTGCACATGTGATCCCAGTTTTTCCATCCATATAAATAGACAGAGAGAAACAAAGGCAGGATGGTACCGACATACTTTGCAATCGCAGACTTCACAAGAAGGCTCACTTTCCATGTCAGCGTTTACAGATTCGCGTCATTTTCTTTGGAGGAAGAAGTGTTGACTGCGGAACTGTTTTTTGCTGTTACTATAAACAATACCACGTTGAACAATCCCATACAAATAATTTGGCTGACATGTGGTGGCATTTTGGGGGGTAGATTCCTAGAGGTGGGATTTCTGGATCGCATAGTGGAAATATTTTTTATATGAATAAATGTGGGCACATTTTCTTGTTAAAATATATCAGGTGCCAGTAGGATATATTTGTAGTTTCTGTTTTCCTCTACCATCCTAATACAAAATTATGAAAACTTGATCTTGCAATCTACTATGTGAAATGCTTTGTTTTGTATGCATTTATTAATGAGATTGGGCACTTTTCCTTCTACCTAGGAATTGTGTTTCTTCTCTGAGTTATGGATGGCAGCTGCCTATTTTGCTATTCATGTGTATTGATGTGTATTGGGATATTAGCTCTTTGTCCTGTACTGAAACTGTTTCCCCTGGTTGTCTATTAACTTTATTTTTTTTAAAAAAATATGTTTTTATTGATTTGAGAGAGGAAGGAAGAGGGAGGGGGAGAAACATCAATGTGGAAGAGAAACATTGATCAGCTGCCTCCTGTATGCTCTTTGACTGGGGATTGAACCCAAAACCTAGGTATGTGCCCTGACCGGGAATTGAACCGGTGACCTTTCGATACATGGAAACTATGTTCCACCAACTGAGATACAACAGCCAGTACCATTGTCTTTATTTTTCGTGACACTTTTGCACCCAAGCAGATTGTTTTCATCTTAATTTTTTTTTTCCTTTATTGATCCTAGAGAGACAGGAGGGAGAGAGATAGAAACATCGATGAGAGAGAACATGGATTGGCCACCTCCTACATGACACCCCCACTGGGGATCGGGCCCTCAACCTGGGCATGTGTCCTGACCGAGGGAACATGTTGGTGCTCAACCAGAGCCACTCTGCCAGGCAAAAGACATTTTTTAATGAAAGTCTTTGATCTGCCTAGAATTATGTCATTTACTAAAGAGATCCGACTGTACTCTTTAAAAATTTTGGTTTTCACACTTGCTGGCCGCTTACGGCAGCATCGTTTATTGAATAATCGATTTCTCCCTGTTGATTTGAAATGTTCCCATTAACATTCCCATAAGACTTAGGTTTATTTTTGCACTATTTCACGCCATTGATTTGCCAATAAAATACTCTTTTAATTATTGTTGCACTGCAGAACTTTTAGCACCTACCTACTAGAGCTACTTTGCTGTGTTTTCTTGAAGTTTTCTGACCATTCTCCCGTGGTGAACCCTCCAAGGAACTTGCGGGGCACCGGGCCAAGTCCTCTGTTGGTCTTTCCCCACTGTCCCCGCAAGGGCACTGCTGTGCTGGTAGAACTGCACTGGAGTCGGGGACACACAGATCTGACCTCTTCATAGCCTGGGTCTTCTTATCCACGGATGTGGTGAGTTTATCAGTTTGTCTCAAAGGGTTTAAGTTGATGCATGCCCTACACATTCACCTGAACTCCTACATGTGATGTTTCTGCAGCTACTATGAATGAGCTTTTCTTCCATGATGTTTCTGAACTGGTAAGTCTGACTAGATCTCCCCATTTATTTTTATTAAAAAGGAAAAAAAGCCCTGGCCGGTTTGGCTCAGCGGTTAGAGCATCGGCCTGCGGTCCTGAGAGAGCCGGGTTTGGTTCCCGCTAAGGGCACGTACCTCGGTTGCAGTTTGTCCCCGGCCCTGGTCGGTTGTGCGGGTGGCAGCCACTCGATGTGTTCCTTTCACATCGATGTTTCTCTCTCTCTCTGTTCTTCTCTCTCCCTCCCACTCCACCTGAACAAAAGATGGAAAAATGTCCTCGGGTAAGGATAAAAAAAAAAAAGTGCCCTGGCCTGTTTGGCTCAGCTGTCAGAGCGTTGGCCTGTGGACCGAAGGTTGCAGGTTCCACTCCTGGTCAAGGTCATGTACCTGGGTTGCAGGTTCGAGCCCTGGCCCCGGTTGGGGTCGTGCGGGAGGCAACCAATGTGTCTTTCTCACATCGATGTTTTTTTCTCTCTCTTCCTTCCTCCTTCCCTTACACTCTATCCAAAAATCAATGGAAAGATATCCTCAGGTAAGGGTTAACAAAAAAGTTAAAATAGAAAAAAAAAAATGCAAAATCACCAAAACAGACATGTTTGATCCTGGTTTTGTCATTTTACTGCGTATTTACATGTTTCTTTTTATATTTATTTTTGTTCTCTTACATTAAAAAAAAGTTTCTTCTCCAGCTCTGTTTGGAGATAAACAGATCTACTAGGGGTTAGTGTTTTCTCTCTCATTATGTAAAACCCCTTTTTCTGGTTATCAACCAAAGAAACTTCATCCATGTGCTCAGTCCGTGAAAGAAGACAGATTAGTGTATGTACCTATTTGCCCTTCAACTGGATTTCTCTCCATTTCCATTGGGATTGTTAAAAACCTGGTATGTGGCTTTTCTTTCAAGAACTAAACTTGTTTTGTGGTCACAGAACACACAGACACAGGATTACTGGTCTGTTTAATGAGCCATTTCCCATCCCCCTGCACCTGGCTTGCAGTCTTCCCCTGGTCGCGATGTGAGGCGTGCTGGGGACCTCTGCAGGCGAACAACCCGTCTAGGGTGGCACATGGGCTCCTCGCAGAAGGGTGCCATTGCCCTGTTACCTACCAAAGATCGTGTCCATCCTCATCACCAGAGGCTCACTGTGTACGTCTGGCAGGGGGTGGGGCTGGAAAAATTAAGGGATGGGGTAGCCACCTTCAAAGCTAGGGCTGAGCTGTGCTGTTAATAAAGTTGAAGGACAAAAACTAAAACTTGGGTCTTGTCTGGCCGCCTGGCGTCTGTCTTTTCCAGGTTAACAGTTTGGGAAATGACGGGGGGGTGGGGAGTGGGGGGGCTTGGTGCTTAGTAAGGGTCATCATGGCATTTGTGAGAAGGGTCCATTTTCTGTGTGGTCTTCACTCCATCTGCCCAGGGATCGCTCCTTTCGGATTTTGTTTTCTAACAATGACAACGCTGGCAATGTCAAACCAATCATCTGCGATCAACTTACACAGGAATGAAACGTGGGTGGAAATAAATTGCCTCCAAAGGACTAAGAAGCAGGCGTTCCCAGGCACCTGTACCCATGAAAAAATCCTAGGAGGTCGCTGCGAACATACATGGTACAGAGAGAGAGAATTCAATTGTTTTCTCTGGAAAAAAAAAAAAGTTTATTGCATATGTAAATCAATAGATATCTTTTATATATATAAAAAAAGGTTAGAATAAAGATCTCACATTTGAAAAGGCACAGATGAAACATTTCACAGCCATGACAAGGGCAGTAAGAACATAGTACAAACTACGACCAGTATCGAAATAAGACATTATAAAAACAGACAGGAAACAGTGCAAAAAATACTGTCAAAAGTCAGTTTCGTACACCTCATAATCGTGTATAAAACTGCCAAGCATAAGCTTATTTACTGATAAAAAAATAGCACATAGAATAGCATGCATAGTTTCATTTAAGGCTTTTAATATTATTAAATTGAGAGGGAGTCCATAACAAAGTAGACTTGACATGAATATTGATACCTCATTCCCACTTAGGGAATGCCCTATGAACTCACTTCCTCTCCCCCTACCAGCTGGTAGTAGAGAGACTACCTTCCATTTGCAAGGTAGCAGCTCAGGATCCCAAGCCCCGACCTGGAATGCATTTGTCACAGCAACAACCTGACCGCTGCTTCAATGTCCAGGTCAGCCCACAGTGACAGCCAACTAGCTCTGGCCGACACGACCCTAGATTTCAGCTGCACTGGAGGTCAAGGTATCTGTGGGCTGACCCAAGAACCTTAAGAATGAACTGGTTTCTAAACTGGGCACTTGTCTATTATACATGGTTTGGAAATGAAATCTATCCAATGTCAATTGTTTTGCATGAAACAAAAATCTGCAACATTTCATAGAACACAGACCAAGGAAAGCATCAAAATACTGAATTAAGTAGCGTAGCAACAGTCCAGTGAAACAAAGTAGGTAAGCCTGTTATTTGAAGTAACACAAGTTACATAAGGTTATATGTTTAATAGTCATCTGCATATGTAACCCTCTCCCCCCCCTTTAAGATTCCTCAAACAAGTTAATTAACTATTAAAGGAACAGAAGACATACACAGGGAAAAATCTCTGATGAAGAGTAACCTTACTTCTGAAAGGATAAATAGATTTAAGATTCCAAACAATGGCAAGAAAGTTCAGTGAAAGGGAACTGCAGTAACATTTTACAATGTTCAAGTTGAGAGGAAAAAAAAAACAAACAAAACAGCCCCGAACTACAGCTTTCAGTTCTAGGCTGAAGGTTACTTATTAGCTAACAGTGCAGCGGAGGGAGGAAGGAGGCCCCTGAGAAACGCCGGAACGCTGGGCACCCCTGCTTTGGGCACCCCTGCTCCGAGAGCCACCCTCACGGGACTCCAGCTCCACCCAGGGCACAAAGAGACCCCGATCCAATCTTCTCAGCTTTCTCCTTGGAACCTCTGGTCAGGTGAGAGGGCATCTGTTCCATGGAGGAGGAGGTGGGGGAAGAACGGGGGAGGCCACAGAGGGGAACAGCTTGCCCTGACCCTCGCTGATGACAGCGCCGATCATGAACCGCACGTGTGAACGGTCCTGGGGAGCCGGCGCCTTCCCTGTTTGGCTCTGGCTAAGGGACAAATTAACCTGACTGCACGCACTACGTTCAACGCAGCCGCTGGGTATCAGTGTACGTTCACCTTGAAATGCACAGCAGGTACTGCTGGGATCACCATCCCAACAGGACTGACACTCGAATCCACCTTTGCTCTCATCTCATCTAGTACCGAGTGACGGGCTACCCCCAAGGGAAAAAGAGGGGTGGTCAGGGCAGCTTCCTGGGTGCTGGCAGCTTCCTAGCTGTTTCCATTGGCCAGATCTCCTTGAAACGCTAACTTGAAAAACGGAAATCAGATTTCCTAGTCACACAGTTTGGAGAGGTTTAAGAGTGCCTCTCCACGACCAGATCAAACTACTTTTTGGGGCTGCCTACCAGGATGGAAAGAACAGGTGTGCTGATGACAGCTGGTCCATCAGGCCCATGGCCAACCGGGAAAGGTGAGTGAGCTGAAACGGGAAGGAAGAGCGTGACGTCACAGAGTCCCCCCCACGCGCGCCCGAACAACTGTGGCCACTGTCCTGCGCCACGTTTCTGATCCGTTCTGGGGCCCTGGTCAGACACGTGACTTTCCATACGGGGAATATGCTCTGAAGGCCCCGGGGAGGCGGGAAGGAGGAACCGCAGTGCACAGGAGCTGACTGCTGACGGCGAGCCACGGGGACGAGCAGGACCCTCTGCTAACAAGGCTCCAGCAAGCGAAGGGGACAGACTACATCAGAAAGGACAGCAGCGGGACCCCATGGCCATACACCTGCCGGCCAGCCCCGCCTACCAGGACCCACAGTGTGCTGACACCTCTGCAGTGACTTCCGAGCCGCAGGCCGTGGCCCGCTCACCGAGTGAGGCCAGCTCACCAGAGCAAGGTGGCACGTTCCCAGGACGAGCCCGGCCGCCTGTCGCGCTGGCCTTCGTGTTCCCAAACGCTTGTTTGAAGACACGACAGATGGTGGGTGTGTTGGAATCTGTCCTGTGTCCGGGGAAGAAACACACTGACCCATGTGGATGTTCTCTTTTTGTAAGTACAATATGGCCCGACTACTGGAAATTTCATACGGTCAACCTGTATTAAGCTGGGGAAGGTAAGAAAAGCAGGCAGCTGGGTAAAAATGCTGCCCTACAACGGCCACTGGCGTTTTTCCTGAATCATGAAAGCCGAGAGCAGACGGGATCAAGGTTCAGTGAGCCCTGGGAAGCCAGTGATCAAGTCCCACAGAGAAGCCCACAGGGAAGGGGCCGAGAAGGCCAAGAGACTCCTAGGCAAACATTATTGTTAAAAAACTAGTTCCTCTTCTCAGTCCAGGGCCACAAAGATCACAGAAGTAAAATTCTCTGTATTCCGGCTCCCCGAAAGCATATTACTCCAAGTATTCCACGTGGAGTTCTCACCTCCCCCAATCTTGCTGTTCCCTTCCAACTGCTCTTTATTCTCCTATAAAGAAATCAATGTCTGACACCCTCTCCCAGGCAGCCAAACTGTCCCTCACTTCCTCTCCAGGGAAAGGGGTGTCTATAAATGGAAATGCTACTGGAGACTCTTACTGCAAGGTGGTGTCTCCTCAGAGAAACCAATGAAGCTGGCAGGTGTGGCTCAGCCCCGGGATAAAGACATCAAACTCCGCCCCCACGATCCAGGGACCATACTAAACAAGGATGAACACAGGTCGATGCCTCCAAGTGAGTGTGGATGAAAAAAAAAAAACAAAAAAAAACCCAGAACATTTCAACTGGAGAACTTCAAAACCAGAGGCCCGAACGCATCTGACAGATTTGTCCTGGGAGGGGTTTTTCACCCCCTCCATTTTTAATTTTCTCCTTTCAAACCCAAACTACAGCAACAGATTCCAACAGCTTCAAACTGGATACAGCATCAGGAACTCATTCCAAAAGCTCTCGCTAGATAACTAATTTAATACACTTTGCTTCAAGGTTTGTTCCTTGGCTGGCTTCCCAGATATAAAGCATCTCTGGGCAATGATTAGGCAGATGCCACTGAAGAACTTTACATGGCGGCTGCTAATTGAACAGGAGAGAGGCTGGCATTTGCCGGAGACGTGAGAAGGGACGCAGAATGTGCCGACGGACCCCGAGCGTTTGTTTTTCAAAGGGAAAGATGGGGAATCACTTTCCCATGCTTGCCTTTGGGTTTCAATATCAACTTGGCCGGGAAATTGGATATGAAACCCACTTCCTTCCTGCATTTTGTGAATACCCCTGTAGCACAAGGTGGCCCAGCAGACAGGCTGGAGGGGACTGTGAGTGATGAGCTCAAAGACACCGCAGATCTACGCGCTGCCCGCGAGAGACATGTCAGCAGCACCCACGCGGGGGCCGACGAGACGGAAGACAAATTCTGACACCGTTCATCCAACAATAAAGCAGAAAACTGCAGACCAACTGCTCAGACATCCCTCGCATCAGAATATGCCGAGGACGGACCACCGCTGAGGGAAGGGAGCAAATACCTCTTTGCCCGCTGATGATCCAAGTTCCAAGCGTCTCAGGGGGAGGGGTGTGAGCTCTGTGCCGCTGAAGGTACATGTCATGCTAATGGTTTTCTTCTTCTGAATAGAGACCAAGATTCCAGCATCTGCAGAGCTCAGCTGAGGTTGTTAAACTCCTCCATGGACTCTCTAGACCTTGCAGTCGGAGACAAAGGCCCTCCGTCCCCAGATACTGGGTCCAAACAAGAGAAAAATCACATGCCATCTGGCCAGGTGGGAAACCGAGTTGGTTCCTGGCGCCAAAGCCGTTCACGAGGAACCGGGTCCACACCGTCTGCCGGCCCGTGGCGACCGAGGTCACGAGGGCACGCTCGTCCTCCTGGCCGACTGGATGCCATCTTTTCTTTGTATTTCCAGCTCAGGAGACCGAAAAAAGGCAGCAGTGGAAGAAGGCACGGGGGACCACAGTGATGGGTTCAAGGAACAAAACCACGATGTAAAAGCTGCGTTGAAGAAAAACTAGAGGAGAGGAAAGTCCCCAGAATTCAGCAAGAGGGAAAGTGCATGCGTATGTGTACTGGCCTAAGAACTTCCAGAGGACGGCGAGCAGAGAAGGCCAGGAGAGGCCAAGGCCGTGATACCACCACCACTGACCAGGGGGTTTCCGGAGGCAGGGAGACCACTGCACAGCTCTGGGCCAGAGGAACCCCACCCCCTTTCCCCACGGGGCCATGATTTCGACAAGAGGGCCCCGAGCGGGCTTAGCTCTGCTCCCACAGGTCAGTCTGGAGATGGTACCAGCCCAGGGGTCACGCTTCGTGTGGCTCCTGGCCAGGGCCGCTGCTGGGGGTTACACAGTCCCCATCAACCAACTTCCCCAACTGTTTGCTTTGTAACTTTTCCAATGACATGGTGACCAAGGGACAGACAGCAGACCCCCAGCACCTTGACCTTCAGGCCCCCAGCCAGCACACACATCATAAATAAATAGAGTATCAAGGGCCTTCCTGTCTCCTTCCTCTTCTCACTCTGATCCATTATCTTCTCTCAACCAGGCAAGAGGCTTAGCTGCACAGATGGCCTGGCTCAGGGCCTCCAAGGCCACCAGCCTGGCGCCCACCGGGCAGATGAGAAGCCACAAATACTGAGGGTGCAGCCCCGGCAAGGAAACCCAGGCTCCAGAGCCCAGAGGAAGGGCTGGCCGAGGAACATACAGACAAAGCTGCTCCTTCAGCCTGGGCAGTGATCACGCGCGATAAAGGTGATCACTGAGCAGCAGTTCTCAACCTGTGGGCCGCGACCCCTTTGGGGGTCAAAGGACCCTTTCACAGGGGTCACCTAAGACCATCGGAAAACACGTATTTCTGATGGTCTTAGGAACCGAGACACCGCTCCTCTGTCTCCAGGCGGGTCCGCCCACACACAACATGAGGAACTGCATTAAAGGGTCCAGGCATCAGGAAGGTTGAGAACCACTGCCCGAGAGGCTCCGTCGTTAACGCGAGGTTGGAGGGGTCAGGGGAAGCTACTGAGAGCGAAGACGGAAAGGAGGAAGGGAGGAATCTGTCCAGCGAGGCTCCCAAGCCCTAAATATAAGAGAACAGTGTTTTTTCCTTCAGAAAAGGGTCTTGGCCCTGGTCTTTACATTTCAGGAGGAAGTCATTTTCTTGCCATCTTTGATTTGGACATGAGCAATTAAGCTGATGAATTTCAGGGTTGGTTACTCATCTGGCTGCAACGTCACCAGAGATGTGTTCCCTTCTGCCTCTGTCCCCCAAATGACCCACCAGGCGACCTCTACCCACGTGTTACAATGCAGATCAGTCAAAATGTGGTTCAAATGAAAAGTACTACATTACTGTGAAAACTGCATTACAATGACTCACGAATGTTATTCCAAAGGGGGAAAAAATAAATTATCTCATATAAAATAATACATGATGCTTATGAATAATCTTGGCTCCCTCCCTCAGGGCGCCCATGTCCTGCCGGCTCCAGCCACCTGCGCCCTGCTGGGGGAGCAGATGTTGTCTGGGGGCGCCTCCCCATCTGCAAGACGGAGCTGGGTCCTCTTCCAGGAGCTGGTCCGGGGCTAAATGAGCCTGGAGTTCTGGAGAAACTGAATGAGGACCTGGTAGACAAACTTGTACTGAGCGATGGTCTGGATCATGAACATCCTTTGCTCTCTGAGGAGCCTCAGCATCATGGGAACTTCCACCTTCTGCAAGAAAAGAGAAAAAGCAAATGGTCCTGAGACGCGGGGGCTTCTCTCCTCATTTCTTCGTCCAAAAGGCATTCGCTCACGGTCCACGCACAGGCCCGGGAGACGGCACAGGACTAGGCCCCCCATGGGTGTCCCCAACCCAAGACTTGATACCTGCAGCTGGAGAACCTGGCTGGCATGGACCACTGATGTGCTAGTTTATTTTATTTTATTATTACTCTTTTTTAATCCTCACCCGAGGATATTTTCCCATTTATCTTCAGATAGAGTGGGAAGGAAGGAGAGAGGGAGAGAGAAACATCGATGTGAGAGAGACACATTGACTGGTTGCCTCCTGCATGACCCCAACCGGGGCCAGGGACGAACCACAACCGAGGTACGTGCCCTTGACTGAATCAAACCCGAGACTCATTGGTCCACGGGCTGACGCTCTAACTGCTGAGCCAAACCGGCCAGGGCTGCTGTGCTATTTTAAATAGAGCCCAGTGAGTCTGAGAGAACACAGAGGCCGGAGTTAAACCCAACTGGAACTCTCAACTCCACCATGGCTCAGTGGTAGGATTTACGACACCTCTGCTCTTCGATTCCTTCACCTGTAACTAAGGATGACGATGCTTCCCTCCGATGGCAGTGCGGCCCTGCCCGCCAGTGACACTTCCTCAGCAATAACCCGGGGTGGAAATAGCACCCAGCGAGCTCTCAGTGAAGACCACTCATGATCATTAAATGAGGACAATCACCTGCTGGACCCTCCCCCACTGCCTGGGTGTGAGACGCAGACACAGTCTCTCACTGCCTGGGCCTCCGCTTCTCTGCGTCGCACTGAGGGGACCCTTCCCCCAGGGCGAACCATGAGGGCTACGGGAGCGGCGACGCTCTGAGACAGAGCAAAACACGGGGGACAGTGCTCCCCTCCCTGCTCTATGAAGGAGGGAAAACCGATTCAGAAAAGCAGCAAGATCAAGACGTTTGGTAGTGAGAACCTGGGCTTTTGTAATCAGCTAATCTGGGACAGACAGCTGAATCCAGGGGCCAAGAGACAGATCTGCAAACCATAAAATCAATGCTTTCTGGAATAACATGCAGGCGATAAAATGGTACAGAAGACATTCCGTGACCGAAAGCCACAGGCCACAGGCCACAAAGAGGCTTCTCCAAACAGCCTGGGTGTGTCCCCTCCCATCCCCACCTCACCATTACCTGACCTCCGTGTCTTCGCTTCAGCAAAAAAGAAAAGGCATTTCACCGACAAAATTCAAACTGCACAGATTACAGATGAAAACATAAAGTGGGTTAATCCGGGAGCCATGGAGAGAAGGCAGGAAAGGCAGGAGAAAAATGCGAGACCCGATTTCATATTTATTTGTCCAAGTCTTTGCTGAAAACACAAACTACACACGTCCCACTATTCTCCCAACACAAGGGTCTGAAGCTTCCTCCCAGGCCTGCAGCAGCACACAGCGGAGACCTCTTCCCCTCCCCGGCTACCCACAGCGAGTCTGGGAAGCGGGACAGATACGGCCGCTATATTTGTGCTGGGGAAGGGAAGTGAAAAGTATGAGTCATCCAGCTATCTTTGAATATCAATGGGAACAGAAGTCCTTCTTGGACTGACCACGTTCCGGCAAAGAATGTTCTGGCGTGCAACTGGGCATTGAGGAAATCCGCTGCGTTTGGACACACCAGAGAGACCTGAATCACCCGGGCCCTCGTCGCGCCCACGCGAGGCCCTGTGGCCGATCCCCCGCGCGCACCACGCGGGCTCCGAGATGCGCCGTCCATGCTCTTACTGGGCCAGGAACATCTGGTGCTCAATGAGCCTTCGTGTCATCGCCTGCCTGGGGCTCGGCCTCTGACGGGTCCCCAAAGAGCTCGAAACAGAACCATCCTTCATGTCAGACAAGATGGACGGAACAGCTTCTCGAGTTGAAGAGGAGGATGGGGGGGCAGAGGCACGCCCAGGGAATGGAGAGAAGGAGGGGATCTGACCAGGACAGTGATACGAGGAGGGATGAGAAGACTGAGTGGGGAGGGGAAGCTGAGGCCCTTCTTCCTCCCCCGGAGCCCATGGTACCCCCGTGGAGCCACAGGGCTCAAGCCATAGGTCCCTGGTTCCACTTCACCGTCTCCCGTCTCCCAGCACTGAGTGGACTGGGGACTTGGTGGAAGCCATTCACGCCACCAGAGACCTCCAGCTGTGCCAGGGAAGCACACCATCAAGGCACCGCACGTGAGACGAAAGGACAAAAACCCCTGGAAGACGATGAAACCTCTGCCCGTCCTAGCTGATGTCCTAGCTGATTCCACAGGGCATTTTGCTCCTCAACAGAAAGTTTGTGTTTTCCCAACGACAGGCCACATTGTAGCAAACGCCTCTCCTGCTCTGCAGCAGCACAAAGTTCCTCCCACAGACTGCAAGCGTCCAAAAGGCCGGGACTTTAGAAATCTTTGCACATGTTTAAACTTAGCATTTGTTGTTTTCCTGGAAGTTGCCCTATAACACCCTTCCTAGGGTAACAGTCTGATTGTCAAACTACTGATGCCACTGAGTAAATATGTATATTATTATATAAATCCCTTCACAGAACGTGCATTGTAACTTTCCCTAGAATCTACCGAACCGCTGGGAGTTCCCTCGGCTCTCCGAGCTGTGTAATTTGGAAAATGAACAAGGACCAAATGATACCCGGGGTCTGGAGGCAGAGCGGAGACAGGAAGTACCCGGGGCCAGAGGGCAGATCTCGTTCTCACTGGGGGGCCGGACAAGTCACTGAACAGTGTCTGGGCCCCGGGCTCCTCGTCTGTAAAGCAGGACGATGCACCCAGCTCCTCTACATGGCTGCTATGAGGACCCAAAGGGGACCAAAACTGAAAGGCCTTTTAAAGCCCCGTATAAATAAAAGGCAGATGGTCTTTAGCCTCGATAGCTACTTGTTTCATCCTGATGAAATCAGAGGCTCCTCAGAGTAACGCCCCGCTCCGTGTGGGCACCAGGTCAACCTCGGCCCCTTCTTGGGGAGAAGAGCCGGGCGTGACCTGGGCAAAGGCATTCGGATGTCCACCCCCTCTGCACCTCCGCAGCACCGCCAGTCCAGACAAGAGCACCCCCCTCTGAAGAATGAAAGGCCTTTTATACATTTTCACATGGGATTTAGGCCAAAACACATCCCAGACATGCCAGATGCAGCTCAACTACATGTGACCACATACCCCACCGTGGAAAAGTACCCACACGGAAGCCAGACTGTCTGAAAAACACTGCAGACTCTGGAAGTGCAAGTGGACTAATATGAGCCTGGCTACCCGGTCCCTGTGGCACACCCTGACCTTCCTCTATGCTGTCTGGACATGTGCACAGAGCAGTGGGAGTCAAGAGACAAGGAAGGACGTAAATGTGGAGTCCACGCAGCAACCACGGGTCTGGAAAGCTCCTGGGAGGGCAGAGGAAGCTGGGCCCTGGACAAGGAGGGCACAGGCAGAGGTTTGGCCGGGGTGCAGGGCTGTCCCCAAGGTGGCGGATTCAGGGAGCCGGGAGTGACTCACTTCGTTATGCTCCAGGCAGTAGATCATCAGCTCGGAGAGGATGACCACGCCGGTCCGTCCCACCCCGGCACTGCAGTGGACGACGATGGGAGGGTGCCGGTCCTTGGTGCCCTCCAGCACACTGTTGGTGTGCCGGCGGACCGACTGCATCTCCTCCAAGTAGGCTGCGAGACAAAAGGCAGATCTTGTCACCCAAGCCCCGTGTGGTTTTGCGTACAAGCGAGGGGCGAAGACAAACACTGATGGTGAATCTTTTTCCTTTTTTTTTTTTAAGCGACAATAATTTACAGTTCTTACAAGACACTAATTATTTGGCTGGTACCCACTGTACAGCCCTGGAGCCAGAAAGGACCAGCTGGGAGTCAATTAGTCCGTGGGAGAATTTGTTCTTTAAATTAAATAGTTCTTTTCTAAAAATTAAATTCTGTTTTCCCCTCTGCAAATCCCAAAGTCCCCCAAGCAGATGATTCTCGACATTACTTACAGCAATTCCTACTATTAACAGACTGGGATCAGAACACCAGCGAGGTCCCCTTGAAACGCCTGCCTGTCAGCACAGTTCTGGTGGGACGAGACTCCATCTGCCCCTCACTGAACAAACATCAACTGCGGCTTGACTTCATTTGCAGATTTTATAATAGACTTTGGGGGGGGGGGGGTGCTTTACAGCTTGGATTCCAAATGGTAGAGTAGCTCAAGATAAGCCACCCCCAGCCCCATGCTGGGTGGAGGACCTGCTACCCCCCATCCCTCCCAACCTCTGTCCAGCTCAGCGGGGCTGTCCTGGGGTCTGCTCACTACTCCATTTGGGCACAAGTGAAACATTATATTGGCCTTTCTGATCATAAAAAAAAAAAAAAAGGGTATCAATGTAATTCTCAAACAGTCCAAGAACTGGACAAAGTCAATGAGTAAAGAGATTTTGCCATCGTGCTCAGGGGAGACCGGATCGGAGGTCCTGGGCACCCGGAAAAGCTCACCCAGACGCAGCTGTGCACACGAGCCTCGGGCAGCTGCTCCACCCGCTGCAGAGAAAACCGCACGCGAGCCAGTCCGTTCGTTTGAACGCACCGGTTTGTGTACAGTGAGTAAGATCTCCTAGTTTCCTTATTATCTAATCACAAAGTAATCTGAGGTGGTTCACCAAAGTAAACAACTATGACTACCAGCGGCACCAGCGGTAATGCAAAATGAGACAGAACAAAACAAAAAAGAGGGAAGACAACCTGCCGTCACTAGAGACGTAGCTGCTACGGGGACCAGCTGAGCACACTGCTGTGCATGGCCTTCCCTTCCCAATGCTTCTGCAAGGGGAACTGGGAGACTGAGCATTCTGGCTCACACAAGGCCATGTTCCCGAACAGGAGACAAGGGTTTTCTGGTGCTGAATTTCAAAAGGAAAAGAAATACTGATCAATAAGGCAGCTGGTACCATCTAATGGAGTTTCATAAACCACAGAGGAACTGGGGTTCAATGGATGCTTTCTCCAGCAATCAGAGTAATAACGCTGTAACTCAGTAAAGACCTCTGGGGGCAGGAAAATAATTTAGCCTTGGTCTCTGCATCCAGGTAATCTAATATAAACACAGGCGAAAATCTTCTCGCATGCTCAAAAACCTAGAGCACCAACATTTCTAACCCGACTCAGCACACTTGTACTCACTTTCTTCCAACTGTGAAATACAAATTTATACTGTTTAAAAATATTTTCTCTATTTTTTTCAGTCATTTCAATCGGTCCTCCTTCATTTGGCTCTGATTCAAAAGATCTGGCTGTCATTTTAACGACCTTATAGACTCAATCTTTTATAAGAGCGTTAGTCGATCTGCCAACTGATCCACTTTTATTGTTTCCCTATTCTGTGTCTCGGAGAAAATGCTAATCAATCAATCGGGAAGAGATGACCAGAAAGGAACAGAAAGAATACTATTACGAGGGGCCTGACCTCAAGCAAACCACTAACCCTCTGGATCACGCTCTAGCTTCTTTGATTCTAATCATCTTTCTCTTCTCTACTTTCACTGTCCAGCTCCTCCAGTATCATCACTTTGATGGGAAATCAAACACCTTTATCAACGTGTAAGTATGCATCGAAATCTTTCTGTCGGAATTCGTGAAACAGCACCTTTGGGTACTTAAAAGACCTATCTCCTCTCTTCCCCGCCTCCCTCCCCTGCCTCCCATTCTACAGAAATAGCAAAATAAACTCAAGGTGTTGACATTATCCAACATCCAGATGGTTTCCATCATTTTCAGTATCTTAATCACAGGCCCTAATTGAAATGTACTGTTATCAGGAAATACAGGGCTTGTGAAAACAGAATAAATGTTTTTTTAAAAAATTCTATCGTTCTGCAGGTTTTTTTTTAAATTGTGGTATAATATACATAAAATAGCATTTACCATTTTAATCATTTCTAAGTGTACAATTCAGTGGCATTAAGTATATTCACACGCATCCCCACTATCTGTTCTGGAACTTTTTTGTTGTCCTGAACACACTTTGTACAGGTCAAATACTAACTTCCTATTCCCTCCTCTCACCCCTGCTCACCTCTCTCACCCTCTGTCTCCATGCAGCTGCCCATTCTGGGCGTCTCATATACGTGGAGTCACACAGCACTTGTCCTTTCGTGTCTGGTTCATTTCACTTAGCATGGTTTCAAGGTTCAGACACGTAGCATGTATTAGAATAATTATTAATGAGTAGCTGAAGTTCTAAATCAAGGCAAAATGAACCAGTCTGCCACCGTTTTAGCTTAGTTGCATAAAAGGTAACAAGAACGTGGTAAGTGACACATTCGTCTTCTGTGTTCTCCACGTGCTGTATGAAGGGACAGCTGCGTCAATGTTATAATACTTGCTCCACTTAACAGAAAGGGTCCTCTCTTTCCATTTTTACCTCCACGGATAAGCTGGCAAAAGCATGACTGGGCAAAGAACACTTACACAGAAATCCTTGGACGTCCTCTGGGCAGCCGTGATCCGGCCAGTCGGTATATTGCAAATGCCACACTGTCCTTTCCTGCCCAGACAAAAGGTGCTTGACCTTCAAGCCTGTGGTTGCATAGCAACCAGAATCTGTTCGAAACTTTGTGGTGACCTTGAACTTGCCATAGGTGGCTGAGCTGTGCTTGGACCCCAGCTTGGGCCAGTATCGGTGGCTCTTGGTTCGTCCGCCCTCCTGAATCACACACAAAAGCAAAATTGGAAATAAGTCAGAGGAAGGAAGCGCTTATCCTCTTCATCTTGGAATCTGAGGGCAGAGGAGAATGTGGACAGCGCCTGAGTTACTGTGCAGTGTCCATCACAGACTGGATCCTGCATAAATCTTAGCTAAGATCCCAGTGCGGGGTGCGCTGGTAGCTACATCAGCGGAACATTCAAAAGGTTCACAAGGGAGCTGCAGCTGAATGTGAGAGAGAAGAGCCAGGGTGAAGCCCAGAGGAAGGAACACGCTGGGGTGTTCAAGAAACAGAGGGGAAGGGGGTAGAGAGGAGGTCAGAAAAGCCTCCTGGTCCATGGTAGGGAGTTTGGATGTCACTCCAGAGGGGGTGACCTTAAGCAGGGGAGCGACAGACTCCAGCAGTCACCGTAGGTCTCGCTCTGCACTGCTGATGTCCAGCCCAGGGCTCTTAGACCACACTGACTCCGGGCACTGGCTCTATCATCTGGGGTTGCTCTCGCCTTTGGGCCAGCCTGAGCCATTTGTTGTAGTTCCGCCCCATGGACCACTGAGAGAACAACTGGTATACCGCCTTCCTCTCCCCACTCATTTCCTAACCTCTTCTGAGGACAGGCGTTCTCACCATTTACACAGTGGGTCTGCCTGAAATGTCTGCACAGTGTTGAAATCACTAGAGGGGGGCGGAGGAGACGGGTTGGAAGGGCGCCCCGGGCAGGGCGTGGTGGAGACAGGCGCTGTGGGTGTGCGCGGCCAGCGCCGGGGGGCTCACCCGCTGGGGGGCTCGCTCGTAGACCAGCCCTGGCGGCTGGCCCACTTACAAAAGAGCACAACTCTGGGTGATACAGTTTCGCCCTGATTTATTCATTTGAATCGAGTCTTATGTTTGAAGCAGCCGGCCTCTCTTATTTGCCAGTCCTGAGAAAGGAGGTTCACCCAAGGCCTGACTTTATATTATACACTGGCGAGTGCCTGAATCCATGACAACCTTCAACCGACCACAAGCCTCTGCGGCCTCGCGGATCTGGACTTGGGGCTCCTGAGGCTGGCCTCTCCCCGTCACTCGGCTCTGGGCTCAGACGCCACCGGAAGGAGCCCCCTCGCTGCTCTCTACCCCATTACCTGGTTCCATTTTCTCCACGAGCTTCCCACTGTCGGGGTTCGCGTCACCTGCTCACTGGCACAGCCCTGGGCTACGCGAGCTCCCTGGGCACAGGGACCAGGCCTCTGTCTAGCGCCATGGCCCTCCGGTGAGCGCGGACGGTGCCTTCAGTTGGATGAATTCCTTCCTATTTTATCTATTGCGATTCTAGAGATTTTAGGAGAATTTACTCTTTGTGGGTTAAATAGAGGGTCGGACAAGTGCAACTGGCCTTAAAGAGGTGGGACGCCTTCCACCACTATCTTCTTTTATTAAAATTCTCACCCAAGGGTAAGTTTTTGTTTTGTTTTTATTGATTTTGGAAAAAGAGGAGTGGAGGGGGAGAGAGGGAAAAGGGGGGGTGGGAGGAGGGAGAGAGAGAGAAAGGGAGGGAGGGAGGGTGAGGGAGGGAGAGGGAGAAAAGGAGAGAGAGACAGAGAGAGAGAAGTTGCCTCTTGCATGTGCCCCGACTGGGGATTGAACCTGCAGCCTAGGTGTGAGCCACCCAGCCAGGGCCACCACTATCTTCTCGTGGACCGTTCTGGAAAGCAACTACTTGAAACAATCATGAAGAAAATGTGACTTTTTTTTCCCCAAGTCTCTGTTCCCCGCCCCACTCCCAGCAAAGGGGCCTGTAACACCAGAGCTACTAGTGAAAACCACAAGCAGCCAGTCCCCTCCATGACTTCGCAACATAAGTTAGAAACGAATGAAAGGAACAAAAGGAAGTGCTTAAGATAAAAAATCGAGACTACGACAAGAAAAAGCACACACAAAACATTTCCCCCCAAAGACACCAAGCTCCAAGTGAACGGCTCGGTGGTGTGTGCCCATTTTCACAAGGCCCCGTAGACTTCTCTGGTTACGACAGACAAAATGTGTCTGACTTGGCAGAGGAAGAAAAATATTCTTCCTCTCCCTGAAGGATCAAGACCTCTAAAGGAACACCAGCTCTGGTCACCGTTGCTCCGATCAGCGTGATGGCAGGTCAGCCGGCCACGCCCGTCTGGGAAGGTGCCGCTGCCGTGCGCCCAAGCAGCCGAGGCTCTCAAGTCCAGGGGCGGCGTTCGGCCCACGAAATTAGCTGGTTCTTTTTGGTTGGCTTGATGTTAGTACTCAGCAATGCAAGGAAAAGAGTTAAAAGCTGATGGGAATTGGACACCACAGGTTATCTTTGGGAAACAGAACCCATCTACGAGGAGGTGAGAAGAGAAAACAGGTGCACGCCAGACAGAGATGCGCAGAGACAGTCGGCGCTACAGGGAGAACAGAGCAGCCAGGACCCCGACCCGGAGCCCTCTCTGCCTCCTCTCCCCCGGGAACAGACAGCGGCGGGCCACTCCCCATACCTCTTCCGCGGTGACCATGGCGATCACGTTGGCTCCCTGCTCCCACACCATCTGCCAGAAGTCATGGCACGTGTGCGGCAGGGGCCCCTGAGTGGCAATGTAGTGCCATTCTGCCCCGCCAACCACCACCTGCAAACCAAGGAAAGCGTTGGTGAAGCAACCCTCAATCCAGGACAGTTACCTGCTGACCACGGGCAGGGCACCTGGCTTAGGGGCTACGGAGACATTCTCACACGAAAATGCTATTAAAAGAACCTAATTCTTTTTATGTCTGCAATCCACAGTAATTATGTACAAACCAGTGCATTTCAAAAACACACGTATTCATAACCATCCCCCCACACCTACACACACAATGTTAGATGAATACGTGTGTGTGTAACCTAACAGAATCCTGTTACAGAAACAACAGCCATGCTTACTGTGTGCAATGCACGGCACTTGGATCATTTCCATTCATTCCTCTTCTCTAGTCTTGTCTATTTAAAAGCAAAAAAAACCCCACAACACCCAGACTGGCCCTGACCCTAAACGGACTCCACACCCACTGCCATACTGTGACCCACAGTTTGAGAAACGGGGCTCTCTGGCGTCCTTTTAAACAATAACGACGTCCACCCTGGAATAAGATTCTTCCAGAGCGATGTCTTTCTACTGCGACCTGATAAGAAGTGTGTCGTAAGTCTCGCTGCATCCGCCACTCCGTGGGGCACACGCGGTAGACGTGTCGTGAAGGCACTACGTCAACAGCACCTGATACTTGTCCTTGACCTCCCGGCTGCCATACTCCAGCTGAACACTGGGGCCACGAGAGGGCCTGGGAAAATAGGACGTTACCCCGTGCAGCTCAGCGATCTTGGGAGGAGAGTTCTGCAGCTGCAGATTTCAGCGGCAGGATATCATCAAGAAGAAGCTGTGCCCCGAGTGTCGAGGGCCATGCTCTCTGGGGCACAAGGTGGCCTTTGCAAGGATTCTCTGTGTCCCTTTCCATCCCTGTGCCCTGATATGGCGTCGTCAGACCCCTCCCAGGTCCACCAGTGCAGATGTCTAGCTGGTTCCAAGAGCAATGAAGTGATCATTGTTTGAAACTTTTCCCCTCATTTGTTTGATGAAACTATATACTAACTTGATCCAAATAAAAACAATGTCAGTTATTGTCTCATTACACGAGGCATGTTTAGGTCAAAGCTGGCAAGCAAAACCCATTTTGCAAGTACCGGTGGGAGATAACATCCATACAGTTGCTGGCTGGCTAGGAGCTGGGTTATCTGCGGAGCTGTGATTTTAAGCATTAGCTTCTCTGGCACCCAACATATAGGAACCATAAATACTTCCAGAGCGTGCTGCTGCCTGGGGCCTTCCCGCAAATTCCAAGTATTGACAGGAGGGTATTAAAAACGGCATTAAAAACGCAACAACCAGTGCTACTGAGGTAGATTTCACAGATGTGATTCCACCTCTGGAGCACATAAATCTGTTCTGTGTTAATGGCTGCTTGGAACCCGGGGAGAAAACATTGGCAAGATTTCCGACTTGATTCCAAACGCACGGACAAGTTCTTGCAAGCTCTGTGGGTCTATTAAACGCACCCATGTCTAACCCGGATCCACAAGACGAGATGTGGGCCTCGGAGAACACTGAAGACAGGAATGCTTCTGCAAGTGCACCCAGTGGGCACCTCGGATGCACGGCGGCACCGTTTTCCAGACAGCAGATGGAAAATGGGAGAGGAGATTTGGCCGAAGAAGAAGACAATATGATACCGCTATGTAAGATTTCCAGGGACACTCCATCCAGAAGCGGCTGTGGGAGCTGCATCTTTGTTTACCCACACTATCTTGTCCATTGTTTCATAAGCGAAACGAAGCCCGTGTCACGCGCCACCGTCGGTTTACATAAGAATTCCCTGGGGTTTGTTTTTTATTGTTTTCATTCTCATTCTCAAAATAAAAGTAAAATACGCCATCTGATCCATGATGGTGCTCTTTCATATTTCTTTTGACGTACTTCCTGATACATAAATGTGTGTGTGTGTGTGTGTGCATGGTTATCTATGCCCTGCGTGCAAAAACACTACACCCCACCTCAGTACACTTCTCATATTTTGTATCAAAACTGTTATAACTGATATGTGAGACATCTGGCTGTGTTTTGGAGGCTCAAAGGAATCTACCAAGGATTTGGCTACAGTTGAAAAGTCCAAAGAAGAAAGGAAATAACTACACACAGCCTGAAACAGGTTTCTACGGTTACTGACCATACCAGACTGATCATGTGAACCTTATACTGTTTAAAATATCCTGTAGTGCCCTGGCCGGTTTGGCTCAGCAGTTAGAGCGTCAGCCTGCACGCCAATGAGTCGCGGGTTCGATTCCTGTCAAGGGCACGTACCTCAGTTGCCATTCGTCCCCGGCCCTGGTTGGGGTCGTGCGGGAGACAGCCACTTGATGTGTCCCTTTCATGTTGATGTTTTTTTTTTCTCTCTCTCCCTCCCTCTCACCCACTCTACTGAACAAAAAAAACCGAAAAAATATCCTTGGGTGAGGTTAAAAAAAAAAAATCCTGTAGCAACTGTTTTACCATTAATACATGAATAATTCTTCTACTTCAGAGGCAGAGCAAAGGGTGACATTCTAAACACACATGTTCTGTGATCAAGGACACTGAGGAAGGTAAGCTATTTCAGAAACATTTCACTGTACGTATACAAATACCCTTACCTCTGGACTCTAACTGGGATCAAACTACGCTGACCAATCTTAAAGCCTATGAAACACTGAGATGAAAAGGTTGAAGTACCTGAAAAATCAACTAAAAGGTAATGACACTGAAAATGATACGGCAAATCGTGCGAGAGTCACTAGCGAGCACACCTTCTTGGTTTATGTTTATACTAGTCCACTCTTCTAAATACCCTCCAACTTTGGGACTTCGGGTACCAAATGCATCACCCGTAGTGTTACAAGGGAGAATGGGTGCATTTTGTCGCTCTTGAACATCACAAAACTTCACTGACAGTAAGGCAATGCCTGTGACGTCCGAAGTCTCCATCGTCCACTAATTACAAAATGAGAGGACAAGCCTCAGGTTGTCCTGTGGGTTCCTGGGAAAGTTATAACCCACAGAGAGAAGGAAAAGTTCAAGCCTCTGTAAGGAGCAAGCTGCAGAAGACAGCTGACTGGAACTTCCCCCCGAGGCTGCTGGGCTTCCTCCTCACTGCAGTGCTACACATGCCCTTCCCGTTGAGTAAGAAAAGCCCAGAAGTTCAAAAACGTCCCCTTGGGGCCTGGGGACGAGCCAAGATGCACAGTGGCAGCCCGTCCCACATTTTTCCTCCCTGCATTTTTACCTCTAACCCAGCCGTCTTTGACAACCCTCCCCAGTGCGCTCCTGGCTCACCTTGATATGCGAGGCGTTGATGTAACCTGTGCTGTTCTCTTTGGTGGGTATCAGCTCCACTCGGTTCTCCTCATAGGGGACAACTTCGCGGATCCGGCTGCGCTCGGCGTTTTCGGGCAGAGCTGCCGTGCTGAAAATACCATCCGCCTTCTTCTTTGGGATTTGCTCATATTCCGTGAACACCATTCCCTCTTCTAGCTTCTTCTTCAGGGTTCTGAACTGCAACAGAAATCAGTCTTCAGCTCACTGACTGATCTCATCCCCCAACGAAACAACCAGATTTCTTTAAATAGTGACAGTGACGGTGCTAATAAGTAGTTTCAAGGTGTCCAACTGATGCTGGACCATTTGGTCTCATCATTAACCACAGCGCTAGTTTCTTGTCCAATAACCAATTTCCTTCTTAACTCATAGCTGCAATAGGATGGATCTGCAAGACCAGAGCTGAAATTCAAAATTGGTATTTTTGTCCTTAACCCATTTAAAGTCCTAATGTGAAGGGATCGTTCATTTAACTATCCAAATGCCCTTTTCTCCACGTACATGGCCCACTTTCCTGGGGTGGATTTTCAGATGAGCCTGGTCCATGGCCCTGCAGTTCTGAGGAGGAAATGCCTCTCCTTTTATTGTTCCCATGGCCAAACTACGAATGGCAGTAATAGGTATTAACTGGCTTAAATAATTCCTCTCAAGTCTCTTCTGGCTTTAAAAACACCGTAATACTTTCACCAGCTGGTATGGCTCAATGGACTGAGCATCATTCCACAAACTGAGAGGTCCTGGTTCGATTTCCGGTCAGGGCACGTGCCCGGGGCTGTGGGCTCAATCCCCAGGAGGGGGTGTGCAGGAGGCAGCCGGTTGATGTTTCTCTCTCACATAGATGTTTCTCTCTCTCTCCCTACTTCTCTCTCTAAAAAATAATATGAAAAACACACACACACACATTCTAATACTTCACAGATACCAACAGGATCTAAAAGCCTAAATGTTACCAACACTGCAGCCTATCTTTAACTTCTGATAGCAATTTCAGGAGCTCAAGGAACACCGTCTTCACCGCTAGCATGCTCATTTGCAACTTAAAGGGCACAGTAAGAGAATTGTATAAATGCTGGAGTAAAATCCTTCCTCATGCATGCTAATCGGTCATCAACATCTCAGAAACTGAGCGACAGCAATCGTTTAAGTTGCTCAGTTTGCAAAAAGGGAAAGAGGCCAGAAGAAGCCAAGTGACCCGACTCCGGCCACACGACCCGTGAGGCGATGGTCTCTCAGGCAGTTGTCACTGTGCCAACTTGACAAAGAAACAGCAGATACCTGGAAGGGACCCTCTGACTACGACAAGACTTGCTAATCTTAAACTGAAGAATTAATTCATCACATACACCGTGGTGCTGGCATGTTTGGGCAAGGTGAGCTCTGGAACCCTAGAGCACAGGGAACGAATCACATGCTTCACAAGCCCAGCGCTCACCCTCTCATCCATGGGAATCCGGGTGCCATCGGCTCGGCTGTCTTCCCGCCCCGAGACCCGAGCGACCGAGAGCCCATTCAGCGCTGCCAACATCAGCGGTCTCTTCTGCGCCTCCAGGCCTGCCATCTTCTGCTTCTCCAGATTCTTGTGGCAAGAAAAGGCATGTTCTCATTGTTTATAGTACCAGCGGAGCTCTGGAATGTGTTTTAATCGCCCCAAATCTGTAACTCCCCAGCCAAGGAATGCAGACAACCACCATTAGTAGGGCAAATTCAAACACGGCCTCCCCATTAATTCCCACTGTGCCTGAGGATGCTGGTTCCTACAGGACTCATGTGCTTTTACTGTAAAGCAGATGAATAAACAAACAAACAACAAACAAACAAGAGCCAAGGCTCCATACAAATACACCCTGCAACGGGGCGCTTACCAAAAAAAAAAAGGTACTGTACAAGGCAAGGTACTTTAGGAGGGTAAGGGCTGCTGGAAGACAGGACAAGGAAAAGCGAAACAGTTTCACAAACAGTGTAATCCAATCACAACGAAGGACTTTTTATATGGATTAGATGGTAAAGAAAAAAATAACATAAACACTGGTTGATGCATTGTTACAAGATCTGGATACATACATTGTAAAGAAAAACCTGCTGTTTCCATTCTGAGGGGCTAACTGGGAGGATGTCAATCCTACAGTGGCCCTCTGACCCCTGAAATGTCAACCCAGAATGAGAGCTGACGTGGTATAGCCAACCCACTCACCCCCAAGCCCAGGGTCACCCCACCTGAGACGACCACCAGGCATTCCCTTCATGCTTCACCCAGAGGCAGAAGGCAGTGGACACTGTGGCTCCCCGTGACTCTGCGGGGACCTCGCTGGGGAGACTAAGCTATAGGGGAGTATGGGTTTGGGGCTGAGCAGACCACATAGGGAAAGGTTTGGATGTTGACACCTGGCCCTTGTTTGGGGCTTTTTGATGGTCTCTCTGTCCTCACCTGCACCACAGTCTGAAACTGGACCAGCCAGGGCCTGGGTTGTTAGGTCTCCTGCTGTGCTTCCTCATGTCCTCTCAGCTGGCTGAGGCGTGAAAAAAAACCTCCTACTCACTCAGGCAACCCAAATGGAGCGTTTCCCCCAAATACTTGTGTTTTGGAAGTCAGAAGAACGGAGGGACTTCATCAAGCAAACAGGAGTTTCACACAGTTTGAATTTTGATCCCAACAAAAGTGAAACCAATTTTTTTTTGTTGTTGTTGTTGGTATTATTATAGATGTTCCCCCCTTTTCCCCAGTGATCCCCTCCTCCCCGCTCCCACCCGCTCCTGCTTTCCCCAAACTAATGTCTGCATCCATTGTGTGCATGTGTGCATATAAGATCTTTGGTTTGTCTCTTCCCCCCCCTCCCACCCCCCCCCCCCACCCCTCTGAGGTTGTTAGTCTATTCCCTACTTCCATGACTCTGGATCTGTTTTGGTCCACAGCTTATTTTGTTCATGATATTCCCTAAATAAGTGAGATCATGTGGTATTTGTCTTTCTCTGATTGGCTTATTTCACTCAGCTTAACACTCTCCAGGTCCCTCCATGTTGTCTCAAAGGGTAAGAGATCTTTCTTTCTTACAGCTGCGTAGTGTTCCATTATGTACATGTACCACAGCTTTCTTACCCACTCATCTACTGATGGAAATTTGGGCTGTTTCCAGATCGTAGCTATTGCAAAATTGTCAATATCTCTAATCATTAGAAAGAGACAAATTAAAATGACTATGAGGCATCACCTCACACCTGTCAGAATGACGACCATCAACAAGTGCTGGCGAGGGTGTGGAGAAAAGGGGACTCCAGTACACTGCTGATGGGAATGCAGACTGGAGCAGCCACTGTGAAAAACAATTTTGTGCTTCCCCAAAATATCAAAACTGAAACTGCCATTTGACCCAGAGATCCCCCTTCTAGGAATAGACCCTAAGAAGCCTGAAACACGTCAGGAAGAATATACGCACCCCTATGTTCATAGCAGTGAAACCAATCTGCAGACTCCTTTGGCCGCCACAGATGAAAGGGTCATCTTCTCCCTGGTTTCTTTTCAAGCCTTTAGGTAGTTTTTTTCTTAGTCTATCATTTCTTAGTCTATCATTTATACATTTTCTCCCCAGAGAGCACTGTCTCGATGGAACTGTGGTGCTGGCCATGGTGCAGAGTTATTCTGACTGTAGGTGGAGGGGATGGCATCACCCTCACCTCCTCAGCGCCACCTGCAGTCAGAAGAGTGCCCTGGCGTTTGTGAGTGATGCTGCCCTCAGATAAGATGCTTCCTCCAGGCACGGGGCCCACCCACCAGACAACAAAAGGAGCTTCTCAGAGGAGGACTAGCGGTGACCGAGTGCGAGAAGTCCCCGTGCACTTTTAGCCCGAGTGTGCGACACTCCTGAAAACAGTGACCTGGCGGCTCTCTCTATTCCCAGGCACATTTTGAAAAACTTCCATTTAAAGTTTAGCGTTTTCTTTTTGTTTGCTTGCAAGTTTGTTTTTATGAGACAGAACTTGTTTCCTGTTATCTCTTGAGCTGGGAATGGGTTTCACAACTCTGCAAAGTTTCGAGAGAGCAATACTTTTGGGGAGATGGGCCTGAGGTCCTCCCAACAGTGCTGTGCTTCTGTCCCCTGTCTGGTGACCAACTGGGCCGAAGGCAAAAAGTCATGAGTTCCCCTAGAGAGAAACGAAAGCCCAGGGATAAACTCTCTCTCTCAGCTCCTTCTCACTTATCGAAACAGCTTATTGCCAGAGATAAAAATAAAAAACCAAACTCCAAGATCTGATTTGGCCTTTTCTCTTCCCTGCAGCTGATTCCAGGTTTGGGGCGACAGACACAAAATGTCTTTAGGCAACAAGAGGAGCCATAAAGGAGCCATCAAGACAGCAGCCCGAAATCGTCCGTTACACAGGCAAGCGGCTCCTGAGTCGGCAAAGGTGGCCACGGGGCAAATTCTCACCATACCTGTCCCCTCTGGTTCCCACTGAGCTGAATTTTCTCACTGTTCTCTTATCCTGCAGAGGCCCAGATGGCCTTCTCTTCTTATCTAGTCCTAAGAAGCCAGGCAAAACCTGCCCATTGGTGGGAGGGCAGAGAAGCATCTGAGGCATGGGGAGGAGGCTGGGGTGAGTTTCTTCATTAAAAAGCCAGAGGCAGAACCGTCTGGCACGGTCACCATCGAGTCTGGCACACTGGGTCGCTGAAGAACCTTCTAAACCTGTTCTGAGGTCAGCATGCCAGCCCAGGGAGCAGTCCCTCAGCTCCCAAGGATACAGGATTTGGGGAAAATTTCAACGGAGCTAATGAAGTAGGGATGGGGTAACGCAGTTCTTAACTTGTAGTTCAGGGTAAAATCGGCTCTTCATGATGACCCCCATGGACGGGATGGGCCAGCACCCGGACAAACAGTGGAAACCCCCTTGTTCCTCTGTGTTTGGCTACAGGCTTTCGTTTAATACAGGGAACAAGGGAAGTGGAGGAATCTGACCAAAATGAGGCTACAGGACCATGGAGGCATCAATAAATGCCAACCAGCAAAGTTGAGGCTGACATGCTGAGTGGTGTTGAAGAAGCCTGGGGCCAAGAAGTGCTGAATATCCCTTCCCACCAATAAATCACTTTTTCCAAGCTGGGAAAGCTCTCCCCCAAGGCACCCACCCTTGAATTCCCTCCCAGCTGACAGGTTTCACTGCAGAAGCCCAAGCAATTCCCCTCTGGGTTTGCAAACAGTGGGAAAAGTTATACCTGCACCACATTCGAGTGCCACTCCAAACTGTGAGGCTGAGACTGTCCCTAAGGTTTGTCTGAAGTAGTCAAGTTGTTACTTAAGATTCCTGGACCCAGGAACTTGGCTTCCTTAAACATTGGTCCTTGACTGTTTTTCATTTCAGGCTGAGCGAGAGAGAGAGAGTATGTGTGTGTGTGTGATGTTTGTGTCTCATATGTGTATCTGAATTCCTAATAGATGAAACTTAACGGGGGTTTGAAGCTCCACAGTAACCTTCCAAGTTTATTGTAATTTTCTTGGCTTTGTGTTAAACATCTAGTGAAAAAATACCTGGCCCTGGCTGGTGTGTCTCAGTTGGTTGAGCATCGTCCCATGCACCGAAATGTTACCAGTTCAATTCCCAGTTGGGGCACATACTCGGATTTCAGGTTCAATCTCCAATTGTGGTGTGTACCAGAGGCAGCCAATAGATGCTTCTCTAGCACATCGATGTTTCTCTCTCTCTCTCTCTCTCTCTCTCTCTCTCTTTCTCTCTCTCCCCCCTTCCCTTCCTCACTCTATAAAAATCAATAAAAACATATTTAATAAAAAATAAATAAATAAATAGCCCTGGCCGGTTTGACTCAGTGGTTAGAGCATCAGCCTGTGGACCAATGAGTCAAGGGTTCAATTCCAGCCAAGGGCACATACCTTGGTTTCAGTTTGTCCTCAGCCCTGGTGGGGGTCGTGCAGGAGGCAACCAGTCGATGTGTCCCTCTCACATCGATGTTTCTCTCTCTCCCCCTTTCTCTCCCTCCCACCCTATCCGAAAATAAACAGAAAAATATCCTCGAGTGAGGATTAAAAAAGTAAAATAAAAATAAATAAATAAATAAATAAATAAAAGAAGAACAAATCTGAGAATCAAGCTGGACACATCATGATCTGGTCAACACTGGTGAGCCATCCTGACCTAGATCCATACAGAAAGCTCTCAAGAGATGTTGCTCTTTTAATACCTAACTGGGGGGGAAATGCTTTCCTCTGAAAAAACAAACAAAAACACCAACAGGTGTAGGAAGGTGAGCTCCTCATAGCTCCCACGGTACATCTGATCCTGAATGAAAAGCAAAACGTTTATTTCAACACCGCCAAGCGGAAACATCCCAGCTCCATCACTGCACTTTGCACCAAATGAACCCATTCGAGTCCACGCCTGTGAATGGGAGGGTCACGGGAAGGGGCAAGAACGGAGTTTTGAGAAATACACCAAGTGACTGTAAACCCGTCGGGCCCCCTCTGCATGAGCTCGCGCCCTGCTCAGCGTCTGAACGTTCTCGTGGACAAGGAGCAGAGGCGGCTGTGGGGGACCAGCATCCATAACTGCCCCCCAAATGCCCTGGGAGGGGATGGCACTCACCCTGATCATCATCTCTCTCTCTATGATGCTGTCCTCCAGGGAGAACATTTCGGACACAGGTCTCTCCTTCACCGGCTCCTTTTTGACCCGCTCCTTCACACTCGTCAGGTCGGGTTCTGAGATGGACGGACCGAGGGACGACCCGTTGCCGGCCAGCTGCTCAGCGCGGGAGACACTGACGGCTTTGGCCGGCGCGTGCCTCAGCACCCTGGCTCTGGCGACGGCAGGGGGCAGGCTGGCCTGGTCCTGCCTCAGCGCCCCGTTGCTGACACTCTTCCTCGGGCCGGGGTACTCGGGAGGGGGCTTGTTGGGGATTCGGGCTAAGGCGGCCTGCAGCTGGGCGCTGTACTCCATGTTGTCCCGGAGCCCAGGGATCCGGGACACCGGTTCCGCGCTCTCCTCCTCCTCCTCACTCTCGCTGCTGTGGATCAACATCGTGGCATCCGAGAAGGTCTTCTTGTGGTGATACGAGGGCAGCTGGGGGACCTCGTGGCCCGGGGGCCCCTCCTTGGGGGGCCCCTGCTCCCGGAGCGTGTTGCGCCGAGCCATGGGGATGTTGAGCGACTTGAGCGTCATGGCCTCCATGCCCCGCACCATGCTGTTCATCACCTCCAGGCTGTGGCGCTTGTTCACCGTGCTGTGGTGCTTGGTGGCCGTGAGCGGCTCGCTCACCTCCTGCAGAGACTGGTGCACCACCGGAGCGCTGTCCTCTTGGAAGGTCTTCACGGACAGCTGCACTTTGCGGGTCACCAGGTCGGGGCTGCTGCCGCTGACGTACTTGTGGCGGTGGCTGGCCAGGTCTGGGGTGCTGGTGGCAGGGCGGGGCCGCGGGTAGGGGGGTGGCGGCCTAAAGAGATAGTTTTTGAGCATATGGGCCGTGTTGTAGTTATGGGTGCCCTGGAGCTGCATGTTGGCCAGCTCTGGGGTGCTCACTGTGTGGGAGATGGCACTAGCGCCCGGCTTGCTGGGCACCGAGTTATTCTTTGGGTTCATCTGGTCAGACGGACCGACAAGTTTGTTACCATAGCCCCCCTGTAGCCCATAAGGGACAGTGTAGGGATGCCTCTCTCGCATCTCAGGCTGGCTGTATACCAGGTCCTCTGGCTGGTTGTAGGCATGGGTGTTGATGATGTTGAGGTTTCGCAGAGACTGGCTCTGGCTGTCTGTGTGCATGACCCCCCTCTTCATCTGGCGCATGACGGTGTCATAGTCAGGGGTCGGCCTGTATGACGGCACGATGATGGCGCTGTGCCGGTGGCTGGGGATGTAGTCGGCCCGCATGATGTCACTCCCAGGGATGCTGAGGTTGGAAGAGACAGGTGACGCCTGAATGAAGCTCTGGGAGCAGCTCAGGGAGGTGACACTGTGAACGCTGCACACGCTGCCATTGGTGATGGTGCCGTTTAAGTAGCTCAAGTCCAGGCTATTGTGAGAGTTGCCGTAGAAGGCGTCTTCGTTCCCGTGGAAAATGCTGTCTACGAGAGGTAAACAGAGGCACGTGAACCTCCACGCCATCCGCTTCCATTAAGTCCATCCTCGCACTCGGGGGGGGGGTGGGGGGGGTGCTCTTAATCTAAAGAAGTCCTAAGAAGTGCACGCCCATGGTCTCCACCCATGTACTCCATAAAACCTGAAAACTTCCTGGATGAGATGCCCACACACAGAAGGAACATTTTAACCAGACTGAAAAGGACAAGTGAATCCAAATCAAGAAAGCAATGCACATTTGGAATAAATGCCCCCTGATTTGTTAAGTTCTTGATTTTGCCCCGAGCTTTGAAATCAGGCACAAGTGTGGCCTCCGTGTTGGGTAGACCTGTTCTCTTGTTCAGGCCTCAGCAACAGGACTGGCTGTCTGGGCCAAGAAGCCAAGAACTTCGACAGGGTGATAGGTCTAAAGTTACTGTGTACTTGGAGCTCATCTACAATGAAAAAGGTCCCTTTACCAGAGGGACTGCTAAGCAATCATTAAGACACAAGACAAATAATGCAGCCAGAACGTCAGCCTGCATGGCTAACTCCTTGTGACCAGCAACCCATGGAGGGCAAAATAAGGACCAGGAGTTCTTTCAGCCACTGCCTAAAACTCTTCCCTAGAATTGATTTCATCACTGAGCCCATGCTATGTAAGAATTAATCATAGTTTAGGTAGGTACCTAGAGAGCTAAACAACAGATTTGCAACCTAAGGCCCATTTGAGGCGTCCAGTGTTCCTTAAACACACACACACACACACACACACACACACACACACGGAGGCAACCTCTTGCCAAAACACTTTTCTGAGAGCAAACTACAAACATTTTTCACGCTACAGATTTAAGCATGAACAAAGTAGAGAGAGACAAAGGCAGACAAGGTGAAAACCAGAAAAGGTGGCTGTGAATACTTAGCCGCCTGAAGAGGAGAGGGTCATGGAGCAGATGAGGTGAGACAGTCAAGAAGCCAGGAGACCCTGGAGACAAGGGCTGCACTCAGCTGCCTCTATGTTTGGTGGGTGTTGGTGCCTTCCCAGGGAAACAGGGTGACCTTGCTAGTCTGCTGATAAACAGTCATGTTGTATTAAATTAAACAGCCTTAACGATCTTAGTTTTCATGCTCACACTGACAGTGCAGAGAGATTCGAAATGGGCAGGTAATATAGAAAGAATTTTTCCACGTAAACTGTCAGCATTCAACATTTAATAGCATTCCTTCTTTGAGATGCAGTTAGTGTCATGATTAAGGGCATCGGCTTGAGGGTGAAGACACTGAGTTTCCTGTCCGAGCTCCTTCAACAACAGCCTTACTGCGTCCCAGTTGTGTATTCGTAAATCAAAACCACAGTGGTCTCTATCTCATCTCTCAGGTTTATTTTGAGGATCGAATGAGATAATACACTGCAGGTGCTAAGGAGAGGACGTTCTCTGTAAATATTATTATTCCAGTAATTACTATTGAATGGAGTTTTTTCACACATCTTGCATGGGAGTTCAAAGAGAAACAGGACAGATTTCCTTTGCAAATGCTTGGAGAGAGGCTGCTGGGAGATGGGAAAAAGCCATAGCTCGTGTGGAGGGTTGAGATTATTTGTGCATTTCTTTCTATTATTCTAGATGCCTATGCTCTGTCACGGTGAAAATCTGACTGCTCCGAACTTTGTGACGCTGGCGATGAGGGTGGAGGGTGCTCCGTGGGGCTCTGCTGCCACTCCCTCCTCTCTAAGCCCACTCACGAGAGGGCAGAGACCAGAACCCTGCTCGTGCCTTCTCCCAACTCTTCGCGGCCAGTTCTGGGGGAATCCCTCTCTCGGGGGTAAATGATAGTCTACGCTTTTCACAAATCGAAGCTGCTGCCTGCGGCCATTCAGACAATGACAAGATTAAAAACGAAAGCATCACTGTCATCTGGGGAAAAAAAAAGTCTTCTTGACTGCTTACCCATCCTGGACTACCCGTCTTAAGAAGGGGAATAGGAAGCCGGAGTTACCTTGCGAAGTGTGTGTTTCGGAGTAGTGTTCGCCACACTGGACGTGCATGGGAGGCAAGATGTAGGGCTGCTGCCGGGGCTGAAACAGAGAACACAGCAAGGTGGGTGGGCCTCGGCGCAAGGTGGGTGGGCCTCGGCGCAAGGTGGGCGGGCCTCGGCGCAAGGTGGGCGGGCCTCGGGCAAGGTGGGCGGGCCTCGGCGCAAGGTGGGTGGGCCTCGGGCAAGGTGGGCGGGCCTCGGCGCAAGGTGGGTGGGCCTCGGGCAAGGTGGGTGGGCCTCGGCGCAAGGTGGGCGGGCCTCGGGCAAGGTGGGCGGGCCTCGGCGCAAGGTGGGTGGGCCTCGGGCAAAGTGGGCGGGCCTCGGCGCAAGGTGGGCGGGCCTCAGCGCAAGGTGGGCGGGCCTCGGGCAAGGTGGGCGGGCCTCGGCGCAAGGTGGGTGGGCCTCGGGCAAGGTGGGCGGGCCTCGGGCAAGGTGGGCGGGCCTCGACGCAAGGTGGGCGGGCCTCGGGCAAGGTGGGCGGGCCTCGGCGCAAAGTGGGCGGGCCTTGGTGCACGTGGTCCTCAGCTGTCGCAGGGTACAGCCCCGCAAGCAGCAGTCCCCATCTCTCACCCCCATCCGCAGGGGAGCACACTGGGCTGCTCTCCCTCTACCCTTCACCCACCTCTCCCTCCTCATCCGCACCCTCACCCCATCAGAAGCTAGGACTGAGGAACCAGACAGGAGAAGCAGGAGGCTGGTTCAAGGTGAGAAAGACAGAGGCTACAATCGCCATGAATACATCTATTTATGATCTACTTTCTCATACACCTACAGAGCTCCCAATGCCTTTTTTTTTAATAGAACAAAAATTCATACATGAGTAAAACACACTGACAATGGCTAGGAAATGCTGGACTGTCGTGAGTGTTAGTGTGACCACACAAACCCACTCTCTCCAAGAAACAAACTGCACTTTTTCCTCTACACACACGAGACAATACGGATCTAAAACTGACACCCTCGTCGTTGGCTTTTAAAATTTTCTTTTTCTAAATCCTCACCTGAGGACAGTTTTCCATTTATCTTCAGATAGAGTGGGCGGGAAGGAGGGAGGGTAAAAGAGGGAGGGAGAGAGAGAGAAACATCAATGTGCTTGAGACACATGGACTGGTTGCCTCCTGCACGACCCCGACCAGGGCCAGGGATCGAACCACAACCGAGGTACATGCCCTTGACCAGAATCGAACCCACAACTCTTTGGTCTGTGGGCCAATGCTCTAACCACTGAGCAAACTATCCAGGGCTAAATTTTATTTTTCAATTACAGTTGACATTCAATATTGTTCTGTATGAGTTGCAGGTGCACAGCACAGTGATTAGACAGTCACATGGGGGGGCACTTTGTAAAGTACATGTCTAACCAATGCCTTTCCTTCAGGAAGAACACAGAACACATACATTATTAGGCTCCGCTTAGGAAATAAGGAGAATCAAGAGCACCACGTTTCATTCCATTCACCACTGGCTCCCTCCAGGGGTCGCAAGCTCGTGCACATCGTCATGGCTACACCTATGACCCACGCACACAGCCACATTGACCTCAAACGGGGACAGGGTAGTGCTGGCCTGGGCCCACTGGAAATGTATGTAAAAACTGGACATGTCATCCACAACTACGAGCATGTGGTCCTCAAGACCACACACTGGCCTCCTACTGCAGGACCCCATGGGGGGCCCTGCGGAGAATCCATGTCAACCACCTACCCTCCAGGGAAGAATCTTCTCCATAAGACTCTTAAAAGTTGCCATTTAGACTCAATCCAAATCACTTCTGGCTGCAGTGGAGGGTAGAACTTTTTTTTTTAAGTACAAAAAAATGCTTAGATGAGTTCAAAATTTGGTGAGCCAACAAAGGACATCAAATCCGGTCTCGCTGCTATGATCCCAAGCATCAAGCCCCCCACCCCCTCCCTCTACCAAATAGGATCCATTTCATTTATATACTGGGTTTCCAGGGGAGAGTTCGTTTGAAGAGTTTTGATGCTAAAAAATTTTAAACTTTAAAACTGGAAACCACCAAGAAGAATGATCTCTTATATTTCCACTTGATTATTTTAAATTAGTCTCACAGATATTCGTTGAAATGGGACTGCTTTTGGAGAAAAGCTGAGATCAAGCCAAAAACAAACAAAAACAAAGCCAGCAGGGGTCACACTTTCTCAGTATCTCTCAACAGAAGATGAGTACTCAAAGTCTGAAGCTCAGTGAATAACGCATCTACCGTTTCCTCTGCTACAAATAATACAAGGAATTCAAAACTTAAAAAGAATCTGGGGAGAAGAAGTAAAGAACTGAAATTAAGGTAAGAAAGTTGAGGGCACCAAAGAAAGGGTGTTATATCAGCTCTCAATATTTCCAAATTTCCATATGGCTGGGTTTTCAGTTGCAATTTAAAAATATTTGTCCTCTGCTTAGTAATCCATAACTCAATTCAGTTTTTCCAGGGTAGGACAACCAGTTTTGAGGCTTAAGAAATCAACAGTGGGGAGGGATTCATACGAGGGAGTCAAAATAAACGGCAGGCAATGCTGGCTTACTGCCTTCTATTGCTCTTTTTAAAAATAATAATAATCTGCCCTGGCTGGTTTGGCTCAGCGGTCAGAGAGTTGGCCCAAGGACCAAAGGGTCTCAGGTTTGATTCCTGGTCAAGGGCATGTACCTGGGTTGCAGGTTCAATCCCCAGCCCCCATTGGGGTTGTGTAGAAGGCAACAATCGATGTGTCTCTCTCTCACATCGATATTTCTCTCTCTCTCCCTCCCTACCTCTTTCCCACTCTATTTAAAAATCAATGGGGAAATATCCTTGGGTGAGGATTAACAAAAAATAAAAATCCAAAAAGTAAAAATCAGGGACTGTTTATGAACTGGCATAAATATACAGGCAAAGGAAAATCAAGCAATCCTCCCGACACCATTTCAGGATTCTATTACTTGTCCCTCTCAGACATTCTACTATATTATTCTATTTCTTTCCAGACCTGCTAATACCAAGGCCAATTGGATGCCATAATACAGGCAGCAGAAGGGCCCGAGAAAGAGTCGCCAGGCATCCTGGGTATCGGCAAGGAAGCCAGAGGAGACACTGTGATCTGGTTTTACTCTTACTCATCCCAAGGACCTCTTGGTGAGATGGTTTATTCCTCAAGGGCATAACTGTGGCTTCCTGTAGACGGTCTTCATCCAAATCCAAGAGGAAAGCTTTGGCATCCTCTCCAACAATCAGAATGAGATTAGATCGCAGGAAAGCCTGAGAACACGTGGCTTCCCGGGGCGTTCCGTGGGCACAGAGAAAAAAGAATCTCACCACTAGGACATGTAGGGGCCAAAGAAGGGAAAAGAAAAGGCATATGAAGAAAGAAGAAGAAGAAAGAAACTGGTGCCACGAACAAATCTGCTATTACTCCAGGGGAAGGGCTCAAAGTGACCCCCTTGATCTCCAAATCAAGGGCCACTTGTGAGACACTGTGCAGAATGTCAAGATTAGTAATATCCACACGATTCTCAGGAATTATGTGCTGATATAATGGCCCAACTCTAGAATTCTGGGAGTTCATGTCTATGCATTTAAAAAGAAAAATCCTCAAAACTTTCATTTTAAAAGACAAGTTAAACAATTCTTGTATATACTATAAATATTGTGTATTTAAAAATTCAATTTTATTCTTCTATAGACTAAAAAAAACTGTTCATCTAGAAAAATTGAAAAGTCACATGTTTATTTTAATCATATATAAAAAAATCATAACCTAAAATAAAGAATTATGACTTCAAACCAGTAGAAAAGTATAAAGGAAATTAATTCTTCAACATCTTTCTATTGTATTATCCTTAAGTAATCCTCAAAATAAAACACAGCCTTAGACAAAACACAGGTATTGAAATTAGAGTTGTGTTTCCTTATTCACATGAGGAAAGCAGTTAAAAAAAAAAAAGTTAATGTTAGGTATAAAAGTGGATCAACTCAAATTCTATGGCCCTTCCAGTCGGGGAAAGTACAATCAATCTTCCCCATGCAGTATTTTACCTGAGACGATCAACTAGACTTATTCGATTTCTGCTCTTTTAAAAAGCATTTTCTGCCCTGGCCAGTGTGGCTCAGGTTGGTTGGAGCTTCATTCTGTACACCACAAGGTGGCAGGTTCGATTCTTGGTCAGGGTACATTCCCGGGTTAGGTTCGATCCCCAGTCAGAGCACAACAGGAGACAATCGAGCAATGTTTCCCTCTTGCATCAAAGTTCTCCATTCCCCCACCCCAACCTCCAAAAAAAAAAAATCAATAAAAAATTAAAAAGCTCGACCCATATACCCAGAGGTCGCTGGTTCGATTCCCAGTCAGGGCACATGCCTAGGTTGTGGGCCCGATCCCCAGTGGGGGGCATGCAGGAGGCAGCCAATCAATGTTCTCTCTCATTGATGTTTCTCTCTCTCTTTCCCTTCCTCTCTCTCAAATCAATAAAGAAAAAAAAAGTTTTAAAAAAAAATTAGAAAGCATTTTCTGATTAGTTTATTAAACTCTATGACTGTGAACACAGCAGAATTTGTGGAGCTTATACCTGAAGACATGTCTACATCTAACACGTAGAAACAGTGATAAAACCACTGATGAGAACAAGTGGACACAGTAGGTTACATGCTGAAGGAACATGGTCTCATCACTCTGGAATAAGACTCATGGGGCCCGGCTGGTGTGGCCCAGTCAGGGCACATGCCCAGGCTGAGGGCTCGAACCCCAGTAGGGGTGTGCAGGAGGCAGCCGATGGATGCCTCTCTCTCACATCGATGTTTCTATCTCTCTCCCCCTTCATCTCTCTCTAAAAAAAATCAATAAAAACATATTTAAAAAAAAAAAAAGACTCACTCACAGGGGTGAGCTTTGAGTCTCACTGAGAGAAGTCACGGGCACAATGGGCACAGTGGTATAGACGGGTGTCCACACCTGCTTGTTCTGCATTCTCGCCTGATCACAACACCCTAGGCGCCCCTCCTCCCAAATGTGTAACGAAAGGACACTCTGTCCCCACTGCACAGACTAACTGATTCCTGAATATTTTATACGTACCAGAGACGATCGGCTCCAGGTGGGCTGGCGTCGGATGGGGGGTGGAGAGTTTGATTGTCTACATGAAAAGTTGAAGAATAAGAATGGTCATTATTTACTAGATACAAGACAGACAGAAAGGGAGAAAAGGGGGAAGTGGCCAGACTAACAGCAACATTATTTCTGGGTTGGCAAAGCTAAGAACAATTCCGATTTCCTTTTTCATTCTTTTCTTTGTTTTCAAAATGTTTGGAACATACGGGACTTTGACAAAAAGTTTTACAAACTAATAGTAGAAGAATGAGGCTTATTTCTAAAGAATGATTCTGAGGGAAATGAGAAAGGCAAACATTTCACCAGTATTACATGGGTTTTTAAAAACTGTATTCTTTGTACCTTTGTGTATGTGTAAAATCTTTCATTAAAATATATATATATTTTTAAATACTGCCAGTAAAACAAAAAAATAAAAATCCAAAATAAATGTACTGAGGTATAAAAGTATTTTTTAATTGAGATAATAAAAATTGCAAATATTCATCTGAGCAAATCCTTTCGAGACTGAGAATCGGCATGAATTTTTTAAATGCAGAGATAAAAATGAGGGAGGACTAAGAGTATTGTCAAATTTTTAAGAACCGGAATCAAAGGTGCCTTTGAGAAACAAGTCCCAAAGTCCAGAATTCCACTGTCCACTCTCCTCACTGATTAATTTGAAGAACAAGCAGCAGCAACAACAAAAGCAGGACATGAAGAGTTGGCCATCAAGCTAAAATTCTTCGACTGAAAGCACTTTCCTCATTGTGATATCTCACCTTTCCTACCTTTTTGGTGATATCTTTTTTAATGAAACGATAAAATCAATATAGAAATATTGGGCTTTTTTTTTTTTTTTTTTTAACTGGCCAAGTACAATATTATTAGACCTATTGTTGCCTTTGTCCTGCACATTTTTTCTATCTAAGTCAAGAAATAAGCAACCATTCCCTGGAGCTGTATTAACAGGTGACCGCAGTAATTATGAGAGAAAAAATATCTGTGACAGTCTTTCGTGAGTCAGAGAGTGAAGACCTCTGCAGAATTATGTTGATAAGGTGATACTAGTTTCATAAGACTCCAGGGGGGTGTCCCAGGCCTGAATGTTGTAGCCTGTGCTGAGACTCTGAAACTATATTCAGAATTTACTGTGTGTTTTGGGGGGGCGGGTTACTCTGAAGAGAGTCCCGGTTTTTATCACGTAAGAAGTTAGGAACCTCCCATAACTGGTGAGGAAGAAGAAAAGAATGGTTCTTACAAAAGTAGAAAGGAAAAATGTAATTTCCTTTCTTTTCAGTCTGATACGTGATGGTCGCCGATGTTCTAAGACCACCAAGAAATACAAATAACCAGTAAATTTCATAGTAAATCTACTTGCTGAGGAATGGTCAAACCAGAATTTTATTGCAGTTAAATTCAGTTCTCCACATACTTTTTAATTCATCGTACAGAAGACAATGATAGAATGCTTGTTAATGTCAAAGACACCCCCCCAAGTGGAAGGCAACAGCAAAGCAGAACGGCAAAGCAATGACCTAGAGGGAGTCTCCCCAACAGAACGGTGTGAGTGCGCAGGTGCACCCCCCGAGCAACCTTGGGCTATTTCATGTGCCACTCCCTGATCACCGCCCTTCTGATTTACATGTGCAAACTCCGCTGGCGGACCTGACACCATCAGACACACTTCCAGACTCTGCCGGTGGCCAATTGCCGTGACTGCTTTGAAAGAGTCTCCGTCGTATAGAGAAAAAAGCCTGCAGAACCCAATGATGCTCTGGTAAAACGCACTCTTCGGCAGAAACTGCTTTAGGACCACACTTGCACACTCTTGGATGTGTCCACTGGGGGAGTAGAGAGGCAGTCCTCTCTTGCATTTACATCCCCGAAGGTCTTTGAAACGAAATTAACCCCCTTGGGCGCCCCATCGGCCGATGTCCTCCGCTGAGGAACATCTTTTGAAGGCAATCAAGGCAGAGGCAACATTAGCGGGAGCCCCGGCGCGCTGCATCCGAGGTCAGGTCACGTCTGAGTTCCCTCATCACACTCCCTTTATCGTCTGTATTTCCAAATGAAATTTAAAACACACACACGGATTTGTGACATCTATTAGCGTCCTCGAGCCTCCCTCTAATTACCCTGGCCTCTCATTTACAGGGAGATGACATGACCCAGAAGCACACACGGGGTTACCCAACTGTGTAAGCGGAACGGGGCTGAGGATGACAGGAGCTTCTTCTCTTTCAAGCTGGCTCGTCACCGTGTCACACACTTCTGAACATCCTCCACATCTGATGCGAAGGGCACCCTGGCAAACTGGGAACGGCTCAGCTCCTCCAAACCCATGGCAGAGGGTGGAAACGCACTAACTGGTGACTGTGAGCCACGCCATGCAGGCAGTCCAACCGTCACAGTCAATTTGTGAATTATTTTCTCCCCGGGCGTCGGTACTAACTACACCACACAGTTTTCATCATTAAAGCTCTCTCACTCCTGCCCGGCTTGAACGCCGTCCTTTAGCTTCTACAAGGAACGGGGGAGGAGGGCGAACGGAACAAAGCCGCCGCCAACATCCCCAAAGCACATGAATCTGATCTGACCAAACCATCGCTGAGAGCGCGGACCGAATGTTTACTTACTCAGTGCAGATTTTATTTTGTTTGTAAAACTTGTGCCGTGTAGCAAACAAGCGAGAAATGTACTTGGCGTTGTCAATATCATCCTTGGGGGAAGAAAAGAGACAGAGGAAAAAAATAAACATTTCTTTGGTTATCAACAGGGACACAGCCCTTCTTCCCTTCTTGTCAATCACAAAATAACACCCTGAGCCCCAAACCAAGGTGCTGAAACCCAGTGGCTGCATGTGAAACCCGCCCAAAGACAATAAGACGAGACTGTCTGCTAAGGAATCCGTCATGCCCAAGGCGTAGGGGTCGCGGTGATGAACTGGCATGTCTTCACGTCATTCCCAACCACATGCTTTAAAAATAAATGAATGGCCTGGCCGTTGTGGTTCAGTGGTTGAGCATCGACCCACGCACCAAGAGGTCGCCGGTTCAATTCCTGGTCAGGGCACATGCCCAGGTTGGGGGCCCGATCCCCAGTCGGGGGCATGCAGGAGGCAGCCAATCGATGTTCTCTCTCATCGATGTATCTCTCTCTCTCTCCCTTCCTCACTCTGTAAAATCAATAAAGTAAAAAAACTTTTTTGAATATAAAATAAACATGAATGAACGAATCAAGGCAGAGCATGGAATGAGCACCAAGCATCGTTACATGGGAGGCAGGGAGACGCAGGAGCAGCTCTGGCTCTCCAGGAGGCCTGCAACAGGAGGGCCATCGCTCCCCCGGCTCCAGATGAGGCTTGGGCTACGATGGGAAAGAAAACCCAGGCCAGCCAGCAAAGGAAAACGCCATGCAAGAGAATCAGAGGTCACTTGGCGAGGGCTGCAACTAGACCGCGGAGGAAGGCGGTCTGCCGGACAACACGCTCCATCACAAGTAAGGCAGGTGGAGGAACCCAAATCCGAGAGTCCAGCCTCCGCTTGCACAGGGAGCAGAGTGAAATCACTACCACGATCCTGAAACCAGCAACGACAGCACTGGGCAAGCACCGGAAGCTTCGGTTCCGTAGACTATTTATTCTCTCAAGGTTTGGAGAGCAAGGGAAGGATGATGGTATGAGCTGAGAAGTCAGAGAGCACGCTGCCTGCGGACCCTGCCTGCGCCCACTTTGCTCACCGTGTGAAAGAGCACCGTCTCTTCTTTGTTGATGAGCTCCACCAGAATGGTCGACTTGTTATGAGTGATGTTCCCCATATCATTCCACCTGCTCAAAAGAAAGGCAGCTGTGTTGGCCCCAAGACCACCCACGCACGTACGAACCCGCACAGGGAGCCACTGGCTACTGCTGAGTCTGATTTTGTAAAGGATGATGCAGCCCTATTTTCAAAAGCAAAATGTTCCTTCTCTCGAGGCAGGAAAGTACAGAAAATGCAAACATGCAACTATTTAAATAGTTAAAAATCTTATGTAAGCCCGGCCAGTGTGGCTCGTCGACTCCTGTACCAAGAGGTCCCTGTTGACTCCTGATCAGGGCACATGCCCAGGTTGTGGGCCCAATCCCCAGTGGGGGGCATGCAGGAGGCGGCCAGTCGATGTTCTCTCTCATCGACGTTTCTATGTCTCTCTCTTTCCCTTTCTCTCTCTCTAAAATCAATAAAGAAAATTTTTTTTTTAAATCCTATGTAAACTATTTCTAGATACTGTTATCCATAAAGCATCCTTTCCTTTCTGACTGGTCGGAAGGACATTTGCAAGGGACTTCTGCTGCCTTGTTATTCACGTTTCCAATCTGACAAAGTATTTCTCGTGATCCTGGCTTTTAACGATGGAGGAACACATTATTTGAACGTCAAACGTTCCCGGAATCTACGCCAAAGAATCCACATGGACTCTGTGCTGTAATGTATTACTGATTATGTTACCTAGAAAAAATACCTAAGAGGTGAATTTATCGTGCCCACATTTTTGTGAACTAAACACACACTGTCCTTCCTCTTTCCTCATGGTGACCTTGTCTACAGTGTGATTTACAGAAATAACCACCAGACAACGGGAGGGAAGCTATTGTTTCCCGTTCTACTTGGAACCTATTTGTAACCATCCCTCACTACTGTCTGCCTTCACTCTGGGCCCCAGCCTGTGGTTCCTGCCCACCTGACTTCACTCCATGGTGCTTTTCCTCATTACATTCCCACCTGTCTGGATGACTCCTGTAAGACTCAGCTCAGGGGCCCCCTTCTCAGGGAAGCCCTTCCTCACCCCAACCACCCACATGCTAGGAGAGAACTTGGTGTTGTCCTTTATCAGTCACCACATTGCATTAAGATTGCTTATTTCTGTGACTAGCTCCCTAACGAGAGGAACTGGACCACACCAGACCACAGGCCCCGTGCCCTGGGTAGAGGTTCTGCCTTCTGCATCTCTGTATTCCAAGCACTGAGCCACGAACCTGGCACACAGCACGGACTCAATGTCTGCTGAAAGAACTGAAAGTTATAATATTGCCTCCCATCTGTACAGAGCACAGTTCTTTGACCAACTTGCCAATGTAGAGGAAGCAGCTGTTCTAGTTTCCACTTTGGAGATGAGGCCGTTCAGGCACACGAGCTTGACCGAGCCACATTCTCTGTGTTCATCAGGGATGATGAGTTCTCTTCCTTGGGCTCCAGGTTTCCCTCCAGTTACCTTTCCCTGACACCATTCCCAACTGTGTTTTATGTCCAGCTGCTGGGCCACCCTGGCTACAGGTGCTCAGCACAGCTGCCGGCCAACTTACAGTTCCATCCGATCGGGTCTACCGGGACTCAGAGCTACGTGCTTCTCAGTGAAGGTCTCTAGAGAGGAGAGCTATTTGGTTTCCTCTGGTTCCGGTCCTGCTAGTCAACTGCCAAGACTCTGAATGGACTCCTCCCTCCACCATTCGACTTCCCCTAGTGGCATGATAGCAGAAATAAACTCCCACCTTGTAAGGGGTGTCATGATAAGTACTAAAGAAAGAGACCTGGAAACAGTTCCCAAGGAGACTTGAGAGGCCTATGATCAGTGAACTTTCAACTTGCTATTTTCTTCTATTTAACCTCCATAGCTAGAATGCAAGACCTGTCTACTGCTCCGGGCTCAAGGAAAAAAAATAAAGCATCAGTTTAGCTCTGAAGGAATCACCACCACTATCTCGAAATGAGCACTGAGCAAGTATTGTTGGAAAGTTATCAGTTCCAAGAATATTTAGTCTCTCATGCTACGGAGAACTGTGTGGGACAAAATGCCTGGGTGCCTTCAAATGGGCATAAAACGTGAGCGTTACAACTCTGCACACATTTCTATAGGTGACTCAATTAATTTACAATTTCTTGTAGGTATATGGAGTTGACCAAGTATGTCCACAGGTCAAGTTTATTCTGTAGCCCCAAAGCTCTCTCTCCCCACTCACGCTTCAATGCTGTCTCTATTCAAAGAGCAAGAGAAAATAAAGGACAGCAATAATGGCAGGATGGGGACCCAGGGGGACGCCTACTAGGAAGTTTTTGGTAGGAAAGTTTCTCAGAATGACCCGCAGCCACTGCTGGCCCAGAGAGTCGGTGGCTGGCCACGGTGCTGCACTCTGAGAGCATCTTTGATCCCCTGCCCTCATGCACAGACAGCGCTGCCTATCAGCACACACAGGACAGTCGTCCTTCCGAAAACAGCAGGCCGTGTTCCCTTGCAAATAAAAGTGAGCGTGCAAAATTTTTAAGATCGCTGACACTACATGGGATCTATGGGCACCAGGACAAAGCAAGCTCACTGCCATGCCATTGCAGGGACGCTCGGACACACCCCTTTTTTGGTTCCACGCATGTTAAATGGAAAGGAAAAGAGGATTAGCTCGGGCCGGTTTGGCTCGGCAGTTGGAGCGTCGGCCTGCGGTCCAGAGAGACCCGGGTTCGGTTCCCGCTAAGGGCATGTACCTCGGTTGCAGTTTGTCCCCGGCCCTGGTTGGTCGTGGGGGTGGCAGCCACTTGATGTGTCCCTTTCACGTTGATGTTTCTCTCTCTCTCTCTTCCTCTCTCTCCCTCCCACTATATCTGAACAAAAAAAATGGGAAAATGTCCTCGGGTGAGGATAAAAAAAAAAAAAGAAAAGAGGGTTAAAGGGTCAACAGAGTAAAAAGTAGCCAAGTCCTTTAATTTATAACAAATTGATTGCTTTTTCAAAACATACTTCACCTAATTCTTCTTTAGGAATATAAAAACTAGTTTGCATTCTTCCACCACCTGTGGTTAGGCAGAGGGTGCAGGACAAGGGGAAGGAGGCAGTTTGGATGTAATGACCGGTCACGAATGTCCCCACAAAGGTGATCAGCAAGAGACAACTGGAGAGTCTGTTTTCAACCAGACCCATAAAGCTGTGTTCCCATTCTTCAGCTCCGCGGGGTTTCAGCGTGCATTCCTGGAGTCAGGTGGGAAGGAGGCTTCCCCTGCCCCCACTCCCAAACAGGCCTCCAGGAAAAGGGAGATAAATCTCTCCATAACCACTTAGTCCCAGAGGACTAATCTTAACTGAGCTACCAGGAGCGCAACTGTGCAGGGCAGGCTGACTCAGTCATCGGTGTACCTTTGCCATCCAGTGGGTGTTTCTGGCATTCCTCAAGGAGATAAAGGAAAAGTGGGGGAAAGGTAAATAACTCTACCTGTGTATTACTGCTTGTCTTCCAATCCTGTTCCTCACGAAAATCCCCATAAAGAAAATGCCCAGGTGCACTCCGTTTCCATGATTGTCCTGGAGGAGATCAACAAAACATAGGTGCGATGAAACAGATGCCCCGCGGCGGCCGCACCAGCACGCGGGCCGCCACGGCCGCACCAGCACGCGGGCCGCCACCCGTGGGGACCACGCCCCGTTTCTCACCAGTACGTGAAATGAATCACAGGCAGCGGCACGGCAATAAGGCAACTAGATCCCGAAAGGGTGCGCCCACTGTGCGTCCTGATGCAGCACGCACAGCTGTCCCCCCTCCTCTCACTCTGTCAGCCTCTCCTGGCGGACGGGACAGGGCTTTCTCAGGCGGGCTGGCAGTCAGGTTTCTCTTCCGTGAACATCTGGTAGTATTTTTTTCAGCCTTAGTTTTTGTTCTGTCAATCAAAACTGTACATGCATACAGCTTGATTACATATGCACATTACATATGTGCAGCTACATGTGCACGGGGCTCGAAGCACTGGCTATGCTTTAGAGCGCGTTTAAAAGAAACCCACAGCAGACCTGGCCCCCCCAAGTTCCTCTCCCTGGGAGGCACCAGCTTCCACCACTTAAAGCACAAGAGTGCATCTCATATGAACCTACCCAGCTTGTCTTTTTATTTTAGAAACAAGTGTTCCTCCTTCTTGAGTTCCTACGTCCCGTTTCCTCCTTCGGGACTCCTGTTATTCAGAGGTTGGCCATCCTAGGCTGGCCCTCTGATTTCATCTTCTGCCTCCCACGTTCTATTACTTTCTTCTTCTTTTTTTTTTTTTTTTTGGTGCGATTTTCTTAATTTTATCTTCTAACCTATTAAGTTTTCCATTTCTGATATCATATTTTCAATTTCTGAGAGTTGTTTTATTTTTGGAATGTTCCTTTTAAAAAGCAATCTGTTCCCCACTTGTAAGTGGTATCTAATGAACATAATAAACTGACAAACAAAACAGATCCAGGGGCAGGGAACAGACTGACAGATCCCAGAGGGGAGTGGGGGAGACAGGAAGAGATTAACCAAGGAACTCATATACACAGATGCATAGTCAACAGACAATAATGAGGTGAGGGACTTGGGGGGGCAGGGGCTGGAGGAGGTGGGTAAAGGAAGGGCAAATGGGGGGCCAGCTGCAATATTGTCAACAATTAAATGAATAAATAAAAGCCATCTATTCCTTCGAGGATGGATACACACACACACACATACAAGTATCTCTGAGACGGACTGGGTGGTATCTGGGGCTGGGGTTCTTCACCTACAGAATCTGTGTTCTAGGCTGTGCTCTCATTGTGTTGGCCTCTGTGATTCCTATTAGGGCATCATGCAGGGTGAGGCTTCGCCATCTATTCATGGTCCAGATGAGAGCTGAACGCTGGTCGAGAGCTTTGTGGACATGGGAGGGTGTGGACCTCACTGCCTACAATCGGCTTGGCCGTGTCCCCGCACCAAAGCTGACATTGGATCGAAGTCTTCTAAGGGGGATGGAGAAAGGTGAGACCCTGCTGCTGGCCAAAGCAGACGGCTGGGAGAGAGAGGACCGGGAAGGAGAAAGGGCACCTGTCGTTACGAGAAATGAAGAGGGAAGCGATATGATGGAAAAAGTACATGGGGAAAGGAGGCAGGTGCAGTAGAAATGGGAAGAGACAGGAAAATCCGACAGAAAGACTCCCCTGGGCACTCGGCCAGCAGACGGGTACAGAGTCTGCTGGTGACAGGGACACAGGAAGGCAGATCACCAGGGCGGGGCAGTGGAAAAATCTCAGAACCGATGCCTGAGGCACTGCGCTGGTCAAAACCAAAGGCTCTACCGTGACCTTAGCCAAGGATCAAGGCTCCAGACTATGACTCACTGGAGAGCACCCTGCCCAAGCCCATGCGCTGACCCGACAGGACGGATAGCAGCCACACCTGTCTGTGGACAAGGTGGGCAGACCTGTCGGGAAACGAGTGGATATCCCTCCAACCTTGAGCATTATTGAGGAACCACTCATGATAAAGCTCCCACTAAACAGAAATGTTCCTCCCTAGGACATATCCACCATAGCATGGTTTTACACTTGACTTGGTCACTAAGGACCACAGTCTGTCCCTGCACACTGTCCTGTCTGCTTTCCACTGTCTCAGAGCTGACCTCACCACTCTGCCCCCACTGGCACTGCTAACTGCCCCCCCATCATTCTTGGGTTGCCAGGAATCCTGTGGTCCGAAGGTGTCACCTGAGTCATGAACAGATATGGGGGGGGGGGGAGCCCAGCTAATTGACGCCCCATGGGTAGTGAGTCAGCAATGACCGTCTGCCCACTCAGAGAAAGGTACAGTGTCCCCTTGAACTTTTCCCACAAAAGAACATCCTAGAAAGTGCATCAGAACCAAGCCCAGGAGATTCCAGCACTATCTCCACCGCCCCTACCGCCCACAATTCAGAAGTACTGAAAACAAAACAAGCAAATGACCACCGCCACAAAACCCAACTTCCAGGGACTGGAAGTCAGTGTTCTAGAAGTGGAGGAAAGCTGACTCTATTTCCATGACCCCGAAGACCACGACTATCTACGGGCTGCTGAAATGTAAGTGGGCTGCAGATGGCTGCTGAGACATTATTGCAAGGAAAATGGATTACAGGCCCACCCAGGGCAGCCACGAGAGAAGCAAAAGGAAATTAAACAAATCTAAAACAGAGCCATTTAGCTCTGTCCGCGGGCGGCAGCCGCCCCGCTCGGTCCTACTGGATGCGCACGGGCAGTTCTCATTAAGGCAAACTGCAGCCCCGAAACAGAGGGGCGCAGAACACTTATAAAACAGGCAGCGGAGCCCGTCTGCGGTGAAGTGGCGGCGCTGAAATGGCAGGCGTCTCCCAAATTACTGCGATGTGCCAGTTGCTTTAGGTTTCGAATAAAAGCTCCGTCTTCTGTCAAGCTGGTCAGCAGAGAGAGGAACTGAGTCTGGGTTATGAGCTCTGAACTGCCGGGTGCTCTGTGACCTCCCCCACGCCCACGCCCACTTCAGGAGGTGCCCTTCTTTGGCAAAGGAGGTGACACGCTGTCATGGTTTCCTAGGCGTAGTTTCCAGAACACTCGAGGGGCTGGAAACCCAAACAGAGGCTCTATGGCACAGGAGAGAGGAAGCGTGATTGCATAAAGGGAACGCTTCATTCTCCACCAGAAACCATCTGTATCAGCTTAAAGAACAGAAGAGAGAATAAGTATGGGGCAGAAACCTCGGGGTGAGGGTCTTCATTAAGGCACACATGTCCAGCAGGTGTGGCTCAGTGGTTGAGCACTGACCCATGCACCAAGAGGTCACCAGTTCGATTCCCTGCCAGGACACATGCCCAGGTTGTGGGCCAGATTCCCAGTGGGGGGCATGCAGGAGGCGGCCAATCAATGTTCTCTCTCATCGATGTTTCTCTCTCTCTCTCCCTTACACTTCCTCTCTCTCTAAAATCTATAAAGGGGAAAAAAGTTAAAAAAAAAACAACAAAGGCCCTGGCTGGTTTAGCATGTCGGCCCACGGACCAGAGAGTCCCGGGTTTGGTTCCCACTAAGGGCACGTACCTCAGCTGCAGTTCATCCCTGGCCCCAGTTGGGGTTGTGTGGGTGGCAGCTACTCGATGTGTCTCTCTCACATTGATGTTTCTCTCTCTCTGTTCCTCCCTCTCTCCCTCCTGCTCTATCTGAAGATAAATGCGAAAATGTCCTCGGGTGAGGATTAAAAAAAAAAGAAGGCACTATGACTCGAGCCCCTTGTCCTGGGACAAGACTAGGTGTGTGTCTCGACCCCTTCACAGCGCAGGATGGGCTGGGGTCTGGTCCTCACTCAGACCGGTTGTCTTACACATGAGACTTTCTTCAGCTGAAATCCATGCAAAACTTCAAAATCTCTCAGTTACTCAAAAAACCTGTGCTTCACTAAAGCCAACGGGATTTGCCGCGGCACGTGGCACGCGGCACGTGGCAGAAAGCAAGCCACGCCGCTCTGCTGCTATCAACAGCGGCTTTCCAGATGCCCGTGTCCCTCGCGGCGGGCCGCAGCAGGGCGGGGTGCGCTACCTTCACGGGGAAGACTTCCTGTCCAAATCCGTCCAAACGCTCCACTTCGTTGATGTACATAAGCTCCGCCTCGGCGGGCAGGATCCCACTGAAATCAGAAAGCACGGGAGGAGGAGGTGGTTATGGGCAAACCGAGTGGGCGGACGACCCCCTTCCTGCTGGTCTTCCAGGGCGGCGGCTCAGCTGCGGGTCTGGGAAGAGCAACCACCCCCCACCCAGGAGGGCAGGCGGGCTGTGAAGAACTCATAACCTATTCCCCAGCAGCCTTTTATTCACCGGGGAGCAATCAGAGGAAGGTGACGTCCTTAACGAAGAGCCGCAGCCTGATCAAGGCCAAAGCACTGTTCCAGGCAGCCTTCAGAAGCATGCTGCTTGCTTAAAAAAAAAAAAAGTTTTTTTCTCCCACCTGGGAAAAAAATCACAACTACTCAAAGGAAAGGGGAAAGAACAATAAAGAGTTTATGAGGGTGGTATTTCGGGAGCCCGGTGGCCAAGACGAGAGGCCCTAGGACCACATTCAGGTCCTCTGAGGTCAGAGGGGAAGGCTGCTTGCATTGCTCCGCAAGAGCTCGGGGCAGGCCCGGGACCACACTCAGGTCCTCTGAGGTCAGAGGGGAAGGCTGCTTGCATTGCTCCGCAAGAGCTCGGGGCAGGCCCGGGACCACGCTCAGGTCCTCTGAGGTCAGAGGGGAAGGCTGCTTGCATTGCTCCGCAAGAGCTCGGGGCAGGCCCGGGACCACGCTCAGGTCCTCTGAGGTCAGAGGGGAAGGCTGCTTGCATTGCTCCGCAAGAGCTCGGGGCAGCCCCGGGACCACACTCAGGTCCTCTGAGGTCAGAGGGGAAGGCTGCTTGCATTGCTCCGCAAGAGCTCGGGGCAGGCCCGGGACCACACTCAGGCTGCCAGCCTCTACCTGTGATCTTGAGGTTCCCAGCCAAGTAGCTCTTCCCCGTCCCCACTCAGCACAGGCAGCCCCGGCTGCCCAGGCCTGGCTACGGCGTTTTAGGAAGGTCACGGAGAGGAAGTCTCCCGGCCACCAGCCCCCCCGTCAGTGCGGGCTCGCTGGTGAGGGAAAGGGGAGGAGGGGAGACAGAAAACAGAGCAGAGCACTCAGGGCAGAACTGAGTCACAGGCTGAAGAAACAGACCCGTGTCGACTCGACCAGGGGCTGGGGGCCCAAGCCTCCCGCCGTGGACAGGCCAGTGGCTGCGCGCTGGCCCCGCCGCCCTGCCCTCGGCCTGCCTACCTGTGCGCCTTGTGCTCCTGGGCCACCTTCTGCGTCAGCTCCTCCAGAACAGCCTCTTCCAGGGCCAGGTCCTGTGGAAACAGACGCACTGGGGGTCACTTTATCTGTCTGCTCCTCTCCCGGCGTGCTCCGAGTTCCCCTCACGTCCTCCATCGCCCCTGTACTCCTTCCAACGCCAGGCTGTCATCTTTAGGACTGGGGGTTCATGTCTACTTCTCTAACAGCGCTCTCCACTAAACTTAGACTGTTTTAAGGCACATTTGGGGGGGCCACCTAGATGCTGCAGGGTCTGGGAATAGTTCTTTACTTTTTTTCATTCATTTTCTTCTTCCCTACCTGCCTCTCAGACTCGCTTTCATTAACAATGCTTCCTAAGTACGTCCATGTTTTTAACCATCAGGGATGAGGCAGATGAGGCTCCAGACCATCCTCCCTTCAAAGGCTGAGCCTCGGAAGGGACTGTGCCTGGCCTTCTGTCCTCCACCACAGCGCCAGCAAACCCAGTCACCGCCTGCTCGTTCCGATGCTGCGTGATGGAGCCTCGGGAGCAGAGAGGCTGGGCCGGCCGACAGGCCTCCACGGAGCTCGGGGGTAACGGCTGCCCAGCTGGTGTCCCAACCAACCCAAACCCCGGCCCCTGGGACCGTGGTGAGCCAGAGCCAATTACCCACGTCTCTTCCCAACTCCCCTTCAATGCGAGAGGCAGCGTTTACAGGGCCTGTTAAATTTAGCAGCAAAGCCCTGTGAGAGATGGAGGAATAAACCCCAGACAGGGAGACAGGAGCCACTGATTCCTGAGACACAGACAGTGGCCTGGGGCCAGCTGCCTCCCCCTCCCCAGCACCTAGGAGGGCACAGATGTGCACCACCTCCTCTGAGCTCCAGAGGGGTGTCAGAAGGGTCCCGGGCTGTGTCCTGGTGAGTCGCCCAAACGTTCAGTGTGGGGGTATGTGGGTGATGTTCGGGTAGAAAACATCCAAAATGCCTCACTTCCTTGATTCTAAAATACCATTTACATAAAGGTCACCTCCAATTTCACAACTTCTCATCGATGAAACACTACCCCCCAAAAGGCACCCCTCGAAACTACAAGGACTATCCTAGCTCGAATTGGGAAGTGCGAAACCAGCCTTCCGTAGAGCGGAGGGACGGGGGTGTGACTACCCTGGAAGTTCTTCAGCTCCGCCGACGGCCACGGGAACCTCGAAGGAGGTGGAACTCCCGGAAGCTCTTACTTTCCCTGCGTTAACTAATCGATGTGCTCTGTCCCGTTTGGCCATCCACTGAAATGACTCAAGGCCACAGTAGGCACGATCCCAGCATTTTCAGTTCTATGCTGTGGAATAACAGATCCCACATGGCTTCGATTTAGCTGCGTGTGTGCATCGAGGCTTTGAGGAGTACTAATAACCTGAGCCTAATTTTGAAAAGCGAATAAAAGGCATGAGGCAATAGAATAAAAAATAAAAAAAAGATTAAGTGAAGATCAGAAAGGGCTCCATTAAACCTCTGCTTCCTTCTTTGAAAGAAGAACCTGTCCGCAGGCACCCTCTGCCATTGTGTTCCCTCCACAGCCTCAGCGGTGCCGGGGCCTCCCCGAGGTATGGCCCCCGCCACGGTGGCGAGAGCGGCCCCGCGCCAGTGAAAAGGGGCAGCGTGCTTGCCCGTACACAGCCGCACACCTGTGGAGCGCCCTGTGTGTTTAACTTTGTTCTTTCCTCGGCTGCAAAAATGCCATTTGACAAATTCGGTTACTTTCTAAGATCAAACACAGCCATTCAGCCCATCTGCCCTCCCCCCCCAAGGAATGCATGCTCCCCTTTGAAAGCGCTAGTGGAACCACGCAGGAAGTTTACAACCTGCCGTGGCTCCCCACTGCCTGCTCAATTAGGTCAGCACCTGGGCCTGGTATTCAGGCCACTGCACTGGGAGGGACCCAGCCTTCCCTTCCAGACCTCCTGTCTCAAGGGCTCAGGCAAACCCCTCTTCCTAAGATGGCTTTTACTACGGACTCCTACGCGTGCCGACCCTACCTGGAGGACCACCCTGACCCCTCACATCAGAGGTGTGAAATGTCCCCCCATCCTTTGGGACCCCTCTCAGTTACCATTCCTGCAGCAGGGCATCCATAGGCCCTCAAGCTAGATGCCAACTTCTCCCCTGGGCCTGCCCCGTCCACTCTGTGTCTCTGCCAGAGCCCTGACCCAGTCTGCCTACATCTTTCTCACAGTTATTTGTACGCTCATCACACCCTCTGTCTTTGTCTCCCTCGTCCACTGGATTCTAGGCACCCAAGGTCACCTGTTCTCCATATCATTCCCGGGGCCCATCAAGGGGCTTTTATACAATGCAGTAAGGGATCCGTAAATGCTGACTCAACTCAACTCAATATGCAACGTGTCAGTTTCCTATTGTCAAGCGGGTTTTAATTCTATAAAGCTGCCTGCTCTCTCTCTGGTTACATTTCAAGATGCATGTATCATTGCAACCAGGAAAGCACAGTCTTCAGCATCCCTGTCCTTGCCCAGTGGAGACAGGACAGTAATGCTGGAAGTAACCATAACGATGATGATATGATGGAGATGATGACAACTAAGTCAACGCTCACTGGGCATTTACCAGGTGCCAGCTGCAGTACTTAGACATTCTCTCCTTCACCTTCACAATCCAATTAGGCCTGACAGCCTCATGGTTTAGAATCTAGTGGTTCTCAACCTGTGGGTCACGACCCCTTTGGGGGTCGAATGACCCTTTCACAGGGGTCGCCTAAGACATAACAGTAGCAAATTTACAGTTATGAAGTAGCAATGAAGATAATTTTATGGTTGGGGGTCACCACAACACGAGGAGCTGTATTAAAGGGTCGCGGCATTAGGAAGGCTGAGAACCACTGTATGAAAAACTGGTTAGATAACTTGCTCAAGTTCAGACCGGGTATGGGCACAGGAGGCTTGACCCCTGTGCTCGGAACGTCCTGACCACAGGCCACAATGGGTCGAGGGTAAAGGGGGGTGTGGAATATCCATGACGGCTGGTAGGAGCCTAGGAATATGGTAATCTCTCTGAAGGGAGGTTGATTTAATGGCAGATTAATCAGGCATAAAAAAGAACAGGCCCAGCATAGGAAACTGCTGTTTTCTCAAAGAAAACACATCAGGGTAGAGCTATTCGTGCAAAGCTAGACATCTTGCAGGATTCCCCTAACTTATAAGAATAAGGTCATCTGGGGACCAATTTAAATTCCTCTCATGCACTGACTATGGGTAATAACCACGGCCTAACTTTCCCTAGTATCTCACAACCTTGTCACCAGGCACCTGACTTTATCCCAGTTAGATGCCAAGTTCTGTCCATTTTACTTCCCAAATACCTCTTGCTTTGCTTTCTTGCTTTCATCTACACTGCTTACACCTAGTTCCTATCTCCTGCCAAGAACATGCGACCTGTCAGCCGACCTGTCCCCACAAACAATCTCACTGCTCTACTCCCGCAGTTCTCAAAGTGGGGTCTGTAAGCCCCTGGGCGGAGCCCGTGTGTTCTAATTCCTCAGATGCTGCAGCCTCATCTGCCACCTTCAGGTCCCCTCTTGCAGCCTGAGTGACAGTCAGATGGCCAGCTGACCCTTCCCCACCCCGCCGCTGCTCCTTGCTGTGTAGGTCATTCCTCGTCCCCTTTCTCTCTGCAGTCCCGCCCGCCCGCTAGGACACAGCTCGTACGCCACCAGCCTGCAAACGTTCGGGAAGCCCCCAAGCACATGTAACCCTCTCCCCACATGAAATCCCCATGTGCTTGAATACACTTGACCTTGATTCGGATTTTGCAAACTTTCGATGGACTCAACCACTCCGCTGTCTGCCTAGGAACAAGCACTGTTCTCTTGTATAACTTCAGCCCCCGGGGTTGGTTACCCAGGCCAGTGCTGTGGGCCAAACAGTTGATCAGAACAGTAAGTGCTGACTGAGTAGGATTCCAGAGTCAGAGCCAGAACGATGCACTGCACAGAGCTCTTCCCTAACAGGGCTTTTCCACTGTCTTTTTTCTTTTTTAATTTTTTTTTAATCCTCACCTGAGGACATTTTCCCATTTTTTGTTCAGATAGAGTGGGAGGGAGAGAGAGGAAGAGCGAGAGAGAGAGAAACATCGACATGAAAGAGACCCATTGAGTGGCTGCCACCCGCACGACCCAACCAGGGCCGGGGACAAACCACAACCGAGGTACATGCCCTTAGCGGGAACCGAACCCGGGTCTCTCTGGACCGCAGGCCGACGCTCTAACCGCTGAGCCAAACCGGCCAGGGCTACTGTCTTAATCCTTTCTCGTTAACACTTTCCTCATTTACACCAAAGCTACAAAAAAAATAAAATAAACAATCAAAAACTCCCCAGGGATTAAAACCTAGCCTCATCCCTAATTTAACCCAGGAGTGGACATTTTACTTCATGACTCATTCAACGAATTTTTATGAGCACAGGCCAAATGCAAGATGACAGTGGACAAGACGGAGAGGGTCCCAGGCTGAGGACCATGAAGCTGACAAGAGAGAGAGATAGACAGACGAGAAGCGATTCAGATTGTGAGAACTCTGGAATACACACAGCAAAAGAGGTTCAGCAGGATGTGGCTGCTGGCTGAAGTACATCACACAGTGGTCAAGGACCAAAAATTCCTGTCTAAGGAGGTGGTACTTCCATCAAGACCCGAATGGCAAGTCCTCGGGAGATCTGGAGCAGGGGATTCCAGGAGGGGCAACCCAAGCACAGAGGCTCTGGTTTGGAAATGAGCTCCACGTGTCCAGAAAAGCAGAGAGCCACTGGGGGATAGCAGTGGTGGCACTGGTGGGGGTGGGGGGGCGAGGAACACAGAAGGGTCTCGAGGAGGGGGGAAGAGGCATCTCTCCCTTTTCAGTGTTTTACAAAACTTGTCCAAACTCCACACATTCGTGGACTTTCCTCCCCAGGAAACGTGTGCGTGTGAAATACTGAGATTTCCAAAGGAAAGAATTAAACATCCAAAGAAGGCAGAAAATCAATGCAGACAAAGGGAATTATACTTACCATAGGAAACAACACATATTCTCTGAGAAAGTCTTGGGAATCAAACTGGTTGTAGTCTCCAAAATCCGCTAAAAAGAAGAGAAGAGGGGAGAGGGAATGATTTCATTTTTATATGAAATTAAAGATGGATACAATGGGTGGACTTCCCACCTTTCTTCTTCCCACATCATCCCACTTCAGCCCGATGACGAAATCAAACGGTGCTGAGAGGTGTTTGATACTGTTACCACGTCTCAGAATTCTGTCAATACCAGCCGGTGGGCACTGCTACTTGATTTTCTAGGAAGGACGGGGAAATTTGAAAGTGATTCCTAAGCTATTTTTAAAACTTCAACCAAACCTGTATTTATCCCCTTGTTAAATATGCACCAACACAGACCTTAAGAATATCTGCCCAGGGGACTTTCTCACTCAAGGTTCATTTAGGGAACTGGAGAGCCAAACCCATCTGTCTCTCTTTATATATTTGCAGCTGGAAATCCCCTCTGTAAATCACCCTTGGCAAGCAACCCTGCAAATCTTTACACCTCCTACCAAACATCTTCACAGGCTGCAAGAGGCCAAAAATTCTGCTTTTTTCCTGTCTTCATCTCATCATGCTGTGTCTGAGCTCACGCAACAGAGACAGTGAGCCTGTGTCGTATGAAATCTCTTGCTTCGAATTCCACTTACTCTCGAAAAAAATCAGATCTTTTAATCTCGTGTAAAAGATTTAGTATCAGGTGGACGTGGCCTCAGGTGACGGCAAGGTAGCCAGGGGAGAGAAGGCCGGGATCCGCCGAAGGCCAGCAGAGAGACGCCACCTGCTGCCGCGAAGGCGGAGGGACAGGTGACCAACGGGGGCCTTCAGGACCTTCAGGACGGCGATCACCTGCTCTGCCTGTGTTCGGGTTTGGTCACCAGTTACCGTGTTTCAGGATGACACATCTCTGTGGATATGTCTTTCTAACGGCCCAGCAAGGCTCTCAAGAAAACGATGTCACAAATGTTACGGCCAGAGCAGCGCTCGTCAGACTGAGGACCCAAAGAGAAGGGGGTCCGGAGACGTTTCACCACCGTCCTTCAGCCAAAAAGCTCTCCCCAAGGCCTTCCCAAATCCGGGGTGCCCGCAGGAAGCTCCATGGGGGGTAGGGGGAGAGGGAATAAAATGAACAGGAAAGCAAGCTTTTTCAAAGGACAAAGAACCGATTTGGAAAAGAGGGACATACTGTGTCTCCTCTCTCTCCTCCCTGTTAAGGGTGTCTTTTTCCACTATTTTGATGATTTTCTGTCACAACCACTGAGTTCTGTTACAATGTTCTGGGCTCGGTTCCTTCCTTTTCCGGCCTTTAAGTGAACAGATGGGATACAACATTTTTTCTGTCCTTCCATCCACAGGGTAACAATACTGGGGAACTAGGAACTGTGCAGACAACAGAAACCGCTAACCGGCTAAGACCCTGGAATGAGAGAGGTCGAGGGGAGGCACCCCATACACGTGTAGAACCCAGAACATCTGCCTGCAGCTCAGGGTCTGGGAGGGGAGCTCAGTTCACAAGCTTCGAAAACAACAGCCCACACACCAAGGCCTGGCAGGCTGACATTCAGACGTTAATTGATTTTAAAGAAAATAATGACTGAAAGGAAAATGTGTCTCTTTTAACATCCTATTTGTATCTTCTTGTTTTAAATATGACTCTAGACAATTAAGCTATCAATAAAGAGCAATGTAGAAATAATGTAGAGAATTATGTAACATGTCATATAAATATACGTAAAAAAATATAAGTACGATTTAGTGATGATAAAAAAAAATAGCTGTCAATTCTCCCCCTCCCCCTCCTTTCCTCCCACTCTGTCTGAAAACAATGGAAAAAACATCCTTGGGTGAGGATAAAAAAATAAAAAAAAATAGGTGTCGGATAAATCTAAGAAGGATAGGTCGAAAGATGTATTAACTCTAATACACGTGCGCTGTTTCACATTACAACAGTGCATTTTATTTCTCTCTTTAACTGCATGAGATTACACCATGATGTTTAAAGCTATTATTTGAAACTGATATGAAAGTCACCAAGTCAGAGCATTAAGCCAAAAATTATGACCAAATTGGGCAGTGGAAAAATTCTGAAAAAATGTTCCACAAACCCTGGAACGTAGCTTTCATTAAGGGCAGGATGAAGGCTGCTATTTTTTTTTTTTTTTTCAAATAAAACTGAAATTATACAAGCATGAGCAATTTGCAAAGAGCTTTGAGAATTCCACCATCCTGCCACAAAAACTACTTACTCTGCATTTTTCACGAGAGACATCTTGAAATGAAAAGGGATAGTTACTGCCCCGATTGGTTGCTCAGTGGTTAGAATGTTGGCCCTCGGACCAAAGGGTCACGGGTTCGATTTCCGGTCAAGGGCACGTACCTGGGTTGCAGGTTCGATCCCCAGCCCCAGTAGGGGTCGTGCGGAAGGCAACCAATCCGTGTGTCTCTCTCATATCCATGTTTCTCTCTCTCTCTCCCTCCCTCCCATCACTCTATCTAAAAAACCAATGGAAAAATATCCTTGGATGAGGATTAACAAAAAAAGAAAAGGTGGGGGGGCAGGGGGCGGTGGGGAGAGTTACCAAGGGATCTTTAAGTAAATTTCACTTTCCCTCTGAGAGGCCAGCAACACCACAGCCAAACAGATCACGGGACTTCACCCTGGTCATCACTGCCTCTTACCTTGCACAGCCAAGCCGGCGAGCCGAATCACCTGTTCCAACGAGCACCGCAGGCGCCCTTCGAGCACGTCCTTTTTGACTTGCAGGTAATACTGATACCTGGTTCGTGGGAACAGAGGAACAAAGAACCTTAAAACACACATCCTTGGAATACATTCCCACAACATCGATGTCTAGCCGTAAAACCTCGTGTCCACAGCAGGATACCCAGGGGACGTGGGTCAAGGTCAGCTCTCTGAAAGATGGAAAGTGACCTATGCCGGTGTTTGTCTTTGTTTGATGTGGCAGGTGCCGCATCCTGTCCATTGCGAGTTTGAGAGCATCCTCATCAAATCATTTTCACTGCGGGGCAGCAGCAGGAAGCCCTGATAAGGACCAGGTCTTCATAACAGACACCAAGGGTGAGAACACGCTCCACGCCTGGCCGCCCAGCCACACGGCCACCAGAACACATTGAACAGTGCGCTTCCTGCGAAAACTGTGGAAACACACCATTTTCTGAACCCCGAAGTTTGGGAGGGTAGACCACAAACAGGCCACATATTTGGAATTCGGCCAAGGGACAGGATAAAACTCTTCCGAGCCAGGCTCGCCCAACGTGTCCATGACTCACAAAAATCAAACCCCATGCAACGCCGAGCCTTCCAACCCTAAGTGCGTTCTCAGACCCGTGAACTGCAGACGGACAGAATGAGTCCGTGCACGACATCAAGCCGCAGACCGGATGGCCGTTCTCAGCAGCTAATACAACAACGGTTTCCCTGCCAATAAAACTTCACTCTCAGAATTGCCTGAGCATGAGCAACCCCCTCGCCCAAACCTTCATTCCCGGGACTCCACTTCCTCTGACCATACTCTGAAAGCACAGTCTTCCTGCATTAGTCCGGGCAAACGCTAACCACCTTTTTGCTCCTGGTAAGCGGAACTCTCTGTTCTTCTCAACTTTGTATGTCAGTCCAGGGAGTGTGGAGCGACCCAGAGCCTAGTCCTTCTGGACAGAGGCGATCGGCCCTGAGAGCTCATGGTCGCTGGCCCGAGCGTGATGTGCACATCCTTACACAGTGACCTGGAGGCCTGTTTGAGGGAAGAACCAGGCTTCCCACGCACGGCAGCGTTACCTCGACTTCCTTCCTCTTGGGTCTGCTGGGTTGGGTAAAGACAGCTACACCAGTCGGGGGGCGGGGGGGTGGGGTGGGGAGCGCTATTCTCAAATCAGAAGGACGGACACCGGGAGTAATTTATAAATCCTTTTTAGCCCGGTTTGCTCAGTAGTTAGAGCCCATGGACCAACAAGTCTCGGTTCAATTCTGGTCAAGGGCGTGTACCTCAGTTGCAGTTTGACACCCAGCCCTGGTCGGGTCGTGCGGGAGGCAACCAATCGATGTGTCTCTCTCACATCAATGTTTCTCTCTCTCCCCACCCCCCACTCTATCTGAAAAAAATCAATGGAAAAATATCCTCAGGTGAGGATAAAAAATAAAAATAAGAAAAATAAAAATAAATAATAAAAATAAAATAAAAATCCTTTTCAGCCGAACTTCATATGGAACAGAAACACAGCCTATTTTTCCTGCTCCTATCCTATCTTTCAACTAAAATATCCATAATCATCTTACAGGGCCCACTACTGGATGGACACTTTTCCAAGCCACATCATTTGACAGAGTCAGTTCATGCACCTACCACACCTACTGAGCACGTCCTGTATGTACGTCAGCCAGAAGCCAGGGGACGTCCTGGGAAGGTCCAGACAGCTCTGTGTCGCAGGGAGGCCCCTCACCTCCTGACCACTGCCCTCCCTCTAGAGCACTACTGCGGGCTCAACTTGTAAGAGCCGACCAGTAAGACTTTTTAAAAGGTGCCATCCTGGCGTTATGTGCCATAGCTAGAGCCCTTTTACAAGTCACCCTGGGGGTGAGAATGACCAGCTGAAACCTCTGGGAAAAGGCCATCAACTAATTAACCCACAGGATCCAGCAAAACAATAGTTCCAGTGTTCTCACCCTGCTGCTCCCCACTTCCCTTTGCAAGTACTGCCTCTATAATGCAGAGCAGGTTCTCTGACAGACCCATTGCCTCCTGGCAGCGGTCAATGCCTGTCTCCTAGCCAGGAACACCAGGGCTGCTGGTCATTTAGGGTGGGTGCAGGGTGTACTGGGATACGAAACCCCGAAGCTGAAGGACGCAGTGCCCCTTCCTGCAAGCCCCCCAGACAACCAGAGCATCTGAGCTGCGTTAATGATATACGGTGCGATTACCCCACGCGCTCGGGAATATTACTGCACGAGGCTGCAGAAAGGAGAACGAAACAGGGAGCGCTTTGGAAACTGCTGCGTTTTTGCCCAACAGGCACTTTTTGTGAAATAAAATAATTCTAGCCTAGATGAAGACTGAATTAGAGAACAGGAGCTGGGATTCTATTTCTAGCATGTTTGGCTTTTGCTTGTGTTTGATTAGCAATTCGATTCTGACAGCAGCAGAATGTAAGAGCGAATCCTATTTTGGAAACATGCAATTTCATGGAAGTATACTCCACCCTGTCACAGCTCCGGGTGGAGAGGAAAAGAAAAAAAACCAAATCCTCGTGCCAGGAAAGGAAGTATTTGCCAACTTTCCAAAGGGATCCTCTTGGAAAACTCAAGTTCCCAAGGAAAACTTTTAATATTTTTCATATTCAAAGACCTGGAAATCATCGGACCATGAGTAGCCTGAGGTTAGGATTCTTTCTCTCTGAGAATTGCTGACACAGTGATGCCCGCTGCACAAAGGTAAAATTTCTATTTTCAAAGTTTCTTGTTTTGTTTTGAATCTGAAGAGAAGATTCATTTGTGGGTTCAATGCAGGTTTCTGTGGGTGAAATGGAAAAGCCTTCCTGATAATCAGTGCTACCAAACTACCACTGGAAACAGTTTCTAGGAATCGATCCCTGGAGTCTCATCTACCCGGAATATTTCTATCCAATCTCAAGAAAAAGGGACTTTTCTGTGTTCCTTCCTCCCCCTACGATTTGGAAAAGGATGTTTTAATAAATGCCATATCAGGGGAAGCCAAGAGAGCAACCCATCTGACAGTGGTATCAAAACCTCTTCCGAAATTCCACCCCGTAACTACCCTCAACATTTACAGATGTACGACTAAGATCTGCAATCTCTTTTTTTCCACTGATGTTATAGAGAGATTGGGAAGGAGGGAGAGAGAGAGAAATATCGATGAGAGAGAGAAACAGCAATTGGTTGCCTCCCGCACACATCCCGTCTGGGGCCGGGATCGAACCTGCAACCCAGGTACATGCCCTTGACTGGGAATCGAACTGGAGACCCTCTGGTGTGCAGGCCGGCGCTCTAACCACTGAGCAACACCGGCCAGGGCCGCACTCTCTCTTTGTAATTCGCACACGAGGAAGTTAGCTAAGCACTCACGCAACCATGTTTTACTTGCACATCTGTCAATACTTCTCGGGTTGAGAAATTCCACGCGTTGCTCTGAAAGGCATGGCCAAGCGAGCGCAGAACCCCCAGTAAGTCGCGAGGAGCTCAGGGTCCAGGTACTTGTTGCCTTTACCACATTTCTCCCACCCCTCCCCCACGAGCGAAGTCTTCATTCCAAGTCCAGCTCAGCAGAAGTGCCCCAAACGGAACAGCCTGCAGAGCTGATGGTGGTCATGCTTCTACCCAAGGACTCAACACCCTGAGCACAAATCACAGGACAGCGGACGCAGGGGCCTGGGAGGCGACTGTTACTGTTCCAAATATCTCCTGCTGCTCTCCACGGGACCTCCCCTCCAACAGGGTCATACCTGCCGACCCTGTTAACTCTGACCAGCTCTGGGGTCTTCGAAATGGGGGTGAAGTGTGCTACTCCCGAGCCGAACCTTCTGATGGAGCATGTGCCTTGCTCTCACCTCTGTTTGCCCCGCCCTGAGACCTGCAGTGTCCAGGTAGGGACTTCAGCTCGGTTCCCTGAGCCAGGGAGAAAAGGCAGCGGACGCAGTAGACACAAAAGGTGGACATGAAACAAGCCTTTATCTTTAAAAACAACACAGGTCTGGAGGCCATATATTGTGGCAGCATGAGTCGGCCTAAGTTATTTAACAAGGAAAGGATTTCAAAAAGTCCAACTCTTTTGCCCAGCCGGTATGGCTCAGTGGTTGAGTGTCGACCCAGGCACCAAGAGGTCACTGGTTCGATTCCCGGTCAGGACACGTGCCCAGGTTGTGGGCCCGGTCCCCAGTGGGGGGCATGTAGGAGGCAGCCAATTAATGTTCTCTCTCATCGATGTTTCTCTCTCTCCCTTCTCACTTCCTCTCTCTCTAAAATCAATAAAAAAAAAAAAAAAAGTCCAACCCTTTTGCTTCCGGAAGGGAACTGTAGCGGGAGAATGACTTGCCCAAGGTAACGCTGCTTCGAAGGCAGAGCCAGGGGGACCAGAGCGGGAGCTGCTCTTCCGCAGGGCCCCGGCGCCGGCGATGAGAGCGGATCCGACTGCCGGCCCTCGCAGGCAGGTCATCGGCTTCACTGAAGTCTAAAAATACCCGTGAAACTGAAAACACCACTACTGGTGACATTTATGACCCAGTGCTTCTAAGGAGAGGCAGCAGGAGGCAAGCTGCCCCTCCGCCCCCATCGGGTTGTCGGTGCCAGCGCACTTGAGGCAAACACAGACTCAGGGGGACTCTGTAACATCCCAGCACAGGGCACGTTTCACAAGCTGGCCCCAGGGTTACTCGATCTGTCTGTTCTCAGGGCGGCGGCCTCTGGGATATTTCACTCTCCTCCCCCGGAGGCAGAGGAAGGGAAGGAAGAGGAGCTATGCACTCTAAGCACTTGTCAGCAACTTTACGAGACGCATGGAGGGATGACGGGTCTCCGACTGGAGGCTCCTATCTAGAAGGAGAGGCTATGCCCAGAGCAGGAACAACTGGGCCCGTAAGTGTATCATTTCAAATGCAGATTTTAAAAACAAACAGCAGCTCATCAGTGTCATACACGGTCTTGACCCACTCTGGCACTGAGTTGAGACGGTACTTCTACGTTAGAGTCCTAAGGGAGCTGTCCAGACTCCGTTCTGTGGCTACCTGAACAACACCTGACGAAGCTGCA